GATTTAGCAAGGCTGCTATTTGAGTAAATGGATGGTAAGCATATTTTGTGCTTTAAGATTCTTTTTTTATTTTTTTATTTTATAAATAAATACAAGTGGCAATTTAAACTATTAGAGGGAGGAAGGTTTCATAGACACACTACCATGGTGCTATGAGAGTTCGAACTTGAAATCACTAGTCTGCAAATCAATATATCTTTTCTTACTGGGCTAGACCCCATTAACGCTTTAAGACTAATTAATGGAATAATGTGTTATAATGATAATAATTGCACGTTATTCTCCAAATAGATCCAAACGAACCAAGATTGTCCTTTATGCTTGTTTTGGACGACTCCTTCCTACAATCAATTATTAATTGAGTGCTAACTCTCATCCACCCAATTTTTTCACCTCATTTTTTAGTTGTGCATATATTAATATACTCTTAACTCCCCCTATGTTCTCTTTACCACTGGCCTCGTTTGTTGAAGAGGACTAGATTAGACTAGCAAAATGCTTGCATTTTATGTACATTGAAGGCATAATGTGGATATTGTTGTCTAACTTTGAGGATAAAGAGGAACTATCTATAAGAGGTTGATGACTAAAACTTATCCCCCTTAATCCCCTTAAAACTGGTTGGATTAGGAGGGATAAGTTTTAGTCATCAACCTTTTATGAACAGTCGTCCATAACCCTCCAAGTTAGACAACAATATTATGCCTTGAATGCATATGAAATGTAGGCATTTTCCTAGTCTAGTTTAATCCTCCCTATCAAACAAGCCTAGTTTTTTTTTTTGGGTTTTCAATACGAGTAGTCCCTAAATTTTTTGAAGTCCTCGTTTTAATCTTCAAACTCTCAAATCAATCTATATGATCCTTCATTTGACCAAACAATTGCACATCAATGCATTACTAAGGATGACTAGACTAGACTAGACTGGACTAGCAAAATGCCTTTCATATGCAATCAACGCGTAATATGGATATTGTTGTCTAACTTTGACTTTGAGGATGAAGGATGACTATTCATAAGAGGTTGATGACAATGATGAGTAAACCTTATCCCTCACAGGCCCCGTTTGGGATTCTTTTTTGGCCAAAAACAGGCTTCACTTAAAGTTAAGCGATTTTAGATGTTTAGTAAAAATCAAATATGCTAATTATTTTAAAAACAATGGTCTCCTCATAGCAACTTTTAAAAGCAGCATCTAGGTTGCTTTTGAAAGTTGCTTTCACAAGAAGCGGAGAATAGCTTTTAATCAATTTTTTCAATTCCCACAATACCATCATTAATGTTTAAAAATGACATCATCTACCACAACCACCGTCACCTCCACCACCACCACCTCACCTCATCCACGACCTCCTTCACCATTACCACCACCCTGCCACCACTACGCCCACTTCCACCGTTACCACCACCACCACCACCGCCACCTTACCTCCACCTCCATCACCATCACCATCACCACAACCACCACATCCACCTCCACCTCTATCACTACCACTATCACCACGACCACCACCTACCACCTCCACGACCACCAACTCCACCTCCACCTATACCACTGCTACCACCACCATCACCTCCACCACTAACTCCACTTCCACCTATACCACCACCACCACCACCTCCACTACCACTACACCACCACTACCACCACCATCATCACATAGTTAGCATCTAACACTTTCAACATCATATCTATTTTAGTCATTATCAATAGTTACAATTGTTTTATATTAAAATTTACCAACAAATCATGTCCATTTTAGTACGTATCCACAATTACAACAATTTTATATTAAAATATACCAAACGGTTTTGACCTTGCTTTTTTTACTGATAACACTTTAAAAATGTTGTTTTTCAAACATGGAACTGTTTTACTTTACAGCTCATTATTTTCAAAGCATAGCATAAATAACTTTTTAGAAAGTGACAACAATGCCAAACTGGCCATAATTCCACCATTTTCAAGGGGATTAAGGGGGATAAGTTTTAGTCATCAACATCTATAGTCCTCATTCTTCCTTCAAGTTAAACAACATATCCATATTATGTCTTGAATGCACATAAATATAGAGATTTTACTAGTTTAGTCCTCCCTATCAAATAAGTCTGCATTTGAGAGGAGCTGCCAAATATTATTATTTTCACATTGATATAATTCATAATTAAAATTGTATTATTTAGTTATGAGGATGGTGGTGATGAAAATGATTCGCTCCACTTTCTTGCCAATTATTTTCGGAAAAGGAAAACAAGAATCTCTTCCAAGATCTTTACAATTTGTTGTTATTTTTTAACCCATGTAGTGTACTTGCTTGCTAACTATCTGTCATCCTCTACAGATGCATGATATTCGTAATCTAAATTATTTTTGGACTCTTGTGGAGCAAATAGTGTAGGATAATAGTGTGCCAAGGAGTGCGCGCGCTAGCTTGTGTTAGGAAATTGCATGCAATCTGAATTAAATCTTCCAAAGTATTGCATGTGATCTGCCCAAAATTAGGATTGGTTAACACTCATTAATCTAATATACAATGTCTTGTTTCTTGTTTACTACTCTTTGTCTTTGACTAGGATCTGCATGACATGACTTGACAAAGATAGTCAATTCCTAATCATATTTATATTTTCTTATTAAAAATTAAAAAGATTATAATGATGAGAGATGTGATTGAAAGAGGTGATTGTGGACTGCCCTCATAACATGCATTTTTATTTCTATAATAGGATCAAATAGACCTTTTTGTTAGGAAAATCCAATTATATATATTTGAGCATCTCTATAGAGAGCTAGATTTTGTTGCATATTAGCTTATGATATTATGAAGATTTATAACACTTCGAGCAAAATGCATCGTCTCTAAATACATAGACTCGAGATCTAAACTTGTATGGACCAGTGTGTTGAGTTAATACTAATAATATAGTAATTTCTTTATTTTTTTCTATGTGTTTTTTTATTTAAGAATAAAGTGAGAGATCGAACCCTAATTGTGGATTCAATTTTTGACATTTAACAATTCTTCAGATAAATCCATTTATAAAATTAAGGGTTTTTTTAATTTATATTTATTCTTTCCTGAACTTTCAATTTTTATTTTTAACTACCTAAACTATGTAAAGTGTTGCAAGCCACCACATAGATCTAACTCCATTAAGATTTCCGTTAAGTTTATAGGCATTTACGTCAATTAATTATAACTAAAAATAATTTTTTTAAACAGAAAGAAAAGTTCACATAATTATACCATACTTCCCCTACCCCTTACCAACGCCAATTGTCACCCACCCTATGCATATACACACCATACTCCATAACCGTACAATATTGAGAATTTTGAGTGCCACAATGTTCATATTTACGTGGAAATTTGATACTCCTTTATTGAGGAGTACATGTGTTTCTTGCATTGTATGTGTGTGAGCTTATCTTTAGTCTATGTTAGAAAACTTGTTCTGTCATTTTTACGTGGATATATCATCGATATATCCTTTCAATAAATGTCATTAGTGTTCTTTTATATTCTCCTCTTTTGGTTTTTAAATATTTTGTTTATCTACCTATTAGTTTTTGAAATAAATACCTAAAAAACTATGGAGAAATTTGTATAATTTAAGAATGTTTCCTCGATAATTTCCTTCCCCACTTCCTCCCTCCTAGCATCTTTGCTTATCTTGTACTTCCTGTGTCTTAATTTTATGGGAAGAAAAACGTGGTGGCGATTCATATAAAGGGGTGCAGAGGAGCCTGACCGCTATGTGTTGCTTGGCAACCATAGAGATGCATGCATGAACATATGGGTTGTTGATTTAATCGTAAGCATTACTTGACATTGCTCATATAGATATGCTTTTTTTGATGCATTCGTTTTTTCCAAAATACTTAAACTCATCAGCAATAGCAGGTAAGCATATACTAGAACATATCACGAATGTCAATTTCAAAAGTCATAATTTAATAGAAAATGCAGGATTTGTGCCAAAAGTTTTGTAAAATGGTAGGTGAATCTGTGAAAGATCTTCGTAGGTTAGAGAAAGAAAGATTTTATTCACTTACCAAAAAGGAACGGAAGAAAGAAATCTTTCGGGGAATTGGAGTGACAAATTGGAAAACAATGTAAGAAAAAACGGACAGAACAAAATTTGGGAAGAAAGATAAATCCGAGGCGACAAAAGCTCTACGTAAATGTTTGTGTAATACAGAAAGAGAATCCCGTGTTTGGAGGGAGCTTTCCATTTTCACTGTTTTTATTTTCTTTTTAGTTTCATCCATTTTTATAATACATAAATATCAGGCTCGAGACAAGGACATAATTAAATGTAGAAGAGCCTCTCTCTCTCTCTCTCTCTCACGGTTCACAGTGTCACTTGTGACACAGATTTTTCTTTTTTTTTTTTTTTTTTTTTTGTTAGATTTAGAGATTTCATTTGGGGCGCCAACTAAACCCTAAGCAAAGCAACAAAAACACAAAAACCACAAAAACAGAGTGACTCTCTGTGTTGGGAGAGGAGAGAGAGTCAAAAGAAGAGAGGGGGAGAGAGAGCAGCAGGGGTAGCTGAAGAGCAGAAGAGCTAATTATTAAATCCTTATATTATGATTGACATTGAGGGATTGAGGTGTCAATCAATTGGTGCAAGTGTTGAATGAAATCTGTCAGATCTGGACAATCCATCCCTTAAAGGCTCAAGGTCTCTTGCCTCTTATATTCCTTCATTCTGATTCAGGCATTTTGGATATGTAGATACATATATAGCATCCAAAACAAAGTCTCTCCTTTGTGTTTGATCAGTCATCAAATGATGAAGCTTTGTATTAAAGTAAAGATTGGGTTTGTGGGTTTCTTCGTGCTTCTGAATGAAAATCGAAATGCTTTGAGCTTTTCAACTTCAAATTGAAGCCCTTTACTTGAATTTGAATTTGAGTTGCCATTCTTTTTCATACATGATCTATCTATATATATGTTGTATATATGGAAATGTCATCATCAGCAGCAGCAGCAATGGGTGTCTCTGATCGAAGCCAACTGCACTTGAAAAAGGAGCTCACACAGATTCGAAAAGCCGCCCGCGTTCTTCGCGATCCCGGTACCACGTCTTCTTGGCGGTGTCCTCTGGCCTCCTCCTCTAGATCTGTGGGAGCAGCAGCAGCAGCAGCAGCCTCTGCTACGACTTCTTCCACTTGGAACAACAATGGAAACTCGACTACTCCCAGTGGAAATAGAAACAATGGCAGCGACAAAAGGGTCTTCTTGCACAACTGGAAGAGCTCCAAATCCTCCAGAAACAACGACAATGACGATGATGATTACGGGGATGGTGATTATGATGATGATGATGATGATGATGATGATGATGGCATTGATGCTTCTTCTTCAGTTGCAGCGTTGAGTGTTGATGATAGCTTGAGCGATGCGCGTACCGTGGCAGATGGAGATTCAAGGAGTGACACTCAAACTTACAGCCGCTCCTCATCCATGATGCTCAGGCGTAGATATGCGCATCTTTTGCCACCCGTGAAAAATACTAAGAAAACAAGTAAGAAAACCGATACCCACTCTGACGTTTTATCCAAATATCAGCAGAAAGAATTAATTCTTGGTAGAAACTTAGTCAGTTCCAGAAAATCCGTGGAGGGTCATCCTTCAATGGCTGTAAGATCAGGCCGGACCCGGGATGACTTGGTCGACCAATCTGATGACACTGAAGACTACTGCAATTCAGAGGATCTGAGGCGAATTTCTGGGGCTTCACCATTGCTTTCCAAACTTAAGAAGAAGAATTGGTCAAAGTTTAGGAGAGATAATAGTATTCGAAGAGAGGACTCTTCGTATTCTTATAGCACCCCTGCATTGTCAACTAGTTCTTATAACAGGTATCATGTTCGTAATCCAAGCACTGTTGGGTCTTGGGATGGCACCACAACTTCCATGAATGATGGAGATGATGAGGTTGATGACCATTTGGAATTTCCAGGTCGCCAGGGATGTGGGATTCCTTGTTATTGGTCCAAAAGGACACCAAAACACAAAAGCATGTATGGAAGCTGCTGCTCCCCTTCGCTTTCTGATACTTTGAGGAGGAAAGGAAGTATCATATTTTGTGGAAGTCAAAATATTTATCCTAGACGACGTCAATCATCATCAGGTTCACATAAGCAGAGAATTGCATCTAGAAGTGCTCAGGGTGTCCTCCCATTGCTTACCAATAGTGGTGAGGGTAGGGGAGGATCATCCTTAGGAACTGGAAGGAGTGATGACGAGCTTTCTACAAACTTCGGGGAACTTGATTTGGAGGCTCTGAGTCGATTAGATGGACGGAGGTGGTCATCAAGCTGCCGAAGTCAAGAAGGGTTGGAGATTGTAACTCTAAATGGAGGAGGAGAAGAGGAAGGCTCACCAGAAAACATTAGGAGTTTTAGCCAGAAGTACAAGCCAATGTTCTTCGGTGAGTTGGTTGGGCAAAATATTGTTGTTCAATCACTGATAAATGCTATTGAAAGGGGTCGGATTGCCCCTGTTTATCTTTTCCAGGGCCCCCGCGGAACTGGGAAAACATCAGCAGCCAGGATTTTTACTGCTTCCTTGAATTGCCTAGCTCCTGATGAAACTAAGCCATGCGGCTACTGCAGGGAGTGCTCTGATTTTGTGTCTGGTAAGAACAAGGATCTATTGGAAGTTGATGGCACCAATAAGAAAGGAATTGACAAAGTTAGGTACCTATTGAAAACTCTATCGATGGCACCCCCTTCAGCATCCTCACGGTACAAGGTCTTTGTGATTGATGAATGCCACTTGTTACCTTCTAAGACGTGGCTGGCATTTCTCAAATATCTGGAAGAACCGCCACAAAGAGTTGTTTTCATATTTATAACAACTGATTTGGACAATGTTCCCCGCACCATACAATCTCGGTGTCAGAAATACCTCTTTAACAAAATTAAAGATAGTGACATTGTTGCTAGATTGAGGAAAATATCTGCTGAAGAGAACCTGGATGTTGAAACGGATGCACTAGAATTGATTGCTTTGAATGCAGATGGTTCACTTCGAGATGCCGAAACTATGTTGGATCAGTTGAGCTTGCTGGGCAAAAGAATTTCAACATCTCTCGTGAATGAACTTGTGAGTTTTCTCTGCAAATGACATCTTGACATGGTCTAATTCAATTCAAGTTTACCATAGTATTATGATTTGTGGCGCTTGTTAAAAGAAGAAAAACGAAATAAAAGATCAACAGGTGTCTGTTAGCAATTCCAAATAGCTGAATTTATTGTTTTACAAGTTCATTAATCTAGTGCTCTATCTTCTGTAGGTGGGAGTTGTTTCTGATGAAAAGTTACTGGAGCTTTTGGAATTAGCAATGTCATCAGACACTGCAGAAACAGTGAAAAGGGCCAGAGAGTTGATGGACTCCGGGGTTGATCCCATGGTTTTGATGTCTCAGTTGGCCAGCCTAATTATGGACATCATTGCTGGAACCTACAATATCAATGATGTCAAGCATGATTCATTCTTTGGTGACCGGAATTGTGAGTGTCATCCCCTTAACTTTCGGTGCCAATAAGGTTGTTTTTTCTATAGCACCAATGGTAGTGTGATGTGGAGAAAGTACCATAGTCACGTAAATAACACAAAAATGAGGTTATTAATTGATAACTACTCGAGGGATAATTTGAACAAATGAATGTTATTAAGAACAATAGACTCAAACAAATGTGATAAAGAGATTTTAAAATTTTGGGATATCCTAATTGAAGATATGGTGTCATCATGTATTGAGAAGCATTGTGCTGCAATGCAATTGTTGGTTCCATGATCTGTCTGTTTTTTTAGGATGGAATGGGTGGTCATCCCCTCACCCTGAACAAATTTTAATCCATCACGAAGGACCAAATGTAGGAATTAAGTATACCTGACCCCAAAAAGAAGAAGTTCAAGAATGTAATATGGAGAACCTAGTCTATTGAAGGGATGGTGCTCTCACAGAGGTGGGATCCACATGCACAAGTGGATCCCACCACTTTGAGAGATCTTGTCAACAATGTGGTACAAACAGTTTACTTTTATGGTTTCCTATAGAAGAATGTTAATTTTATCATTCCTGTTTGTTCAAGATTGTAAGGTTTGTGGAGGGAGAGGGAAATTTCTATTAGACGTCTAGTGTTGTTGTTGCATGCTCGGATGGTGTTTCTTCTGTTGGCATACTTCATGTTCTCCTGAATTGACTCTTGAAAAATTCTTATCCATGTAGACTAATACAAGTACTTGTAGATTCTATAGATAATAATTGCATTATAAAGCCTGGAGACACAGAAAGAATCTCCACTGACTGGTTTGTATTTTGAAAGAAATGTTTGTTACTCAAAATGTTTTACCGACTTTTGTGATGATCTAGATGATATGTGTACAGTAAAGATTTTTTAATTTTAAATGTATTTATTCTAACTATGGTTGGGTGTCCTACTTTAGTGACTGAAGCAGAATTGGAGAGATTAAAACATGCTTTGAAGATTCTTTCGGAGGCTGAGAAACAGCTTAGGGTTTCAAGTGAGCGCTCAACATGGTTTACAGCGACCCTATTACAGCTTGGTTCAATGCCTTCTCCTGACCTTACTCACTCGTGCAGCAGGAGGCACAGTTGTAAGACGACTGAGGATGATTCATCCAGTGTTTCAAGAGAAACTGCCACCTACAAACAGTTAGAAGGTCAATATATGCTTCATAAATCAACTTCCCATGCTTCTTTACAAAAAACACTAAATGGCAATTCCAACCATCAGAGAGATTCATTGTCAAGAAAAAATGGTTTCGGTTTCAATACCAAGCCTTCACATGGCCAAATCATGGAAAGTGGGGCCTCAACTCCTTTGCATGATGAGGATATGGCTGGTAATGTGATTCTTAGATGTGTAAACTCAGAAAAGTTGGAGGATGTCTGGGCACAGTGTATTGAGAGATGTCATTCAAAGACACTGAGGCAGCTACTACATTCGCATGGAAAGCTAGTGTCTATATCTGAAGCTGAAGGTAAGCTCTTAAGCTTGTTATACACTTCATTTATCTTTGCTTAAAAACACATAATTGAATAAATGTTATGGATCTTTTTATAGCTAGAAGTTGTTCCAGTGGTTTTGTGCCATTCAGTTTGTGAACTTTGTTCATTAAAGTTCACAGTGAACAAACATAGGATCTCATGCTTGCACTTGGTGTAAATTGCATGTGGATAATGATGTTTTTAAGCCATAAATTTCCAACATCATTAAAGAAGGCCTGATTTCAATTCCTAGTTTATGGGTTAGTTATATCAATTGATGAGACCTGCCCCATTTGATAAACTTATGGAGCGTATACTGATCATTCATGCACGTATAAGATTGGTTGATGGAGAAAATACCAGCTTTGTCTAAAGCCCTAAAATACCCCATTCTATCGTTTAGGTTTTCACTGATATGAGAAATGCAAGGGAAATGGTTCGGGCAGTAAACAAGCTTTGTTATAACCAGGGGTTGGGAGGAGAAAAGAGAAAAAAATCAAAATAGTCTAAGCATTACAATAAGTATTATTTAATTGGCTAGGTTTGATAATTAGGCTCCGAAGTGTGGTTTACAACAGAAAGCCTTGCTTGTGCTCTCTCTATTAATATATGTCTCTCTTTGTAATATATATATGTTCTTTTCCCTTTCTTCCCATGTTTAAACTGATTCTTTTTCAAGGTGTCCTGGTTGCTTATGTTGCATTTGAAGATGGAAGTATCAAATCCAGAGCAGAAAGGTTTGTTAGCAGTATCACAAATTCCATGGAAGTGGTTCTCAGACGCAATGTAGAGGTTAGAATTGTTCACTTGCCTGGCGGAGAGGCTTCTCTAAATGGTCCAAGTCCAGCTCACTTATCAGGAACCGTGGCAGCAATTGATAGGGAAAGGAAAAGAGTTGGATCAAATGCCACAGACGGTTATTCAAATTGCTCTTTGTTTCTTGATGGGACCCACAAGTCTACCTCTGATTCATCAGACGTGATTGCAGAAGGCAATGCCCAAACAAGTGCTACAAGAGAAAGGAGACAGGAGATTCCAATGCAAAGAATAGAATCCATTATTCGCGACCAAAGGTTAGAGACTGCGTGGCTACAGGTTGCAGAGAAAGGCACCCCTGGTTCATTGAGTCGTTTGAAACCTGAGAAGAATCAGGTCCTGCCACAGGATGGCATTTATTATGAAGATCAGATGGAGTCGTTGAATTCAATGAGGTTGTCCTCTCAGCAATGGGAAGATGGATTAAACCATGAAGTCAAAATTTTGAAGGTTAATAGTGGAAGGGATGCCCAGAAGGACCAGACGGGAAGAAAGGTTGATCGTTATCCAATGTCCCCAAGTTTACTACATGATAGTAACTTTGTGGGAAATTCCAACAAAGATAATCTGTGAGTATTTATTTCTTATTACAGGAGTATTTTGATTATCCTTCAAAAGCCCTTCTACCGCTGCTTGACTGAAGAAACTCGTTGTTAGTGTTTTATGGTGAACATAACAGTTTGCTTGAATTTGGCGAAAGCTACTTACATGCTTAAGCATTCTGTGATATAAACATCCATATTATGAAGAAGATCATAGCAAAATGTTAATAATAGAACTTTTATAATGTTATATGAACAATATATGGAATGTGCACTAGACAGAATTCCTTGCGAGAAGAGACCATTTGGGTGCTGATGTCTCCAAAGCAGTACTAGAAATTGATTTTAGTATATTAAAAAGTGCATATTTTAGGAGTCTAGATGCTGTTGTGTTCTTAAGCTGCAAGAGGAACATATAGGACTTATTGCTGAAATTTCAAAAATCGTGGTGCTTATACTCATCATGCCATGTTCACCAAATAATTTCATGTCTTGGGGCATCTTTGATAAAACTGAAAGTTAAGTACTAAATGCTAAACTGTTAGCATTGAAATTTTAAGCGCTAAATCACCCAGCACTGAATATACTAAATTGTTAATACTTAAATTTGGAGTTCTAAATTGGTTAGTGTTGAAATGCTAGTAAAATACTGAAGGTTGATAAACAATGTTACCAAGTTATAGGGTTGGTGATAGTGGTAGTAACTAGTAACAGTGATGCCAATGGCGGTACCTGTGATGAAGGTCTTTTCTTTTTGGTCAGACAGTAATGAAGGTCTGGTGGTGACACTTTAGAGTGGCAATGCCAGTTTAGTGGTAGTGGCTGGTTTAACGGGTAATTCTAGTAGGGAAGGTGTTAGTGTCGAGTTAGTAGTGATTCAGTTCCTTATTAGGATTTGATGGTCGTAGAAATCTTAAAAATAATGTTACAGAATTCAGCATTCAGTAAATGATCACTCGATATTTATGCAATTTTTCCATCTTTTTTTTTTTTCATAGTTGATGCTCGCCTTTTTGTTTTCTGCGTTATCAAAGTTCATTGCAAAATTTAAAATGTATTGATGTATTGAACACATTTAGTTGATTAAATGCTGAAACTCTTCTTTAAGCACCAAATTGGATTAGAAAACACAATATCACTTTGATGCCCAATTCAGCCAACAGGGGAACTTCTGTTTCAATGGATAGCACTTCTGCTGCTCTTATATTTGTTTTTCTTGTGTTTTTAATCTGTTCTTGAACTGCTTGATCTCAGGTAGTGGTATTTTGTTTTTGTTTTTTTTTCTAGTAAATTATATTCAACATATGATATTCATTTCTTGTTGTAATATTATTGTTAAATGCTAAGTAGCCAATGTATCTGCATTTATATTAATGGTATACAACATGCTCATTCTTGGTTTTTCTTCAGGGGTGATGAATCAGGATCAGGTAAAGGAGGTTGCAGTGGATTTTTTCGTTGTTATAACACCAAACCTCGTAAAAGAGGAAAGGTAGGCTGTTATTACAACTTCTAAAAAGTTTTTTCTTCATTCTGGAAAACCTGTTTGACCTGAAAGGAACCTCTACATATTTCTCTGTATAAACAGGTAAAAGGGACTGCAGTCGCTGTTCAGCCACGCAAAGGTAGACGGTTTTCATTGTTTGGGGAGTGTGGGAAGAAGTCAAGGAAAACAGAGAGCAGGCATACAAGATAAATGGGAGATTTGTAGTTTGGGGTGTTGGCTATGCTGTTCATTTGGTTACATATTTTACTGTATTTATGTCTCCAGTTGAGCCATTCTTCGAGGATGTGAGTGAGAAGTAAAACAGATGATGTAAAGGTTTGCTGTTGAGCTGCATTTCTCCATCTCCATCCAATTTTCATGTGATCAATAAAAGTAAAAGTGGTAAAACCTTGAATTAATTGGTTTCATGTTGGACCCTTTCTTAATTGATTTTCTAGCCTTGATGGGCTCGGTTGGCTGTACCGACTTGAAACTCTCTCATAGGCCAACTTGCTTAATTGGTCAGGTATTTTGAATGGTATTGTGCCAAATGTTTGGAATTAAATCTACCAGATCATTGAACCCAAAAAAAATCTACCAGAACAGATCTGATCATAAAGTGGATACAAGTGACACTGACGGTATAATTCATTCGGGACTCAACAAATCTGTGGTTTTTTTTAATTTGCCAAGGTAGTATGGGATGGGAGTTTGAATCTAAAACTATGCGACTCAATGTTCTTTTTTCACCGAGTTAGAAGCCGTTGTCAGTTTTCGTTGGGCTGATTTTCGATATGAAAGATTATAAAAATAACATGCAGTTCAGTTTTCAGGTTAATTAATTTATAGGAAACCATTAGAAACCCACTAGTGATTGGCTGACTATTAGTTTTTTTTCTCTTCCACTTAAAAAAAAAAAAAAAAAAAAAAAAAAAAAAAGAAGATAGAGTATTCAGGTTTTCAAGTTTGAAGATGCAAACCTCATTGTTGCAGGTGCTAGGAATCTTAGGGAGTGCTTTCAAGTAAGGTTTAGTTCAGGTCGAAATGGTTATAAACAGATCCAAATTAAGGGTGATTCCGAGTTAGTAATTAATAATGTTACTAAAAACTATTCTGAATTATGTTGAGCTTCTAATTACCACGGGCATCTTGAGGTGAAACATATTTACAGAGAGAAGTTCATTTGCTTGATAGTGTGGCTGCAGACTGCAGTTATCACAGAATCAACAGATAATGATACAAATACAGGGAAAATCTTTTGATAATTCGGGCACAAATAGTACAATGATACAAATAAGATATAGTTCCTATTCCTATCAACAAAAATAAGCAAATTCAATTTAGAATTTGGCCTTTTCCTTGCTTGCTACAGAAGACCTATTGAGGTTTCTTTCTTTTTCCTATTAGGGTGAAGTTCTTTTTCAGCATGAGTTTCGACAAAAATGGAAGAACAGTAAAACTACAAGCACTGGAACAGAATCAGAAGATGTACATTATTCAGAAGACTTTCCAGAGCTCATACTTAATATTCTTTCTGCAAGTAATAAATCATCCGGGGTTGTGACCTGCATTACACCAGCACCACATTGTTTATATTCAATGAACGATATTTTTGTCATGTATTGCAGAGAATGAACTCCTGAATACACCGAGAAGCTTTTACGTCCAGAGATTAGAGGGCTTAACATTGGTATTATAGTAAAGTTAAATATTCCACTTCTCAAGAATCAAGCTTGAATAAGATGTTTCACTACCTTGATGTTGGTGTAAGATCCTTCAGTGATGTACACAGGATGTGGAAGGTGCTCGACAATAGAGACGTCATCAGTCACTTCAAGGCCTTCTCTGTGGCACGTACAATTGTTCAGAATATGTATACCAATGATTTTTAATGTGAAAGATAGACGACATTAGTTTCAAATGAACATCAACACTCACATAACACACAAACACATTCTAACATTCTTTGGTCAGCATTTCATACAAATGTGAGTGACCATGTAGTCAATTTGTGATATGATATTTTATAAATAAAATTGATTTAGTAGTATCTGCTTCTGCTTTGGGCAGTTCAAGTATCAGCCTCTTAAGGCGTTAGTTTTGCTTTTGGCATGTTAGTTTGTTGTCCTCTTGGGATTGGTATTTTAGATGTCTTGTTGATGTCCTTGATTGTACCGTTGAAGTTTATCTAATGAAGTTTCTATTTGATTATTAAAAAAAAAAGTATCAGCCTCTTAAGGGAACATTAGCTGATTATACAAAATATGATTTGGAAAAGGCTACGATATATTCAGTCCCTCAACATTTATCAACATGAATTCATTAACTGATACTTATTTGTTCATTTTCCAGTATTAGGCATTTTTTAACAATTGGTATACAACCAAATTATGCAACATGAATCAGTTAGTACCTATTTACAAGCTCAAAACCCTTTCTGAGCAACTGAGGTTTGATGACCTGTAGGATTTGATAGGCAGTAAGAATTAGAACATCCTCAAATGATCAACTGAGAGATATAAATGCTTTAAACATTAAACCTGGGGTGTCTGCATTTCCCAAAGTGTTCTCCTGTCCAGAGTTTTGACTACAAAAGACTCGCTGTTTGCCTGCATAGAGATGTTTCGAAAATCATGAGATCAATCGAGTAAAAGAATTTACAATGAATCATGATGACATACAGACAGGTTCCTTAACCTATGACACATGTTTAAGTGAGAGAAAAAATGGAAAAGAAAAAGAAAGCACACAGATAATCATGGAAGAAAATCGAGTTATTTGGACCCTGGAGGATTGACAGAGCGAATTTCTTGTTGTCTAGCAATGTGTGTTTAGACTGGAAAGCAACAATAAATAAAAAAGTTCTGCAGCCCCAGTTAGGTTGCAATTCCATACATTTAAGCGCATTTTACCAAATTTATCACTGGGTTACTGCTATGGTCTTGAAGTAATGGTCCCCAGCATCAAGAGGACCATTAGTTTCAATTGAGATAATGAAAAAACCATTTCAAAGTCAAGTAATGGTCATCCACTGAAGACTGGAGCCTTGTAACATGTTGACAAAAATAGGAACAGAAAACTGCATTATTGAGTGAAACAAAAGTTTTACAAATGTTTTTCTTTTAAGAAGAATAATCTCAATGTCCAAAAAAGTTTGGAATATCGACCAAATTCCATCAGCATAAACAAACCCTATATCAACTACAACTACAACTAAACTACAGGGAAACATGAAAACTAGCAGCTACAAGATACTCTAACATATGAGTTACACTGAAAGGAAAACAAGGAGTATAAACATGAATGCAAGTCATTAGAATTGATACATACCTCTTTGATTGTAGCTTTTACTGGAACACCAAGTACAGCTGCTCCATTCAACCAAGCGTCTTTAAGAACCTAAAAACATACAATTCTAAAGTCCAATTGTTTTCTTGAATAGTTATTTGAAAATCACAAATATTTTAATGATAAAAACAGATAATATGGAAACAAGCATGCATAAGTTAAATGCTTTGCTGTAAATATAAATTCCTAAGCCTAGAACCTAGAACCACCTACCCCCTGCACTTGGTGATTAAGTGTGCATCTCCTGACTCAAGGGCAGAGGTTAAATATTTGGTAATCTAAAAAGATTTATTCTAGGTGAAATCCATTCCTGGATTTTGTACCACTGTAACTTACCTAGACTAGCTAACTTCCAAGGTGAATGTGCAGTTTTGATCCCTCAGATAATAATCAATATTAAATGGCTTATGGATGGCTCAGAACGTGTAAGGAAAGGAATAAGTATTAAGATGTATTTACTTCATATAGTGATGTATTTAGATAAGCATCATTGCTCTATACCCTCCTAAACCATAATCCATAAAAAATACTCATAAAAAACATAGTACACACTGATCATGAGAGGTGCTCTATACATATGTAATATCAGGACTCAGGAGACAATAAAAGCCAATGCACTAGATGCTCGCAGGTAAAGAAATTTTCATCTCAAACCTTCTCTACGTCTCCAGATGATACAAGAGGTCTAGCAGAATCATGGATGCAAACAAGCTCAGAGCTCAAATCAATTGCCTGTCCACAGAAGTTGTATTCAATGATAAGCAGATGAGTTTATGCTCTCAATAATTGTTATACAACTCAATTCAGGAGAAAGGAAAAATAAATTAAGAAGTTTTATTGACTTCCATATGCCTACGAGTCGGCCACTATGTGCATGGCGTATACATAAAATGGAAGCATATTCCCAGAAACAAGTCTTCTCAGTTTCATATATCAAGTAAGCTAATGCAACAGACTGAGATAAAGAAGAGCAGAGACTTCATAATTAATTTTTATCAGGTAGATTCAATATCAGGCAACAAATGAGATGCCTTTTCCAAGAAAAAAAAACAAAATAAAAGAGACTTTGACAATGGAAAAGAAATAATCTCTATTCACCTGGAGTCCGCTGTAAACAGAATCTTGTCTTTCCTTCCCGGGTAATGTGAATTTAAGTTCTTTCTGGATCTTATGCTTGGTCTCTGAGAACATAACCAACCAAATTAGTCCAAATGTCTCCAGCAGCACTACATCCAATAAATAAAACATATCCAAGAGGCAACGCAAGTTTCAAGGAGGGCAAGACAGCAAGGACTGAAACCTTCAAAAATATCCTTGTAGGAGGGATCGCAAACTACAATGATTTCCTTCACTTCAGTCATTTGAGAGAAAGTGTAGAAGCTGTATGGAACCAGCAAACAACATTAAGAAGAGCATAAGACTTGTACCCAGAAAATTAAAAAGAAAAGTAAATATGAGTAGAAAGACAAGCTATATTTCCCCAAGATATGAGCCAAAACCTACACAAGTGAGTCTCATATAGGACGATTGCAACTAGAACTATACAGACACAAACAGGTCAGGTTTTCAGCCACTTTAGGTTAATTATGTCTCGTGACTCGTGTTGAATAATGTACCAATTCAAACTGGTATTGTCTGCTAGGAAGCTTTGCTATCTACAAATGACTGGCTTTTGCAACGAAATAGACTAAGACACCAACATTCATTCAGTCTATAATCCTTCTGAAGGTATAAAAACAAAGCAGTTACTTGTTATTATAATCAACCAGGTTAGCATTCATCCAATTCAAAACAGTATTCATCATCTCCAGGGATATGGTGAGAGTGCATTACAAAAAGATGAGTGTTCACTCCTCTACAGGAAATTAGAAATATTCCCCACGTGGGTTGACTGAGAGTGTTATGAGTTTACCTATACAATGCAATTGGCTGGCTCAAAAGCGGAAGATATTGCTTTGGCATGCTGGCCTACTTGCACAAACATAACAAAAAGCATTGTCATCTGGTAGGATTGGAATAAACAAAAGCTGTAGATGAAGATGATGGAGCATTCATATTCATTCATATGCAGGCACTCCAGAAATGAGAAATTGTTGACAAAAATGAGGAATGTAAGAAGCAAGAGGAGAGGACTTACACCCATTCGTTTACCCTTTCCTCCTGCCAAAAGAATCACGGATACGCTGTTCTCTTTCACCATTTTAGACTCTGGTTTCTGCATAATCAAAGTCAAATTCTTTCCCTTAAGAAAAAAACACACACACAGAGTTCACAGAATTGAATTGTAAAAGAAGATGATTGAATACAAAGAAAGGTCAATTTTTTATATAATCTAATTTTGTTACATCTACATTGACGACTTTTGCAGAGCAAGTAGTGAAGGTTGAGCTTGCAATTCTAGCCTCAGCCTTAAGCCTGAAATTGAATGGATGGCCTGCCAGCAGCACCAAAGTCATAGTGTAGTGTGAGACAATAGATACAAGGGAAGCAAAGGATGTTTTTATAATTCAATGAGATGAAAAGAAAAAAAAAGTAAATAAAGAAGAAGAAAAAGAGGTTGGATTTGCCTGCAAGTCTAAGGTTAGAGTGTGAAAGTGGTGGAATCCTGAGATTATGACTCGAAACGAGTGGTGAAGAAGAGGGAGTGAGGAGGTCCAGTCCAACAACACAAAGCCCCATCCCAAACTTGAGAGTTGAGAGCCAAATTCCAAAATTTCAATAGTGAAAGTGAAAGGCTGAAAGGAGGACCAAACTTCTCCCCAAGTAGCCTCTGCTCACTTGGCTTGAGAGTTGAGATTGAGAAGAAAGAGTAAGAAAGAGTGCCTCCCTCCCTCCTATAATATTCCTTGAACTTGGAGACAAAACACCACTAATCCAGTTGTTCATTTCCTATTATGGTTGGTGGGTTGGTGATCATTGATGGGCCTGAAACTAGACCCATTTGTTCTGTGGATTGGACTCAGAGCCCAAACTAAGCCCACCCCCGAATATATATGTTTTCAGAGAGGGAGAGAAAGACAGGAGATTCACTCATCATCAGAGTTTACAAAGCTAAAACTTTTGAGAATAAGCAAGAAGAAGAAGAGAGAAACAGGATGGGGAGTAGTAGCAAAAAGGCGCTGGGGACGACAGGGGAGTTCTTCAGGAGGAGGGACGAGTGGAGGAAGCACCCGATGCTGACGAATCAGCTCCGCCACGCCACTCCCGGCCTCGGCATCGCTCTGGTGGCCTTCGGCGTCTACCTCGTCGGCGAGCAAGTCTACAACCGCGTCATTTCTCCTTCTGCTGCTTCCTCATCTCACGCTCATTCTCACTCTCATTCCGCCTCTACCACCTCTGCTACTCACTGAGCTTCATTTCGCAGGTCAGCGAAGATCCAACCATTTATTTCTCTCAATATTTTTTATCATTTTCAATTACGGTTTTGTTTATTGCTAAGGGAATTCCAGCTGAAAATGAATAATCTAGCAATCTTTTCTATTTTCTAAACAAAATTTGAATCAAATTGGTTCTTAGATTATGAATTTAGAGTATTTGCGGTCCAATTAGGTTTTCATTCTTGCCATAGATTAGACCATCATTCAAGTCATTGATGCCGATCTTTTCATGTTTGCCTTCCTAATTATGGCCTTAATGATCGTAATATATATATATAATATAGGATTTTATCATGAATGATCCTTGAACTTGTTGAAAGTCTCATTTCAATCCTCAAACTTTCAAATCAATCAATCTATGCTTAATCTTTTGGTTCATTTGCGGACTAAAATGAGGGCTTTTAAAAATTTCAAGGACCACTTGAGATAAATACCCTATATATATATATATATATATATATATAGATGTATCTTCATGTTTGTGTGTGGGAGTTTCAGATGAACAAGGAAATAGGTAACAAGTACTTGTAAGGAAAGATGGTACTCATTGGTAGGTATTTTTTTTTCTTCACATTTTTTGCGCAGGTGTAAAGTTGGTATCATCTACTTTTGGTTTGTTTAGCTTCCATTTAGTCACAATTTGATTTAAGATTTCACCGAGTTGGCTTGTATATGTTTTGTGGTTGTGAATCTTGTGACTTGTGGTTTACAAGAGTCGAATGCTTGTAACTCATTATTATAAATAGCATACAACATAACCACATATATGGACAATTACATATTCTATCAGCGAAATTTGCCTATGATAAGTTAAGAGAAGACTAGCCTCTTTATATAATGGTGTCTAGGTATTTTAAATGGGACCTGATAAAGCTAGTGCTCACAAGCTAAAGTAGAGAAAGAGATCTTACTTGGTTTCTCTAATGCATTCAAAGAATATGTATGTGTCTTGCATCTTCTTTATTTGATAAATAGCTGATATTGCAGATGGGTGCTCCAGCTCAGCATGAGGAACAGAGTTTGGAGTTTCTTGTATTTCTCTGCTCCTTATCTGGTTGATATTTCAATAAAATGTTTTAAGTTAACAAGGGCCTTAAAGAACTTGAAGGCTGTGAATTTTATTCTGCAGAGTTTTAAGATGTTGTTGCTACTCCTTGAATGGCTACATTTGAAGATTGCATCAGTTGAAAGCACGTGTTTCGTTATTTATATTTGCCTTTGAACTGCCTGCATCTTCTACTTCTAAACTACTTTCATTTTGGGTTATGATTGTGTTTGGTTATGTGTGTGGTTGATTGAGTTTAGTTATGTTTGCGGTTATTGTCGTGGTTCCGCATGCAAAGGAGCCTGCAAGTGGCAAAAGGAGAGAAATTCTTTTGGAAGCCGAAATGCTCTATGACGACTGAAGTTTGAAGGTTGAGAGCATTCTGGCCTTCTTGGATGGTAGATATGAAGCCCAAGTCTTTTTATGAAGTAGTCATGTTGAAGTTTAATTAGCAATTAAAACAAGTACGCTTTGTTTGTGCCACTGCTCTTTTCCATTTTTACTACACGGGTGGTCTCTCATGTCTATTATATCTTTTCATGGCATAAGGTAAGGATCATTACGAGCATAAAATAAGAAGCCTACAAAAGATTTAATCACCTTTTCTAGGTTGCATTTTTGCACAAAAATTTGGCTGCAAGTAACAGACACGTCCGTAGTACTTTCTCCTATTTCTCATGATGATGTTATTGCCCATATTCCTTTTGTCCAATTTTCATATCTACAATTTGGAAGGGTCTCATTCAGTTTGGAAACAGAGAAATAGTTTGGTTTGCCATAACAAAAAGTACTGCAGTTCTCTCCCCAGTGAGAAGGTTTCTGCATAAAATTGGATTGCTGATTTGTGGTTAAGTTTGATTGTGTTGGTTGGTTTGGTTTATAAAAGTGATAGGGCTCTTGTAGGCTTTGTTCTAAGGAATCGTACGCGTTTCTGAAAATAGTGGCATCTCAACAGGGCCCGTTATGAACAGAAATTTTTGAAGGGTGAAATTTGCTGGATCTGTCTTCATTTTCTGTTATGGTTAGATAAGTCAGATACTAGGGCTAGGGCATGCTCTACTTTTGGCAAAATCATTTTCCTATGCTTGTGTGAAAATAACTAACGAATCAGAGAAGTTGGGAATAGAGGAGAGAGGAATGGCAATGGATTAACCACTCACCTAATCAATCTAATTCGTAATTTTTCATGTATGGATCATGGATTTTAACATGGAACTCACATAAGTTTTGGTTTCTTATGTGTTGCACATTGAAAAGGTTAGGAATTTTCTACTTTGTATTACTACATATTTGACCATTCCTAGTGTGTGTGATAAAACCATATGTCAAAATAGCCAGGGGAGCCACATGGAAGAGGGATGATGGGCCATCCCAAGTGTTATTAGAGCATGTGATGACTTGTAGTAGCTAGAATCAAATGTAATCTTTACAGGTCAGAAAAACAAACTTTAGTTGCATAGATGGTTTACCAAATAATGTAATGAACTAGCCCGCTGTCTGTGGGATTTTAAAACTTGCAATCACAACTTACAAGCTACAAGTCATGAGTGTATAAAAAATTGCATATGTGGCAACTAAACTTTAGCCTAAAATGAGTGTGGAATAAAGCTAACGTGACTAGAACTAGTTAATTGTAACGATTTGAACTTGATGATGACAAAGAAAAAGTGGGAACAAGTTAGAAGACATCTTTTTGGCAATGTTGAGACAATACGCCTGCAACCACAGACCCATTTTTATTCTGCCCAATTAAAACATACCTTATATATAAACTTTATTCTCTCATTCGAATGTCCGCACATTATTATCTTGCGGATTCCATTGTAAACAAAGAGGAAAGAAAGGAGAGGTGGTAGAAAATACATAGCGTCCGAATAGAAGAATATGAATATATATATATATATATATATATATACAAACGATAGTTTAAACTACATTAAATCAATCTAATTTACAAGAAAGATAATTTAAATTTGTGTGCAAACTAAGCGGGCAAACTGTTATGACCAACTGACCTAATTCATATATGCATTAAGCAATACTTATTATAACATAAAATTCACATTGGTAGTTGGACCAAAACTAAGCAAATAATTGATCATATAAAATTTACACATATGATCATTCCTATGATTGCATCCATGTGTGTCTGTGATAATTGGAAAAGTTGATTTGGGGACATTTTGGAAAATGCCAAAGGAGAGAGATATTTTGAAAAGAAGCCAAAATGAACAAAAATGCCATTATTTATTTTTGGATTTTCTAATGAATTCCTTACATTTACATGTCTTTTGTTTGAAAGTTGAGGGGTTTTTCTGTCTTTTTTGCAAAAAATTTGGCTTTTAAAAAAAATGAAAGTTTGTTTTTGACTAAAACTTAAATTTACTAAATAGGAAACAAGCACTCACTTGCGCAGAAGGCTCATGTCATGAGTGGGCTCCCTTAGGTACTTGACGTGAAATATTTTACATGATAACCTATATAAGAGCATCTCCAACCGATGTGTCAAACATGCCACATAGACATTTAACAGCTAAAAATAACATCTCACATCACTCCAACCGATATGTCAAAGCTGATGTGGAATGAATGCTGGAGGTTGAGATGTTATTTTTGACATCCCAAAAGCAAGATGTCAAATGAATATTTTATTATTTTATTATTTTATTTTCTTATTAATTAAAAATGAATCAACACTAAAATGTAATAAAGTAATAATTTAATTTGACATATCGGGTGGAGTGTAAAGCTGTATAAGATGTCAAATTGCCACATCAGCCATCAAATTTAAATTTGATGTTTGGTATTTGACATCTCCCTTGGAGATTCTCTAATAAGAGCTAATGAATTTATTTATGGAATTCGTTATCATTTAAAAGAAATGTTCTGTGCAACTTTTCCTTTGTGATGTGTGTGAGGACGAACTACTAAAGCATACGTAATTGACCAAAACAAACTCTATGCGTCAAGAAATCCAATCAAAAAAAGGCCTAAAGGAACCCAATCAAATAAAGGCAAGGGAATATATGCTGTTAGACATTTTTTTATTGGTCATCTCATCTTTTGTATAACTGTGCTAACTCTCAAAACACATGCGGCATGCTTGTCTTTGTCAAGATACTGTCTGCTCCCATGTTGTTGCCTGCATAAATGAGAAAAGATTAGAAAGAAAGAAAAAGTTCCGGGAGTGGTGATCATATCACCTAATGACAGAGCCTTGTCAAGAAACTTCAGCCTCGCTCTTAGACTAAATTACAAAAAATGCATAAGATGACCTAAGAATGCTTTGAAAATAAAATTTAAAAAAAGCCATAAAATTCCAACTGGATTGAATTATTTATGTAAAAATATATGCCATAAAAGTTTGAAATAATGACACAATAAAGCCTTAAGAGACGTCTCAAAATGTGAAACGTTCAAAATCCGAAAAATATCCTTAATTAACTGAGAACACGTTTGATAACCATTTCAATTTTAGTTTTTAGTTTTTCATAATTTTTGTGTGTGCTAGAGTATAGGAGAAAATGAGAGTTATAATGGAAGTAAAAATGAAATTACGAGTGAGGATGAGAGGGAATGATGGGAGGGAGTAGTAACAAAAGTGAAAATAATTTCAAATAGATTTCATTTTTACTTTTGTTACTCCTCCGTCTTATCTTCCCCTCTCATCTTCCCTCCCAATCTCATTTACATTCTCATTCTCACTTATATTCTCCTTTTTTTTTCCTCTATACTTTAGCACAAAAAATAAAAAATAAAAACTAAAAACTAAAATTGAAATGGTTATCAAACGAACCAAATTTGCTTAAAACTTAACCATTTAAATAAAAATTAAAACCCACGTAGTGGGCTATTACCATCACCTTCCTTTTTGGCCACGTGGTCAATTATTTCATAATAAAATAATTGAGCGAGCCGAACAAATTTGATAACAAAGACGTCCTTCTTAATGTGTGTGTGTGTGTGCGCGCTGTGTGCTAGTACCACGGTCATGAGTGACTGCATGTAGTACCATGATCTTGACTTCTTTTCTAGCAATGGCTTAGATAGGAATAGATTCTTTATCGTAAGATTCTAGGCCTCGACCACAAGGCCTTTAGAATGAGATGATGGTTGGATAATATCACCAAACTCAATAGCTCAATGGGTTCAGATAACTCAAGAAATGCAAGCATCTCAAGAAATTTGGATGGATTGGGTGGTGCTCAAAAATTGACTTTATAAATGGCAAAAAGGAAAATCTTGTTGATATATGAAATGGATGATTGAGATAAGGAATGACCAAGAACTCATGATGGTTTCTGAGTTCTCTTTAATGAGAGTTACACTAATTTCTAAGAAAAAACCATTAATAACTATGAACTACATGATAAAAGGTTAAATGGTGCATATCAGCAGTCGTTGGGCTTGATTTGTTTGATTAGTGATGGACCCTTATTTCATCGATATTTCTTTTATTCATAGGCTTTGTATTCTTCTAGTCGAGATAATGATTATGGTCGTGCTCTAACATGTGTACAATCAATCCTCATAACTTTAATTTTATGTTTTCACTTGCGAAAAAATCTAGGCCCAAACATGGATTTTTCATTTCTTCTTATTTTTATATGAATTCACTCTGAAGAATATGTGTATAAATAATTATTAGAAGGGAAAAAAAAAGCCAATTAGCGCGATAGCGTGCTAGGAGGACGAGGAGTAGTAGTTGATTGATATATTAATTCTCTTAATTTATTTTTGACGTGTAAGAAAAAGGAAAAGAGAATATCTTGGTCAAAGTCTAACCAAAATATTAATATTAATATTAAAAGGCCATGACGAAAACCCCGGAACAACCTTCACCGGCGTTCTACTTTGCTTCGGCAGCTTTTTTCTTTAAGAATAAACAACCAAGTCCCACTCACTCTATCCCCTATATATACACACACATTATCTATCTCACTCTCTATCTTTGTTCTTCTACCTACAGAAACCTCGCGAAAGGCAGGAAGCAGGAACAAGAGAGTGGAAATGGCGAAGAACGATGTGCCGTTAGGATCGGTGGACGACTTCCTGAAGCGGTGTCAGCAGTCGGGCGATGCCGCATACGGCGCCTTGAGATCAGTGCTGGAGCGTCTCGAGGATCCCAAGACCCGAACTCAAGCTCGGATCTTCCTCACGGACCTCCAAAATCGCTTCCCCTCCAAGGAAGCCTGCGATCAATGCTTCCGGACCTACCATTTTCAGATTGAAGACATCTTCTTCGATCAGTATGAAGGTAACACGCAAACACACACTCTCTCTCTCCCATTCAAATTTCTCTTTTTATTTGCTGTATCGTCGCCTGTTTGGTTGCTGAGAAAATGGAGGGAATGAAAATGGAAGAAATGGAATATTAAATCCTTTGAATCCAATTATCTAAATTACGACAATTGTCTCATTTGTTGTCTGTCACTGTCTTTTACTTTGGGTGCGTGTATCAATTTGTGGGCGTTTTGGATTCTTTTTTGCTTTTACTCGTCGTTTTCTCGTTAACCAATCCTATTCCTTGGTTGGTTCTTTTCTGAACAAACTGGGAAACCACGTCACTTTTTTCCTTCTCCACTGACTCATTTTCACTCAGTTAACTTCAAATTTTCTATTTCTAGATTTAGGATAACCAAACAATTTATAATGTCACGCACATATCGTTGAATATTTGTCTTTCTCTTTTTTTAAGGGTCGATTGAATCTTATTGAGTTATAAGATGACCTTAAGATAGAGTAGAACAGGAAAGTTCTGAACAATTAAAATTCTTGTATACGATGAGGATAGTGCTATTGCATGGACATGTTTTTTTGTTAATATTTATCTGAAATCATGGTTGGATTTAATACTTCATGTATTATGCAATCATCAATGGCTACACAAATATCTGCTTACCATGCTTGTCAAATGTTATTGGGCTACTGCAGGTTACCAGGGTAGGAAGAAATTGACAATGATGGTTATCCCTAGTATTTTTGTTCCAGAAGACTGGTCCTTTACTTTTTTTGAAGGACTAAATAGACATTCAGATTCTATCTTCAAGGACAAGACAGTTGCTGAGCTTGGTTGTGGAAATGGTTGGATATCTATTGCTATTGCTGAGAAGTGGCTGCCGTCGAAGGTAATTTTGTGTTTGTTTGTCTTACTTTACCATGTGTATCCTTTGCCTTTTCGGCTTCTCTTTCTGATGAAGAAACTACCCTTTTCAGGTGTACGGCCTTGATATCAATCCTAGAGCAGTAAAGATGTCATGGATAAACTTGTACTTAAATGCTTTGGATGAAAAAGGTCAACCCATCTATGACGCAGAGAAGAAAACTTTGCTGGACAGGGTAGAGTTTCATGAATCAGATCTGCTATCTTATTGTAGAGCTAATGATATTCAACTAGAACGAATTGTTGGATGCATACCTCAGGTACTGTCAACAATTACAATTTAAAGGGGATAAAGCTAGTTTGTCAAATGGCCTTTTTGAAGATTCATATCAGGTGGATAATTATTTTGACTAATTCTTTTTCCTTGTTTGTGCTCTTGCAGATTCTTAACCCAAATCCAGATGCTATGTCTAAAATGATTACAGAGAATGCAAGTGAGGAATTTCTACATTCATTGAGCAATTATTGTGCACTTCAGGTTTGGACAGATCCTTGATAATGTATTCTGCATTGTATCTTAGGAGGCATCTGGTGCTACATAAATATCATCACAATTCTATTATTTGCTTTAGTTACACATGGAAATTGTTTGCTAATTATATGTACTTTGGCTTTCTGACAACTGATCAACTGTGTCAATAGATAAGCTAGTTCTTCCAATTTCCATTCATTGTTAGAAACCATAACATAAAGTTTGCTTATGAAAAACTTTCTACATTATGTAGGGTTTTCTTGAGGATCAGTTTGGCTTAGGTCTAATTGCTCGGGCAGTGGAGGAAGGAATAGATGTCATTAAACCAATGGGGATAATGATCTTCAATATGGGGGGTCGTCCAGGACAAGCTGTTTGTAAGCGCTTGTTCGAACGCCGTGGTTTCCATGTTAACAAGCTTTGGCAGACTAAAATTCTCCAGGCAAGTATACCCCTAATTATAGAAAAAAGAAATTTCTTCTTCAAAGTTGCGCTTCTCTTGAAATTTCATTGCTACAGGCTGCAGACACAGATATCTCAGCCTTAGTTGAAATTGAAAAGAACAGTCCACATCGTTTTGAGTTCTTCATGGGACTTTCTGGAGATCAGCCTATTTGTGCTCGGACAGCATGGGCCTATGGAAATGCTGGTGGCCGAATCTCTCATGCTTTATCAGTTTACAGCTGTCAACTTCGCCAACCAAATCAGGTGCACTTCATTTATCCTTACAAAGTTAATGTTCATTGTACTTAAAGATAGGGAAATTAAAAGGATACTGAATTGAATAAACTGACAGGTCAAGACAATTTTTGAGTTTCTTAACAATGGCTTCCATGAGATCAGCAGTTCTTTAGATTTATCATTTGAAGATGATGCTGTGGCTGATGAGAAGATTCCCTTCCTAGCTTATCTTTCCAGTGTCCTGAAAGGGAGTTCTTTTGGCACATATGAGCCACCAGCTGGAAGCAAACATTTTCGTAATCTCATTGCTGGATTTATGAAAACATATCACCGCATTCCGCTGAAAGCTGATGTAAGAAGACATCAACTTTACTGGTTATGTGTTCATGCTTTTGCATCAAACCTTTTCCCTTTTCTGCCTCAAATGAATTATTATTAGTAACTCTTGTGTAGAACATGCCTTTCTTTTTCCTAGATGCAAGTGATTTTGCTCCATTCAAGTTATCTTACTAAGTCACATTTACTCAATAGAAAGATCTCACATAAACTTGCATGGGTCGTCACCATCACAAAAATAAGAAAATAAAATGAAGAATGCTGTTGAATGTAGAGATTTAGCAGGTGACAAATAGATCCCAACTTGAAAATTAGCATGAATGTACCTCTAGGAATTTCTAAACTGATGTCTCTGGCTATTTTTGTGGTGTAAAGACCTAAATATTTGGGATCTATGATTACACTTTCAACAAAACTTTGTTCTATTCTATCCATCCCACAGATTATGTGATGTTCTAATTTTAAATTTAGATTGTAAGTCATTAGTAGGTTTGTCAAGCAGAAGAAAAAGAATAAAGATGAGAAGCTGGTAGGAAATAACTTCCTTGTCTACCCTCATTGTCCCTGTTATGTATATACATATGTACAAACAACTATAATTATAGGGGATTAAAGACCAAGAAAGAGAGAGTTTACTAGTTTAGCTTTGTAGGTATCAAGATATCTTCAACCAGTGTCTTATTGCTTTTGAAATCATGGTTCAAAATAGACAATAAATTCATTGTCTTGCCTTTAGCATTATATAATCTTAGAATTCTCTCTCTCTCTCTCTCTCTCTCTCTCTCTCTCTCTCTCTCTCTCTCATGCCTTGGTACTTTATTTCTCGGTTCCATTTGATATGCTATGTGCTATAATAAACAGATAGTTTCAGTAATTTATATTCCCTGTATAATTTTTTTTTCCTTTTAATTATATTAGTTATTGTATGACACATAATAGATTTGCTGTGATTTGTTTTTTGAATTGTATGGTGGTCTGTCCTTGCTTACAAAGTGACACAGCCAAGAATGATGTGGAAATATACTTATACTTCTTTCAAAGGCTAAGTTTTGTAGCAAAATAAAAGAATAAACTTATAACTAAAATCATGGAAACCTAAAGATTTTTTTTATATTTTTAAGTGTAACCCTGCAGAACTTCATGTTTACGCTTTTCCTGTTCTGTAGTGTGAGCCGCATTTCTGACTTGTTTTCTCTCATTTGTTGTACAAGAATGTGGTTGTTTTTCCTTCAAGAGCTGTGGCCATAGAAAATGCTCTTCGGCTGTTCTCACCTCGTCTTGCAATTGTTGATGAACATCTGACCCGCCACCTTCCAAGGAATTGGTTAACGTCGTTAGCAATTGAGGTGTGGCATTTGCAATGTTGCGGTACTTTCATTTTAATTTGTTATTTATTACTTTTGTGGGTCAATGTATTATCAACCCGAAAGTCGGCCCTTGCAACCTTATCATAAGCATTAGTGCGAATTTCAAAGTCTTTATTAGATACTCACAGCCCTGGTAATATTATGATGACTACAGTTTAGTGGAATAATTAAAATATTCTTGGATCAACACTGAGAAGTTGTAGATCTCACTCATATGGTATTCTGAGATCAAATATACTTAACAAGAGGATGTAGAAACCGAAAAAAAGGCCCAAATTTATATTTAGTTTTCAATAAAAGTTTCAAAAAGTCTTCTATCTATAGGTAATGGGTTCCCTAGTACCATTTAGAATTTTCTTTGGGTAGTTGGGGCATCTTTCGTAACTACATTTGTTTCTCAATTTAGGGTGCAGGAACTGATAATAATCCTTCAGAGGATTCACTTACAGTTATTGAAGCTCCTCGCCAGTCCGATTTAATGATAGAGCTGATAAGGAAGTTGAAGCCACAGGTGGTGGTTACTGGGATTGCTGAATATGAGGCTGTTACTAGTTCAGCCTTTGTGCATCTTTTAGATGTTACGAGAGAAATTGGATCTCGTTTGTTCCTGGACATATCTGATCAATTTGAGCTGTCCAGCCTTCCAGGTTCCAATGGAGTCCTCAAATATATCGGAGGAACTACTCTGCCATCACATGCAGCAATTATATGTGGCCTAGTAAAAAATAAGGTACTGTTCTTTTTATATGAACTCTGAAATTCCCCAGCTTAACCTGGCTATCTCAGGAGGAGGCTTTTATATAATTTAATTCAAAGCCATAACGTTGAGATTCTTTCATATAAGTTTATCCTTTAGGTTTTTTTAATGCAAAATCTTCTCATGAATAGTAGCCGAACAATCTTTCCAGGTTTATTCAGATCTAGAAGTAGCTTTTGTAATTTCAGAAGAGGAAGCCATCTTCAAGGCCTTGTCGAAGACCGTTGAACTACTAGAAGGGAATACAGCACCAATTAGTCAATGTTATTATGGTTGTCTTTTTCATGAACTTTTAGCTTTTCAGCTTGCTGACAGACACCCACCTGCACAGGTATGTCGGTCCCTTTTTATTAAGGGGTTTATTTCCACTTAAGTATTTAACATCTAAGAAATAACAAATATACCAAGTACATTTTGGTCAACGTATAGAGTCTTCTTTTTGATAACTTTCTCAAAGACATTCTAAGATGTTATTCTGGTTGGATGAAAATTGCACTTTTTATCTTCCATCTTCTGTTTTCTGCTGAATATAGTCTGTCTTCTGTTTATGATATTAGGAAGGGGATAAATAACATTTAATGTGGTTTTGCACCTTAAGTCTATGTTGCATTTAAATTGCTTGGCATGGTAAATCTCTCTGTGAAGTGTAAAAGTGGTCTGCATATAATGCTTGATTTGTGACAAGAAAATCTGAAGAATGTTATGTGTACCTTGTGTCATAATTTGGAACAGAGTAGTTATGAGTTATGGCAGTCTGAGGTCTACCTCGTGTTTAGCCAGGAAGTTCTAGAAAAGATGCAATATTCACATGAGAAGATTATCATAAGGACAATCTTTTCTCTCTTTATCCCTCTTTTGGATGTTTAGTTTTGTCACTAATGTATTTGATGTCAATTATACTTTCTACGATGCCAAAAATTCCAGTGGTTTGTTACTTGCTGATTGCTTTGCGAAATTTATTGAAGTCTTCAATAAATCTACCTTTTTCCTATTCATGGAGACAAGTTTGCTTATCCAATTGGTTTTCATATATGTTCTTCAGAGGGAAACTGCATCAACTAAATCAGCAGAGATGATCGGATTTGCTAGTTCAGCAATCTCAGTCCTCAATAATGCAGAGTTGTCAATTAGTGAGGCAGGGAACTCTTCCCTGATTCACATGGATGTTGATCAAAGCTTCTTACGTGTACCATCACCTGTCAAGGCTGCTATTTTTGAAAGTTTTGCTCGACAGAATATAGCCGAGTCAGAAATAGATGTCACCACTAGCATCAAGCAATTCATCAAGAGTACTTATGGTTATCCAGTTGATAGCAGCACTGAATTTATATATGCTGACAGCTCGCTAGCTCTGTTTAACAAGCTGGTTGTTTGCTGCATTCAAGAAGGGGGTACATTGTGTTTTCCTGCTGGCTCGAATGGGAACTATGTTTCTGCTGCCAAATTTTTGAAAGCAAATATTGTAACTATACCTACTAAGTCTGCAGATGGCTTTAAACTGACAGATAAGGTGCTTTCTGGAGAACTAGGGACTGTGAATAAGCCATGGGTATACATTTCTGGACCAACAATTAACCCAACTGGTTTGATATACAACAGCAAAGAGATTGAAAGTTTGCTGTCTATTTGTGCCAAAGTTGGAGCCAGAGTTGTGATTGATACTTCATTCTCGGGCTTGGAATTTGACTTTGAGGGTTGGGGCGGTTGGAATCTGGTGGATAGTTTGTCAAAGCTAAATTCTTGCAACCCATCCTTCTGTGTCTCTCTGCTTGGGGGATTGTCCTTGAAGATGTTGAGTGGGGCGCTCAAATTCGGGTTCCTTGTTTTGAACCAGTCTGTTTTGGTGGAGACATTTTATAGCTTTCCAGGATTAAGCAAACCTCATAACACGGTTAAATATGCTATTAAGAAGCTGCTGAGTCTGAGAGAGCAGAAACCAGGAGATCTGTGGGATGCTATTGCAGAACATATAAAAAATTTGAAGAGTAGATCCAAGCGCCTGAAAGAGGTGAACTCTCTCTCTCTCTCTCTCTCTCTCTCACACACACACACACATTCATTTCTGACTCAGCAATGATTCGATTACTTACCTCTACGTCCTTGAGTGGCTCCTTAGGTGCTTAATTTATAGTAATGTTTTCCCCTGCACTCTCATTTTAATTTTCATAATCATCCTACTTATGTTCTGATAGACGCTGGAGAAGTGTGGTTGGGATGTGCTTGAACCCTGCGGTGGTGTTTCCATGGTGGCCAAGCCCTCATCTTATTTGAACAAGAGTGTTAAATTCAAGAAATCGCCTAATGATGGAGGCAGCACTCAAAAGGAAATGATGTCCGAAGTTAAGCTTGATGACTCAAACATCAGGGAAGTCATTCACAAGGCTACTGGCTTATGCATCAACAGTGGTTCGTGGACGGGAATTCCTGGCTACTGTCGGTTCACCATTGCTCTCAAAGAAAGTGAATTTGAGCGCGCATTGGATTGCATTGTTAAATTTAAGGACACCATCAAGAACTGATTCTTTTTTCTTTAAAAAAATTAAAATTAAAATTATTATTGCTTGTGCATTGTGGCACACGCCAATCCTACCATCAGTTTCTACTACACTCAAAGTAGGGCTTCTATAATGTGTTTTTGCCCTTTTCCATACACAATGTACCAAGTCATTTATTTGAGTGTGAGCTGATGATGTGTTCTATAATTCCATAACCTTCTTCCTTTGTGAAACAATCCCAATCAATACCGTAATAAATTTGTGTATTTTCTCTAGGATTTCTGATTTCAGTTTACTTACGTTAATCTTAACCTCGTTCAATCATATCACAGCCCTGGTAATATTATGCTGATTACAGTTTAGTTGAATAATTAAAAGGTTCTTGGCTCATCTCACTCATATGGTATTCTGAGATTTTTCGCACATTCATGTTACATGTCTGAGCTTGCATTTTTCCATTAATTTGTTGGAATTTCTTTCTCGTTAGACAGCACAATTTTGGGAACAAAATCTTAATAGCAAATACACGAAATTTGATGATGTCAATTACAGTTCCAGTCTACATTCTTCAAAAACTTTGAGACAAGTCCACTCAAACCTTGACTTCTAATACTTATAATTATAAATATATGTAGAACAGCTCCACTAAAAAATATTCAACATTCTCCTTTAATAATATAAGAATTGCAAAGCAAACTAAACCCCTTAACAACTCCCAAATGTTAGAGAAGAAGGGAAATACCAAATTCGTAGCCCACATTTTATATGTAGTGGGCATCACACACATATAATATATGTACAGCATTAGTTAGAAATTTAATCGCCAAGCCTAAATCTCATGGCATTTTAATTTTATTAGCTCATCACATGATGGTGCATTGGGTGTCCGGATCATAAATGGGTGAATCTCCCTCCGCAGTGGTGGTGCTTTCAGTTCATAGTAATTAGGGTAATACCGCTGATGATGGTAGGGATCTGTTGTTGCATGGCAGGACCCTGTTCCATTAGGATTATAATATCCATAATCATGATTATTGTCCATTTCTGTAATTAGCAATAGCAACAAGTTTTGCCGTATAGAACTGATGCTTATATCCTGAGTTAACCCTAAGCAGCTCTGCATGCTTCCCTGATTGTGCTAATAACTTCATAAGGGTGTTCGGATCGATTGTCCCCGAAACATGTGCAATCCCGGCTTGTGCATCAATGGTGTAAGACACCCCTTATAATCAAATCAGACAATTAATTTGGTGATTAAGATTAATTAAAATAAAATCAATTGTGCAGATCATGAATTCAAGCAATGCAACAGAACTTGTGGAATTGATTCAAAGAATAAATATATAATAATCTATGTATATATATACACACGTACGTACCCTTGATTTTGCTCAAAACTTCGGTCATGGTCTTGTGCCATCCAGAGGAACTGGTATCCAATTTCTCACAACACTGCAAAAACAATAATCCAAAAATGAAATATAAGCACCCTATTTTGCCAAAATCAATCAAGAAAATGAAATATAACTTGGAAATTAAAATAGGAAGATAAATTAAGGGGCTTGTAAGAGCATTTATATATTTTTTTTCAACCGTATAGCCGCCCCGCGCAGCTATACTCGAATGATAGATTTTTGGGAAATTGACTTGGATAATCACAAAAGATAAACCATAATCAAATATATTCACTTTATAAATTTCAATCAGAAATACTCACTTTGTAACATGAAAGTACCCAATTGCCCTCCATATAAATACATTTGTATTGACCCTTTATCCCATCAAAAATTCATTTTTCTGAAACCCAACTCCTCTCCACTCTCGCACTCTCCCAAATCTTGCTTAGCCATGACTTCATAGAAAACAGAGAGAGTAACGGCCATGGCGATGACGTCGATGGATTCTCCAAAGTCTAACCTGGACACCGACACTGAGCTCATTACCAATCCAAACCTTAACCCTAACCCTACTTCTTCAAACCCTCCCCGCCTCCTACAATGGCCCTGCTGTCTGCCTTCTCAAGTTTGGCGGAGACTCCGCTGGTGGGGCATTCATGGGCTCCATTTTTCGCTACAGTCCTCTCTCCCCCTCCCTCTCTCCCTCTCCCTCTCCTTCTCTCTCTCTCTCTCTCTCTCTCTCCTCTCTCTCTCTCTCTCTCTCTATCTCTCTCTCTATATATATATATATGTTTATATATGTATACATGCGTATGGAGTGTTATGCTTTAATTGCTTAATTGTGGTGTTTCTATATGGGAATTTGAGTGGTGCTGATATAGGATTTTGAGTGTTTGACAAAATATGATTTTCGTTAATAGTGTTTTGGGCTTTGCGAAAGGGAGTTAATTTTCTCTTTCTGACTAACGAGCTGTTGGAGTTTTTGTTGAGGTTTGTTTAGTGTTGCTAATGGTTGAGGTATGCTAGTGTTTTGAGATGTGAAATTGTGGTTTTCTCTAATGGTTGAGGTATGATAGTCTTTTGTATTTTTCAGTTCGTATCATGTGGGTTTCTGTTGAGTATTGATATAGTGATTCTTAATATGCTTCCGGATATGTTTTTTGCTGAAATTCCTTATATGAAGTGTATGAATTTTGAATTCGAAATTGTTGCATTTGCCTTATCAAAACCTGATATGGATGCAAATAGGTCTTGTTGCTATTGATTTTATTATTTATCAGAACATGGGAAAGCTGAAAATAGGTATCTTCATGAGATCCTTGACCAAAATTTGAAGTATTGCAAGAGCATTAAGTAGACCTCCCCTGATATATACTGCTTCAGAAAATTTTGGTTGTTCTGTTCACTATTGCCTTCTTTAGGAAGCTTATAAATTACATGTGGAGCTTCTTGAGTCAAACAATTCCACATTACCCCATTATTGTTCTGTGTATTACTGTTATGGATGTTGTTTGGTTATATTGATTAAGTTCACCCTTTGAGGTGTTTTGATGTCTGGTTCTGTGCCTCTTATTTTGTTTGACAATTTCTTTGTGCTTTATGTGTTCCACTTTTTGCGATTTTCTCTTGTTGGTGTTCTAGGTTCGGAAGCTCCTTGCCAATTTGTCTAGGAATTTTGTATGTAATAGGGCATGAATGTCTTGTGAGAAGAATTGTAATTTATGTAGGAAGCTTTGGTAATACAATAACAAATGTTAGAAACTAAATGATTCCAATTACAAATGTGAGAGAGTCACATACTTTAACTTAATGTTTATACTTGCACTTTTCTGAATCTTTAGTTTTGTTGTCATACTTTGGTGAATAAAAAGCAATTGGGAATGTTGCAGAAATGGGGAGTGGGGAACTACACATGCGAGAGAATATCACCTTCATAACACAGCTCATCACTTGAAGGTTCGAGATTGGACAAAAGCTACTGGTTTCTTCACAGTTAGAAGATGGCTTGAGAAATGAAGATGCGCCACCAGTTTTGTTTCACCACATAAACATTGTTGTAATAGGAGTGGAATTGGATATTAGTTGTGCTTTGATGTGATCAGCTATTCCTTATTTATTAGTTGTGGTTTCATGAATTAGTAACCATGAAACTAGAGTGGATAGAGAAACTGCATCTGTATATGTTTAGCTAATAAGTAGCCTCGCAATGTAAACTCAAGTTTATGTATTGCGCTTTCTTATTATGCCTCTATTGTTGTCTTAACTATTTTTTCACCTCTGTCTTGACAATTACAAAGCTAAAGTTGGACTAAGAGGTTTACGTATTGCCTTCTTAGCACTTTGTTTTTCACCTCTCTTTGCAATTATAGAGTTAAAATTGGACTTAGGTTTACGTATTGCCTTCTTATTGCCCTTTTATTGTGTTCCTATTGCTCTTCTATTGTTGTCTTTGCAATTATAGAGTTGAAAGACTATCAAGTTTAAGTATTGCCTTCTTATTGCCCTTATATTGCTTTCCTATCGTACCTCTATTGTTGTCTTAACTCTTTTTTCACCTCTGTCTTGACAATTATAGAGCTGAAGTTGGACTTCCAGGTTTACGTATTGCCTTCTTATTGCCCTTTTATTGTGTTCCTATTGCTCCTCTATTGTTGTCTTTGCAATTATAGAGTTGAAAGACTATCAAGTTTAAGTATTGCCTTCTTATTGCCCTTATATTGCTGTCCTATCGTACCTCTATTGTTGTCTTAACTCTTTTTTCACCTCTGTCTTGACAATTATAGAGCTGAAGTTGGACTTCCAGGTTTACGTATTGCCTTCTTATTACCCTTTTATTGTGTTCCTATTGCTCCTCTATTGTTGTCTTTGCAATTATAGAGTTGAAAGACTATCAAGTTTAAGTATTGCCTTCTTATTGCCCTTATATTGCTGTCCTATCGTACCTCTATTGTTGTCTTAACTCTTTTTTCACCTCTGTCTTGACAATTATAGAGCTGAAGTTGGACTTCCAGGTTTACGTATTGCCTTCTTATTGCCCTTTTATTGTGTTCCTATTGCTCCTCTATTGTTGTTTTAGCACATTGTTTTTCACCTCTGTCTTTGCAATTACAAAGTTGAAAGACTATTAAGTTTAAGTATTGCCTTCTTATTGCCCTTATATTGCTTTCCTATTGTACCTATATTGCTGTTTTAACCCTTTTTTCACCTCTGTCTTGACAATTATAGAGCTAAAGTTGGACTTCCAGGTTTACGTATTGCCTTCTTATTGCCCTTTTATTGTGTTCCTATCGTTGCTCTATTGCAGTCTTAGCACTTTTTTTTTTCCTTAATGTATGTCTTGGCAAACAAATTGTAGTTAGACTATGAATTCTTTGTATTGCCCCTTTATTCCACTGCCCTTGTATTGCACCACAGTTCAATTTAAATTTCTAGCCACCTGCTTTACGTGTCTACACCAATCATGCACATAAACATCATACATACACATTCAATAAATGTTATAAATACCTGCATCATGATCTATACAATTGGGTACCTATAAGGATACCTATTTCCAAAAACAAAAATAGCGGCATGTTAGGAACACAAATTTTACATAAAGTTAGGTAGCAAATATCACCACTTAATGGAATAAGACATACAAACTAAACAATTGTAATATCTAAATGATCTGCTTCTTGTTAGTGACGGGAATAGCTTCTTTGCATGTACTTCGATAATGGCCCTTCACACCGCACCTTGAGCATTTTCTTTCTCGCGAGTCCTCTCCTTTAGAAGGTATTCTTTGCGTCTTACGACGGCCCGGCATAACCTTTAAAATAGGAGGGAGGAGATTTACATTTTGGACATTTTCGGGAATAACCCATGTCCCTTGAGGTGGTACAGGATAAATGGATTCAGCATATGCAGCTGCCCATGTAGCTCGAGTGTAATACGAAGAGGCAAATGAGTATGGGTTCAATTTCAAGTGCCGACATACCGCAATAGCATGCTTGCACGGGAGTTGCTCTAAGTCAAACTTCCTACACGTACAACTATAGTTTTGCAAGTGCACGAGACCGTTCATATCACCATCAAGCACATTATACTCCATATCATTGATTTTAACCACATTCATCCTCGAAGCAGCGTCTAATCTCTTCCTCAACTTCTTTTCACCTAAATCAGGGCACAACATAGATTTACATTTCATTGACAAATCTCGACGTTGACTAAACCAATTCTGAAGCATATTCCTAATTTCCTCGATCAAGTGTACCACCGGAAGCATCCTTGCAAAACGAAGAACTGAATTAATGGACTCTGCAATATTAGTTGTCATGACATTATATTATCGTCCATCACAATGGGCTCGAGACCACTTATGGAGCCCTGCACGTACTAGATAAGTTTGCATTCGCTCGTTGTTTATCATGGAGAAATAACGATTGAACTCTGCTAGACGGTAAGACTTAGCCGCCCGCACAAAAAACCCCAATATCGGATCCCGCTTCTTCAACTTAAATGAGGCTTTCATATTGCCCTTCAAGTGATAAAAGCAAACACCATGTGCTGCCTCAGGAAAAACTCTTTTCAACCCATTTTCTATGCTAAGATTTCGATCAGATATGACAACAAGATTCGAGCAATCACCAATTGCACAATGTAGTTTTGTGAAAAACCACTCCCAAGCCGCATCCGTCTCTAAATCTCCAATCCCAAAGGCAAGAGGATATATATTACGATTTCCATCAAATGCGGTGGCAACAAACAAACCACCTTTGTACTTGCACTTCAAATGGGTAGCATCAACAGCAATCACAGGACGCATTGAGCACTTAAATCCTCTTATGCATGCACCAATTGACATAAAAAAAATATAAAAAGTGGTTGGCTGCATCAGTCTCAATGTATGTCAAAGTTCCAGGATTTGTACGCTCCAGTACATAACAATAGGAAGGGAGAAGAGCATATGATTCTTCTGCAGACCCTCTAATTATCTTTAAAGCTAACTCTCGGCTTCTCCAAGCTTTAGAGTAGCTTATGGTCACACCAAAATTTTGTCGCACATCTTTGATGATATCACCTGCAGTATAAATGGTGCGAGAATCCTTGAATCTGCGTTTCACAGAGTCAGACAACAATCTCGTACTAGCTTGAGGATGGTGACTACTAAGATACCTTAGATCACATTCATGAAATGGATCGTATTTAACAACCCTAAACTCATGTAATCCAACTTTATATGCCCGAAGTCGCCAAGGGCAAGGAAGTTGCCAACAACGAACACACAACCTACGTTTCCCAGATTGGACTGTTCTAAATCGAAAGTGGCCTCTGACTGCTGCTAAACATAAGGTTTTTATAAGGGCAATCTTATTTGGAAAAACTCGTCCAACCTTAAAATTTGCTTCCCAATTTATGCAAGAAAGACCTCCACCATAATCAATATCTTCCACACTCTTACCATGCACCAAATGAACTTGGCTTGTATGCATTTGAGTCCAACTTGATTGTTGCGGATTTTCAGATTGCACTTGTGTAACCTGCACCATGGAGGCTTGGAAATTGCTTTCTCGATGAGGATGCACGTTTGGTGCAGAGTACGCTTCCTCTTCATTCCTAGGTACACAAAAATCTGCGACTATGTTTTCAACACATTCAAAATTAACATCTTCAACCCAATCTTTCCAATTAAAACCAGTTACACCATTTTCAGTTCCACTATCCCCAATTACCTCATTCCTATCTCTCACAACAACTGCAAGGGGAGCATTGCTATTCCCAATGCTTACAATGCCATTGCAGCCATGAATACCATGTCCTTCTATAACTTTGAGGGTTGCTAATAAAGGGGTTACTCTAGAGGTCATAACGTCCGTGCTGTACTTCAGAAAATATTGAACGTCATCATTGTCTTCAACCTTTAGGTGCTTATAGGCAGATGATGATAGAGGAACTGAATACTTCAGTGTGAGACTATATTTGTTGAGATATGCATTTGTGATCTTATAAATGCGGTCAACAAGCTCAGAAAAGGTTACGTTCCGTGATACTATTATGCCTTTAGCCTCGCCACCTTCATAACTCTCAATGTTATCCATTTTTAATAATACATCCGAGTCTCTATTGTCCATTTTTTATTTTTTACTCTTACATAGTTATTACTCGTATGAAGAATTTAGCACTTTTATATTTAATACTCTATTATACACGTACGTATGTATTTTTCAATAATACATCCGTATTCTGTACACGTCTTAAAGGCTCTTCAATATCTACTCCGGATATTTTGAAACTAACAATTTAATATCTATAAAGTATAAAATAATGCAACTAGGAGGGTCCTTTTCTCTTTATTTTTTATTAAATAGTATAGTCGCACTGCTATACCTTTTAAATATGATGTATTTAAAGAGTCTAGTCAGGCGGCTATACCACGGTAAATAAAAAAAAAAAAAAAAATAGTATAATGCGCGTCGATACTTATTTTGACACCCCTTTTTAAATAGTATAGTCGCACTGCTATACCTTTTAAATAAGATATACATATCCATATATACAGCAACAAACTATTTGTTATCACAAAGAATTCAATTATATATGAGGCAAGAAAAGATTCTTATCTTTTTCTTCGGGATTTTTGGCCCGGTGAAAAGCGGACTTAATACACCTCAAGAGCATAATCATATGCTGTTCAGACCCATCTCCATCGAGTAAGATTAACACAATCACATGATGCCTAAGAAATTTGTAATCAGAGTTGTTCCAGAGTCAGTTTCTTATTCACCCTCTATTCCGTATGAAGCCTGAGATCCAAAAGGGTTATTTTATTATTGTATTCTCCATTGTTGTAGTTTAAAATGAAAACAGAACATCCACTTCAACATCTACTCTCTTCAGATAAGACACAGGGCAACATATATTATTTATGTAACCTCAATGAAACAGCACAAAGAAGCTAACCAAGACAAAAATTTATATAGCACACATCTAATTCCAGTTGGTTGGTCAATCGTTTATTACATATTCACTACTTCCAACTTTTTCCGGTTAGAAATTAAGATTCTGTTAAACTTTTATACACAAGGAACCATTGGGTAAACACGTAGTACTTCTAGACCTCTTATTTACTCTTGCTTGCCTCCAGAAGAGCAACTTTCGAATGAGCTCCAGATATAGATAAATTTAATCCCTCCAAAGCTGCTCCATCAAACCTGCAAGAGCAGTTTCCCATGCCAAATACATATATATATATATATATATATATCAGTATATCAATTAAAATGTTAAAGACATCGGGGGCAAGCCACTGTTGTTTACCTTAAGAACATTATCAATATTAGCATCACTAGCATGGCAAGCTATTCTCAGCTTCCTTTCCATGCTTTGTATACCATTTGAACATTGCAACTCTGCCTCCATATATGCATTCCTTTTACAATCCTGCATGAGTAGCCAATTTAAACGAATAAGGCCAGTATACAAGAGATGAGCTAATAATATATACATATCCATATATACTGCAACAAACTATTTGTTATCACAAAGAATTCAGGCAACAACAAGATTCTTATCTTTTTCTTCAGGATTTTTGGGACGGTGAAAAGCAGACTTATACACCTCAAGAGCATAATCATATGCTGTTCAGACACCCATCTTCTTCGACACTCTGCAGAGTAAGATTAACACATCTACTCTCTTCAGATAAGACACAGGGCAACATATATTATTTATGTAACCTCAATGAAACGGCACAAAGAAGCTAACCAAGACAAAAATTTATATAGCACGCATCCAATTCCAGTTGGTTGGTCAACTGCATTAGAAAAACTTAGCCTTCAAGTTCAACACAAACAAATATCAATAAAGAGAGTAACATATTTGAGTTCATGACCTACAAGAGATAGATCAAAGACAACAGTGAGTCACCGACCTGAATTTCGTTAATTCTCTGTAGATCATGTTCGTTGTTCAACGGCTGTACAAGCATTCTCTATCTGAAAATAGAGCTCGAATGGAGGCTCGTATCTATATTGGCCATTCATACTGTACAATTAGGGCCTCCAAGTCCAACATACGTTATACATAGAGAACATAATTCAAGAGTAGCAGTGCTCAATGTGCCTAGAATGTCATAAATAGCTAACAAGCGTAACCTAAAAGCAGATAATGCCAGTTTAACAGTACATGTATGAATTGGCAAGCAAATTCTTGAAAATAAAAGGTCAAGATTTCTCTCTCTCTCTCTCTCTCTCTCTCTTACGAGGAATGCGGCAAACAAAAATTGTACTAACATTCTCCACCTAAAACACAGGCAAGCATAAATGCCATTTGCATATTAAAGAATAAGCAAAGCAAGAGAAGCTAAACGCATGCCATTCACAGAAATGTTTAAACTTCAGAATCAATTTGAATTCAAGTAGCCTAACGCATGCCATTCACAGAACCTTGTTATTGGCAAGACCATAGAAACTCCATGATAGGACAACTTCTTCATCATTTCCATCCACAGAAGACAGACACCAAGTCAGCAAGTTTTGTATTTTTTTCTTCTGCACCATGTCGTCAGTGCAAAGAGAGAAGAATATAAGGCGCGAAACAGGGAGAGGAATGGAAATTGGAATTAGATGAATTAAGAGTCTCATGATCTCTTCTTCTATGGACCTGACTTGTGCTTCACTGCTTCGGCTTCCCAATCTAAAATTTGCAGCTAAGTTTTTTCAAATTCGGGTTTTAGACTTCCAGTCAATCGCAGTGTTCGAAAAGTCGAACTAGGCGGGCGGCTAGGCGGCTAGGCTGGAGCTAGGCTGCTAGGCTGGCGCTAGGCGGTGGCTAGGCGGGCGCTAGGCGGCTAGGCGGTGGCTAGGCGGCTAGGCGGTCGCTAGGCGGGCGCTAGGCGGTTAGGCGGCTAGGAGGCTAGGTAGTAGCTAGGCGGGCGCCTAGGCGGGTTGGGTCTTTTTTCGGTGCCGAACTCGGAGGAAGAAGCAGTGACTGCGAGAGAAAGTTCCGTCCTCTGCGAGTTCAAGCTTTGTGTTCGTTCGAATATATTTAAAGAGTATAGCCGCGCGGCTCTACTGTTAAAATATTCGAATGTAATTTGAAAGCATAGCCGCGGCTGTACGGTTATAATTTCTATTTATAGAGTCGAGCCTTGCGGCTATAATGGAAACGTATCATACAAAAGAAGACGTATCATCCAAAGGAAACGTATCATACATGGTCATTTCAGAATCCTCATGGTGGTTTTGGATTATTAAGCATATCTTATTACATGGGCTTCTTCTTGTTCTAGCAATAGTATGCTGATAACATTGCAGAAGCCTCAGGAATATGACTTGATGTGGTAGAAATAGACCAGCTTGACCAAATGAGAATACAGTATGCTGATTATTTGCTGATATGCTCTACGTTTTACTTGTTTGGCAGATTGGGGACCGAAGGTTGATGTTGATGTTTTTGTTTTCTTGACCTTGCTTCAAATTATGAACCCCCAGATTCACTTGCGGAGTGGCTTGAAGCTGGTGAACAGCCTGTCCATATTGGATTTGATAGCCTTGTGAGTTTGTTGCAGCTTTCTCTTTTCATGTTTAATAATATTTTCCCAGTTCTATCCCAGAGTAGCTTTGTTTGTCCTTACCCTAGAAAAATTACTTGTTCCTTCCCAATTAAAACAATCAACCAAAGCCACAATCTCCAAAGAGCGACCACCTTCATGTTGGTCCCCAACGAATAGGTTGTGGAGGTCTATTCATGACAGATGACAAACCTCCCCAACAAGGATCATCCTTTTGGTCACTGGGTTCTTTTCTGTTGTACCTCCAGCAATGATAATTGAATTGTTGACAATTACCCAAGAACACTCTATGTGAGAGTTGGGTTTTGGCATGGGAGGCAACACTTTCCATTTCATTTCACCATCCAGCATATAAGCATCCCCGTAAACCACCTGAAAACAGAACAACTGAGGCTATAAGAGACCATGTGAATAATTATTGCCACTTCTTCTGTTCATCATGCCAAAGTAACTGTGGCTAAGTATGGTGACTAAGTACAATCGGAGATTGTGTTCTAATGAAAACACAATAATACCTCATGCCTACGAGAACATTTTAAAATTGGTGACCCAGGCTTGGGCATAAAATCACCCTCTTGACCACCAATAAGGAGGCGATCACTCATCACAACACAAGCCCTGTTAGAAGATTGACCCTGACGGTGAGAAAACATTAAAATAAACCCACAGGATTTCAAGTTGCTGAGAGGAAATTTTTCAAGTGAATGAAATTGATGGTAAGACAAACAAACCTATGTGGTCCCCCACGGGGAATGGGTGCTTCTTTCCGCCACTCTTTCTCCAATGCTTTGCCATCCTTCACAGCAATACTCCAGTGATCCACACTAGGCGTATGGCGGTTTTCTTTGCTGCCACCCATCACATGGAGTCTGCCTCTCCACAATTGAGTTGCTGGAGCATACCTGCAAATTATCATGTTAAATCCTATCATCTAATATAGCTGTCAAATTTATGGATTACTTCACATAAATTTCAGCCACTAATATAACTCTAATGGAACTTCATCTAACATATATTATTTATGTAACCTCAATGAAACAGCACAAAGAAGCTAACCAAGACAAAAATTTATATAGCACACATCTAATTCCAGTTGGTTGGTCAATCGTTTATTACATATTCAACACAAACAAATATCAATAAAGAGAGTAACAGATTTGAATTCATGACCTACAAGAGAAAGATCAAAGACAACAGTGAGTCACTGACCTGAATTTCGTTAATTCTCTGTAGATCATGTTTGTTGTTCAACGGCTGTACAAGCATTCTCTATCTGAAAATAGAGCTCGAATGGAGGCTCGTATCTATATTGGCCATTCATACTGTACAATTAGGGCCTCCAAGTCCAACTCACATTCTCCACCTAAAACACAGGCAGTGAGGTGCATCACTGCTTCGGCTTCCCAATCTCAAATTTGCTTTTAGACTTCCAGTCAATCGCAGTGTTCGAAAAGTCGGCCTAGGCGGGCGGCTAGGCTGCTAGGCGGTGGCTAGGTGGCCGCTAGGCGGCTAGGCGGGCGCTAGGCGGCTAGGCGGTCGCTAGGCGGTCGCTAGGCTGTTAGGCGGCTAGGCGGTGGCTAGGAGGCTAGGTAGTAGCTAGGCGGGCGCCTAGGCGGGTTGGGTCTTTTTTCGGTGCCGAACTCGGAGGAAGAAGCAGTGACTGCGAGAGAAAGTTCCGTTCTCTGCGAGTGCACGCTTCGTGTTCGTTCGAATATATTTAAAGAGTATAGCCGTTCGGCTGTACTGTTAAAATATTCGAATGTAAGTAGAAAGTATAGCCGTGCGGCTGTTCGTTTATAATTTCTATTTATAGAGTCAAGCCTTGCGGCTATAATGGAAACGTATCATACAAAAGAAGACGTATCATACAAAGGAAACATATCATACATGGTCATTTCAGAATCCTCATGGTGGTTTTGGACTATTAAGCATATCTTATTACATGGGCTTCTTCTTGTTCTAGCAATAGTATGCTGATAATATTGCAGAAGCCTCAGGAATATGATTTGATGTGGTAGAGATAGACCAGCTTGGCCAAATGAGAATACAGTATGCTGATTATTTGCTGATATGCTCTACGTTTTGCTTGTTTGGCAGATTGGGGACCGAAGGTTGATGTTGATGTTTTTTGTTTTCTTGACCTTGCTTCAAATTATGAACCCCCAGATTCACTTGCGGAGTGGCTTGAAGCTGGTGAACAGCCTGTCCATATTGGATTTGATAGCCTTGTGAGTTTGTTGCAGCTTTCTCTATTCATGTTTAATATTATTTTCCCAGTTCTATCCCAGAGTAGCTTTGTTTGTCCTTACCCTAGAAAAATTACTTGTTCCTTCCCAATTAAAACAATCAACCAAAGCCACAATCTCCGAAGAGTGACCACCTTCATGTTGGTCCCCAACGAACAGGTTGTGGAGGTCTATTCATGACAGATGACAAATCGACCCTTTGGTTGTTCGTCGGTCAATGTCTAATTTGACTGAGGCATGTCTAATACATGCAGAGTATACCTCTGAATTGCATAGTTAAGGTTACTTGATTGTGCATTTGATTGAAATGCTAAATTGTCTTGCTTGCTAAATTTTTTTTATCTGTATTGTATTAGCCTCTTGAAGAACCAGAGAACATGACCAATATTATTCTTCAAGCTCTGGAAATAACTGGACAGAGAGGCGTCATCAACCGAGGCTGGGGTGGCCTTGGTAATTGTAAGTCTTGATTCTTAAAAAAAGATTACTTTCAAGCACATTGTATTCTTATGCTTCTTTACATCTGAAAGCCTTCATATATTTCTCTTCTCAGTGGCAAAACCAAGTGATTCTGTGTATTTAGTGGACAATTGCCCCCATGATTGGCTATTCCAACCCTTTTAATTCTTTTTAATTTGATTGGGATTTCACTGCACTGGTGTTCAGAACGTCACATGAACTTGATGCACCTTTTTGTTGTTTTGTTGTTTTGTTCCCCTATTGGATAACTAGGCTACTCCTGGTTTCTCACTGGATTTGAAAATATTTCTTAGGTGCATCGTGGGGTTGCTGGGACAACAGCTGCTGGTCTGAAAGCTGCGGTAACCGATAATGCTATATTCTTGGGGAGTCTTACATTTGTAAATGATCCAGTTACTCATTTTGGCTCATATTCTCTGTTCTTTTTAGTGTCCAACCACAATTGTACCATTCTTTGGGGACCAGCCATTTTGGGGGCAGAGGGTGCATGCCATAGGAGTAGGTCCTGCACCCATTCCAGCTTATACACCTCAAGAGCATAATCATATGCTGTTCAGATACCCATCTTCTTCAACACTCTGCAGAGTAAGATTAACACAATCACATGATGCCTAAGAAATTTGTAATCAGAGTTGTTCCAGAGTCGGTTTCTTATTCACCCTCTATTCCGTATGAAGTCTGAGATCCAAAAGGGTTATTTTATTTTTGTATTCTCCGTTGTTGTAGTTTAAAATGAAAACAGAACATCCACTTCAACATCTACTCTCTCCAGATAAGACAAAAATTATGTAACAGCACAAAGAAGCTAACCAAGACAAAAATTTGTATAGCACACATATTCCAGTTGGTTGGTCAATCGTTTATTACATATTCACTACTTCCACTTTTTTCCAGTTAGAAACTAAGATTCTGTTATACTTTTATACACAAGGAAACTCTTATCATGGATAAAAACTAATAATTTAAAGCCTGTTGCAAAATACCACCCAATAATAGAGTTCAAGGAAATAGTATAGCCGATCGGCTATACTATTTTTCAGAAAATCGTATAGCCGGACGGCTAGACGTGGTTTTTAAATTTTGGGCTGAATTAACAATAGGCAATACATAGATTCTACGAACTTTGGGCTGAATTAACAATACAATCAAAGTCACTTGAGGCGCTTTAGTTACAATTTTTACCTCGAAAGTTAAGTTACATAAACGACAACACATACATAATCTAAATCTGAACAAAATCTCAGTTGCCAAGAGACTTCGACAGTAAGAAAATCAGAATATAAACTTCAAGGGGTAAAAGACTTATATATAAGAACTCATTCTGATTCTCAACAGGAAAAGAGAAAATCGAACCCAAAATTAAAACAATAAGTTTCATAGGGGGTTTACATGGTATCAAAGTTTCTTATCTTCTTTTTTTTTTTTTTTTTTTTTTTTTTTTTTTTTAATGATTTTTTTGAAAGAAAATGTCTGCTTTTTTAAGTTAACTTGTATAATATATTAATGGCATTGTTTTAAGTGTAAGGAGAATGATACATGTCAAGCAAAAAAGGGAGAATGTTGCTAACATTCTTCTAAAAATAATAGGATTACAATAATTATTGTAGTTGATGGCACAGATATCCAATAAGCTACAATAGAGAAATACAAACATATATAGTTTTGTTTCTCACAGCAACATTCAACTGGTGGGGAGGCAATAGCATTAGCCCCATCTTACTGGTCAGAATATTTTAATAGTCGCTCTTGTGACTTGTTTTTCAGCGATTTTACACCTTTCTTGGACTTGATCAAGTCTTTTTTTTTCTCTCTCAAATGAGTGGGCCTGTGCATTTGCAGCTTCTAATTTGTGACTTAAGTCCTTGATTTCAAGCTTCATCGATGATATTTCAGCATCATAACTATCTACTTTCAATTTGGCAGTCTGCAAAGAATGTGTGATAGTCAAGTACCACATCATTGATAGATACATATATTGAAAAGAAAAGCAAACATTTGCAAAATAAGGATTCTTCTTCATCCCTAAACATTTTCAATGATTTCCATAGGGTTCTATTTCCGATAACTGAGTTTTTACATAATGCCTATGAGCTTGTGGATAATCAGATATACACATCCATATATACTGCAACAAACTATTTGCTATCACAAAAAATTCAATTATATATGAGGCAAGAACAAGGTTCTTATCTTTTTCTTCAGGATTTTTGGACGGTGAAAAGCGGACTTATACACCTCAAGAGCATAATCATATGCTGTTCAGGCACCCATCTTCTTCGACACTCTGCAGAGTACGATTAACACAATCACATGATGCCTAAGAAATTTGTAATCAGAGTTGTTCCAGAGTCAGTTTCTTATTCACCCTCTATTCCGTATGAAGTCTGAGATCCAAAAGGGTTATTTTATTATTGTATTCTCCATTGTTGTAGTTTAAAATGAAAACAGAACATCCACTTCAACATCTACTCTCTTCAGATAAGACACAGGGCAACATATATTATTTATGTAACCTCAATGAAACAGCACAAAGAAGCTAACCAAGACAAAAATTTATATAGCACACATCTAATTCCAGTATGTTGGTCAATCGTTTATTACATATTCACTACTTCCACTTTTTTCCGGTTAGAAACTAAGATTCTGTTAAACTTTTATACACAAGGAAAATCATGGGTAAAAACTAATAATTTAGAGCCCATTGCAAAATACCACCCAATAAGAGAGCTCAAGGAGTACATAAACCTGCCATGAAGAGGATATGGTGCGGGACCCATCATCATAGTTGCCCCAACTTGCTTCGGCCTTGTTCTTTCAAAAACAAACCTTGTCAATGCGTCTAGCCCGGATCTGAATTCAGACCTTAATTTGACCAACTGCATTAGAAAAACTTAGCCTTCAAGTTCAACACAAACAAATATCAATATAGAGAGTAACAGATTTGAATTCATGACCTACAAGAGAGAGATCAAAGACAACAGTGAGTCACTGACCTGAATTTCGTTAATTCTCTGTAGATCATGTTCGTTGTTCAACGGCCGTACAAGCATTCTCTATCTGAAAATAGAGCTCGAATGGAACATACGGTATACAGAGATAACATAATTCAAGAGTAGCAGTGCTCAATGTGCCTAGAATGTCATAAATAGCTAACAAGCGTAACCTAAAAGCAGATAATGCCAGTTTAACAGTACATGTATGAATTGGCAACCAAATTCTTGAAAATAAAAGGTCAAGATTGCTCTCTCTCTCTCTCTCTCTCTCTACTACTACTACGAAAATGCAGAAAGACGGATTTCGACTGCTCTGAAATAGTGAATCACTATTACGAGGAATGCGGCAAACAAAGATTGTACTAACATTCTCCACATAAATCCCATTTGCATATTAAAGAATAAGCAAAGCAAGAGAAGCTAAACGCATGCCATTCACAGAAATGTTTAAACTTCAGAATCAATTTGAATTCAAGTAGCCTAACGCATGCCATTCACAGAACCTTGTTATTGGCAAGACCATAGAAACTCCATGATAGGACAACTTCATCATTTCCTTCCACAGAAGACAGACACCAAGTCAGCAAATTTTGTATTTTTTTCTTCTGCGCCATGTCGTTAGTGCAAAGAGAGAAGAATATGAGGCGCGAAACAGGGAGAGGAATGGAATTAGATGAATTAAGAGTTTCATGATCTCTTCTTCTATGAACCTGACTTGTGCTTCACTGCTTCAGCTTCCCAATCTCAAATTTGCAGCTAAGTTTTTTCTATTTCGGGTTTCAGACTTTCAGTCAATCACAGTGTTCGAAAAGTCGGCCTAGGCGGGAGGCTAGGCGGCTAGGCGGGCGCTAGGCGGCTAGGCGGATAGGCGGTGACTAGGCGGGCGATAGGCGGCTAGGAGGTGGCTAGGCGGCTAGGTAGTGGCTAGGCGGCTAGGTAGTAGCTAGACGGGCGAAGCAGTGACTGCGAGAGAAAGTTCCGTTCTCTGCGAGTGCAAGCTTCGCGTTCGTTCGAATATATTTAAAGAGTATAGCCATACGGCTGTACTGTTAAAATATTCGAATGTAAGTAGAAAGTATAGCCGTGCGGCTGTACATTTATAATGTCTATTTATAGAGTCGAACCTTGCAGCTATAATGGAAACGTATCATACAAAAGAAGACGTATCATACAAAGGAAACGTATCATACATGGTCATTTCAGAATCCTCATGGTGGTTTGGGACTATTAAGCATATCTTATTACATGGGCTTCTTCTTGTTCTAGCAATAGTATGCTGATAATATTGCAGAAGCCTCAGGAATATGATTTGATGTGGTAGAAATAGACCAGCTTGACCAAATGAGAATACAGTATGCTGATTATTTGCTAATATGCTTTACGTTTTACTTGTTTGGCAGATCGAGGACCGAAGGTTGATGTTGATGTTTTTTGTTTTCTTGACCTTGCTTCAAATTATGAACCCCCAGATTCACTTGCGGAGTGGCTTGAAGCTGGTGAACAGCCTGTCCATATTGGATTTGATAGCCTTGTGAGTTTGTTGCAGCTTTCTCTATTCATGTTTAATATTATTTTCCCAGTTCTATCCCAGAGTAGCTTTGTTTGTCCTTACCCTAGAAAAATTACTTGTTCCTTCCCAATTAAAACAATCAACCAAAGCCACAATCTCCGAAGAGTGACCACCTTCATGTTGGTCCCGAACGAACAGGTTGTGGAGGTCTATTCATGACAGATGACAAATCGACCCTTTGGTTGTTCTGAAAGTCTGAATCTGCTTCTTCCAAAAGCAAAAGTTAAAAGTAGAAAGCCCACTCCACCCAGTGGGTGCGTTCTGAAAAGTTCACATGGGGGGTAGAAGAAGAGTAAGAAAGTAGGGTGGAAGCCACATGCCTGATTGATTGAACATAGAAGTTATAGAAGAGAGCCTAGAGATCCTCTTTCATTTCATGTGAACCAGTTAAGGTATGTATGTATTTGTTCGTTTGTTCATTCCTTTCTTTCTCTCTAACTCATCATCTAAGTTTCTTTTTTCTCTTGGCAAACTTCCAATATGCCTCTCAGCCCTCTCAATTTGGGCCAATCTTCCCATTTCCAATAACTTCTGCATCTCACTCGTTTCCTTTTGAGCAACATCCGCTTGAGCTCATGCTTTATATCGGCAATATCAGTCGCTCTTGTGACTTGTTTTTCAGCGATTTTAAACCTTTCTTGTATTTTACACCTTTCTAATTTTTTACTTAAAGTCCTTGATTTCAAGCTTCATCGATGATATTTCAGCATCATAACTATCTACTTTCGATTTGGCAGTCTGCAAAGAATGTGTAATAGTCAAGTACCACATCATTGATAGATACATATATTGAAAAGAAAAGCAAACATTTGCAAAATAAGGATTCTTCCTCATCCCTAAACATTTTCAATGATTTCCATAGGGTTCTATTTCTGATAACTGATTTTTTACATAATGCCTAAGATCTTTAGCTCAACTGGCATTGGGATAGGTAGGTACAAGGGATGGGTCTTAAGTTCGAATCTGATGTAAGCACCCAAAAAAATAGCAGCCAGATGGTATTAGCATCACTAGCATGGCAAGCTACTCTCAGCTTCCTTTCCATGCTTTGTATAGCATTTGAACATTGCAACTCTGCCTCCATATATGCATTCCTTTTACAATCCTGCTTGAGTACCCAATTTAAACGAATAAGACCAGTATACAAGAGATGAGCTAATAAGATATACATATCCATATATACTGCAACAAACTATTTGTTATCACAAAGAATTCAATTATATATGAGGCAAGAAAAAGATTCTTATCTTTTTCTTCGGGATTTTGGCCCGGTGAAAAGCGGACTTAATACACCTCAAGAGCATAATCATATGCTGTTCAGACACCCATCTTCTTCGACACTCTGCAGAGTAAGATTAACACAATCACATGATGCCTAAGAAATTTGTAATCAGAGTTGTTCCAGAGTCAGTTTCTTATTCACCCTCTATTCCGTATGAAGCCTGAGATCCAAAAGGGTTATTTATTATTGTATTCTCCATTGTTGTAGTTTAAAATGAAAACAGAACATCCACTTCAACATCTACTCTCTTCAGATAAGACACAGGGCAACATATATTATTTATGTAACCTCAATGAAACAGCACAAAGAAGCTAACCAAGACAAAAATTTATATAGCACACATCTAATTCCAGTTGGTTGGTCAATCGTTTATTACATATTCACTACTTCCAACTTTTTCCGGTTAGAAATTAAGATTCTGTTAAACTTTTATACACAAGGAAAATCATGGATAAAAACTAATAATTTAGAGCCCGTTGCAAAATACTGCCCAATAAGAGAGCTCAAGGAGTACATAAACCTGCCATGAAGAGGATATGGTGCGGGACCCGTCATCATAGTTGCCCCAACTTGCTTCGGCCTTGTTCTTTCAAAAACAAACCTTGTCAATGCGTCTAGCCCGGATCTGAATTCAGACCTTAATTTGTCCAACTGCATTAGAAAAACTTAGCCTTCAAGTTCAACACAAACAAATATCAATAAAGAGAGTAACAGATTTGAATTCATGACCTACAAGAGAAAGATCAAAGACAACAGTGAGTCACTGACCTGAATTTCGTTAATTCTCTGTAGATCATGTTTGTTGTTCAACGGCTGTACAAGCATTCTCTATCTGAAAATAGAGCTCGAATGGAGGCTCGTATCTATATTGGCCATTCATACTGTACAATTAGCGCCTCCAACTCCAACAAACATTATACATAGATAACATAATTCAAGAGTAGCAGTGCCCAATGTGCCTAGAATGTCATAAATAGCTAACAAGCGTAACCTAAAAGCAGATAATGCCAGTTTAACAGTACATGTACGAATTGGCAAGCAAATTCTTGAAAATAAAAGGTCAAGATGCTCTCTCTCTCTCTCTCTCTCTCTCTCTCTCTCTCTCTCCCCTACCAAAATGCAGAAAGACGGATTTCGACTACTCTGAAATAGTGAATCAGTATTACGAGGAATGCGGCAAACAAAAATTGTACTCACATTCTCCACCTAAAACACAGGCAGTGAGGTGCATCACTGCTTCGGCTTCCCAATCTCAAATTTGCTTTTAGACTTCCAGTCAATCGCAGTGTTCGAAAAGTCGGCCTAGGCGGGCGGCTAGGCTGCTAGGCGGTGGCCAGGCGGTGGCTAGGTGGCCGCTAGGCGGCTAGTCGGTGGCTAGGAGGGCGCTAGGCGGCTAGGCGGTGGCTAGGCGGTCGCTAGGCTGTTAGGCGGCTAGGCGGTGGCTAGGAGGCTAGGTAGTAGCTAGGCGGGCGCCTAGGCGGGTTGGGTCTTTTTTCGGTGCCGAACTCGGAGGAAGAAGCAGTGACTGCGAGAGAAAGTTCCGTTCTCTGCGAGTGCAAGCTTCGTGTTCGTTCGAATATATTTAAAGAGTATAGCCGTTCGGCTGTACTGTTAAAATATTCGAATGTATGTAGAAAGTATAGCCGTGCGGCTGTACGTTTATAATTTCTATTTATAGAGTCGAGCCTTGCGGCTATAATGGAAACGTATCATACAAAAGAAGACGTATCATACAAAGGAAACGTATCATACATGGTCATTTCAGAATCCTCATGGTGGTTTTGGATTATTAAGCATATCTTATTACATGGGCTTCTTCTTGTTCTAGCAATAGTATGCTGATAATATTGCAGAAGCCTCAGGAATATGACTTGATGTGGTAGAAATAGACCAGCTTGACCAAATGAGAATACAGTATGCTGATTATTTGCTGATATGCTCTACGTTTTACTTGTTTGGCAGATTGGGGACCGAAGGTTGATGTTGATGTTTTTTGTTTTCTTGACCTTGCTTCAAATTATGAACCCCCAGATTCACTTGCGGAGTGGCTTGAAGCTGGTGAACAGCCTGTCCATATTGGATTTGATAGCCTTGTGAGTTTGTTGCAGCTTTCTCTATTCATGTTTAATATTATTTTCCCAGTTCTATCCCAGAGTAGCTTTGTTTGTCCTTACCCTAGAAAAATTACTTGTTCCTTCCCAATTAAAACAATCAACCAAAGCCACAATCTCCAAAGAGTGACCACCTTCATGTTGGTCCCCAACGAACAGGTTGTGGAGGTCTATTCATGACAGATGACAAATCGACCCTTTGGTTGTTCGTCGTTCAATATCTAATTTGACTGAGGCATGTCTAATACATGCAGAGTATACCTCTGAATTGCATAGTTAAGGTTACTTGATTGTGCATTTGATTGAAATGCTAAATTGTCTTGCTTGCTAAATTTTTTTTATCTGTATTGTATTAGCCTCTTGAAGAACCAGAGAACATGACCAATATTATTCTTCAAGCTCTGGAAATAACTGGACAGAGAGGCGTCATCAACCGAGGCTGGGGTGGCCTTGGTAATTGTAAGTCTTGATTCTTAAAAAAAGATTACTTTCAAGCACATTGTATTCTTATGCTTCTTTACATCTGAAAGCCTTCATATATTTCTCTTCTCAGTGGCATAACCAAGTGATTCTGTGTATTTAGTGGACAATTGCCCCCATGATTGGCTATTCCAACCCTTTTAATTCTTTTTAATTTGGTTGGGATTTCACTGCACTGGTGTTCAGAACGTCACATGAACTTGATGCACCTTTTTGTTGTTTTGTTGTTTTGTTCCCCTATTGGATAACTAGGCTACTCCTGGTTTCTCACTGGATTTGAAAATATTTCTTAGGTGCATCATGGGGTTGCTGGGACAACTGCTGCTGGTCTGAAAGCTACGGTAACCGATAATGCTATATTCTTGGGGAGTCTTACATTTGTAAATGATCCAGTTACTCATTTTTGGCTCATATTCTCTGTTCTTTTTAGTGTCCAACCACAATTGTACCATTCTTTGGGGACCAGCCATTTTGGGGGCAGAGGGTGCATGCCATAGGAGTAGGTCCTGCACCGATGAATTCTCGCTTGAAAAGTTGGTCGATGCCATACGCTTCATGTTAGATCCAAAGATATTTACCATTTTCTTTTCAAACTTCCAAGTGATTTGCATATAATTTGCCATTTCTTGAGTGTAAACTTATCACACATGCATACGTGCTGATTTAATTGAAGTTGACATTGTTTTGTAATCAATTTCAACATGCAAATACTTGTCACAACTCTCGGGTTATTTTCTTCAATCCCTTGCGTGGACCTGAATAGATTAAATTAACAAAGAAATAACTATTTTCGGTTGGAAGGTTAAAGAGCGTGCTGTTGAAATTGCCAAAGGCCATGGATGGCAAATATGGGGTGACAGGAGCAGTGAATGCCTTTCATAGGCACTTTCCTCACAATAAATCTGAGGATAAACCTGAGTCATTGCCGGCTAGAAGAGGCTTATTTTCCATCAGGAGGTGTTTTGGCTACTCCTCCTACACATGATTCTTCACTAGTCCACAACGATGTTTTATTCCTATCATGTGCAAGACATCAGAAATGTGAAATTCTGATATCCTCTTACTAGGTTACTTAACATTACATCGTTTTTGTTTGCTCGTCAAACAAATCTTCTACAGATGCCTTTGTTTTCATTATTAGATAATGTCTATTAGGGCCACTTCTGCCAGGACAGTAAAAACTGTTATTGGAAGTGTTTTTAATACACTGAGAAAGATGTGATGCTTTGGTAGGGAGCTTGGAAATTTCCAAAGCTGAACGATTCTTCAAGAGACTTAAGAACTATATTGATGGCTTAAAAATAAAGCCGTTGGCCGCTGCACTATACAGACACAGTTTCTTTCTTAGTCTTGCAACCCTATGCACTTGCCTCTCTCAATTTACAGCATTATCTACAAACCAGCCATCATCAAGCAGAAGATTAGTAGAAAACTATCTAGCCAGATCATTCCCTATTCCGGCAGGTAGAATAGCAACTGGAGGAGGAGACACAAAGTTTTGCTTTTCTATGGTGCGGCACCTTTCTGAATAAATATAGACCCACCTCCGGTCCTTGTGTTGAGGTCAGCTCAAAAACCTACATGAAACACAAGCACATGCAACAATCAAGCAACAATTTATGATACGTCCGAAATAATAATAGAGGAATAGGTTCACCAAACTCCATTGAAATCAACTGAGGAGATCAGAGATTAACAGCTTGATGAGTATCAGCTGTGCTTTCTGTGGACATACCCCCAGTACTACCACTATTTCCCGTGTCAACAGAGGGTTCATTTCCATGCTTGGACTTGTCGCTCTGACTCCTAATATTGCATTTAAATAGTATAGCCGCGTATAGCCGTACGGCTATACTTGTAAAAATTTTAACTCCTAACAGTTGCTCATACTGAATATGCCATCTCATTAATGGAGCTCAAAAATCCACCAGACATGAAGAGGGGATAGAGTCAACCTTCTGAATAGACCTAAATCACAAATATCACCTGTTTCATTGGACACGCTACTATGGCAATCCACATGTAGGCTATAGTCAAAATTCCAATTAGAGCAGCGATAAGGCAAGAGACAATAAAAAGGCGATCAGTTCGATTCTTGTTGTTCCAATTGGAGAAAAAAATATCAATGTCACCATCATCATCCATCCTCAATGACTACTTGTTTGATCTACATTCGCATGAGCATCAAACTGCCCAATCCCAGTTTAATTAGTCTCCAACTCATATATCCTCCAATATGGTTTCATCATTCAATAACATTATTAAAAGCCTTAAACTCATTTGACAACCCAAATCATCATCCTACTTAATTCATCATGTACAACAGAGAGTCGAACAATGCTTTTATAGGTGCTACTTACTATAACCGCTTCCACCTTATAAAAAAAATAAAAAACTGAAAACGTTTCACAAGTAAAAAAAATATCATTCCAAATATTACAAAGCACTTGCTGCCATGATTAGTTTCATATCAAAATTCAGATGTAAAAGCTAGATACAAAATACATGTAAACGTGAAGGAAATACAAATTCCACCACAATTCTATCATAATTTAGTGATATCTTAAATTAAATGTGGAAAAACAAAGCAACACACAACCTTCACGCCACACAAAACCCGCTTCATACTTCACTTTCTATTCTATTTTCTCGGAAACCAAAAGGAAAGTCTAAAAGCAAAGCATAACCATATGTACATACATTCTAATATGTAACTACGAATACGTATCTATGAGTGTGTCTCGATTTTGAAATAATAATCAATAAATACATTGAACTGTGAAGAATTCAGAAAATCAAAAGTGAAAGTGTTTGAAAAAAATAATAATAATAAGGGAACTTACAGTGACATTTCAAGGAGATGGAGATGGATCGCGCCATTCAGAGAAAACTTGATCCACGAAGAGAGGGAAAATTCGGAGTGTAGGAATTGAAGCAAAACCGAAATCCTAAGATTGATTTTTCGGTTTTTTTAGCACAAATTTGTATTCGAATATCTATACTTTTTAAATATTAAAATAAAATTTAAAGAGTATTTAAATATATACTAGGATCCTTTCAAAAAAAACCAAAATCTTTTCCTAATTTTCTTTTATCGATAAGAGTAGTATATAGATAGTACGGCCGAATGGCTATACTTCTATAATTTCTATTTATGGGGTCTAGCCGTGCGGCTATCCTTTAAAATATTCTATTTTTTCACCAAAGAAACAATAATTAAAGTAATTAAAAAAGACTAAGATATTACTTAATTACATATATTAAATAACAGAAGCTGGCCAAAGAAAAATGTAAAGAAAATAATTTTATATTAATGAGTATAACCGTACGGATATACTTTTAAAATATTTTGAGTATACAGCCGCGCGGCTACACTATTAAAATATTGTATTTAATAGGTATAGTCGGGCGGCTATACCATTATAATTTCTATTTATGGAGTATTGTAATATTTCTATTTATACAGTATAGCCGCGCGGCTATACGTTTAAAATTCCTATTTATACAGCATATTGGCTGTACTATTAATATATTGTATTTAGAGAGTATAGCCGCCCGGCTTTACTGGAAAAGAAAATTTCTATTTAGACAGTATAGCCGTCCGGCTATACAGTTATAATTTCTATTATGGAGTATAGCCGACCGGCTTTACGGGAAAATTTTCTATTTATAGAGTATAGCCGCGCGGCTCTACCGTTACAATTTCTATTTATAAAAGTATAGCAGCGTGGTGATACGTTTAAAATTTATATTTATACAGCATAGCCGTATCCAGCAGAAGCACATTGAAACACCATCACTTTCATGGGAACATTGCTTCAGGATCGCCTGTGAAGTTGCCGGAGCAGTATCATATAGCTTCAATCCCCCATCTTCAAGTCTTCTAACATTCTTCGAGACCATAACTACAGTGCTAAAGTATCCAACTTTGGGACTTCAAAATCAGTTCCCCTTGACAAAACTCACTTAACCACAGAAGTACAAGGAACTTTTGGATACATGTATTTAAAGTACTTCCGATGAAGTAAATTTACAGATAAAAGTGACACCTACAGCTTTGGAGTCACTCGTAGAAATATTAACTGGGAAAACCCCATTTTCTTTTGCTAAAGATGACGGGGAAAATCTGGTTGCTTCTTTCATTTCACTGACAAGGGAAAACCAACTTGTTCAGATTTTGGATCCTCAAGTGGTTCGAGATGCAGAGATGGAGCATGTTGGAGCAATGCTGAGCTTGCAACAAGGTGTTTGAGGTTGAATGGGAAAAAGAGGTCTAGTATGAAAGAGGTATCAACAGAGTTGGAAGGATTGAGGAACACTCAAAGATGCCTAGAAAAATTCCAAGAGCCTCAGTCATTCAAAGATGAAACAACATTCATGCACTCTACCAGTGAAACCATGAAAGATCATACAGAGGAAAGCATTCTCTGAGCCAGTGGGGCAAGTTTACCTTTGCTCCAACGCAAGTTGTGGGGCCATTAGTTGATAGTAAATTGCCCTTTGCCATACTCCTACTTCTACTTAAAATACTAAATTCATCCTCATCATACTTCTCCCTTCGGAAACCAAAATGAGATGTCCTCTGTGTAACTAATAGGCCTCTGGAGGTGTTCATTGCCATTATTGCAAACATAAGCCGGCTGGAATAATGGCCTCCTCCAGGCATTACCTCCTCTACACGCGTCAACATTGCCAAATGAAAGTCCGGGTTCATATGCTGTATTTTCTTTCCAGATTCCTGTTTTTGGACCCAAAAAGTAGTGGTAGTCCAAAGAACTGCCTTGTGCTATCGAGTACTTGAATTGAGGAACACATATGCCACTCAAAAGTTTTGACTGTTCCTCTTCCCACCGCTCAGCTAAGTCCCTTCCACCCTCCATGATGAGAAGTGCAATCTTGGATCCCTTAACATAGCATCCCAATTGTCCCTTCCATGTCTCCTCACAACTATCCAAAGAAAATCCAACTCCTCTTCAGACCACATGGTACTATATGGCTTATATTTTGTCAAGAAAACTACTCCTTTCATTGAAAGCTCTTGCTCGGCTTGCAATACTATCATGCACAAGCTTGTGTCTCAAATAGTGACGATAAATGGCTCGAGGAAGATCGGAGTGCTGCATCTCGGATAAATTCTCTGGTTTCAATGACAGAGTTCTAGAAGGGAAATGCGCTGAAGCAGGTATTGGTTGCACATCCTGCAGTTAAAGGGGTTTCTGATAGGATAGACTAGTAACAGAGGAGATTATTGTTCTGGTTGATTATTTTTGCCTCCCAACTGAAGAATTTCTCCTTTGTCCTGAAGCTATAGAAGCCGCCGCCACAGGCTGTGTTGTCACTGAGCGAAAAATGTCACTGGTTTTTTCTTCTGAAAATAGCTGGAATCAATATTCCAAACATGAAAAGTAAAATAAGATTAGTTGACAGCCAAATCATCCCCAAAACTTCAAACAACAAGACTTGCAAATCTCACCTGCATACACTGTTTTTTTGGTGTAATTTCCTTGGAAAATAGAGGACTAACTTTATCATCATCTTTGCAGCTGTCACCAACTTCTAAACATTCAAATGCATCTTTGTGTAACCATGATGCATGAGTTTCTACTCTTTCAATTCACACAGCGGACATTTCTGGAGGAGACAGTTCATGCAATACAGTGGCATTATTTCTGCTAGTAGAATCCAAGGAGTCCCACATAGTTTTTGGCGCAACCAGGTCAGGTTGCTTCTGAGAACTCAAGTTTAAGTCAACATTGCATTCCACAGTGCCACATGAATCTGCTAGTAAGAATTCTTTTAGATAAAGTATTGTAAGTTAAACACAATGTGAATTGATAATGTTACTGGTTCAAATGCATTCCTAGAAATTAATGAAGTTCTACCAGTGGGGATAACAGACAAGTCCAAATAAGGAAGTGATCTGCCTAAATGAGGGGTTTCTGTTGCTTTAGGATCAGCACTTGATAAAACTTGAGCTTCATCTCTTATCAATGCATGGGTTTTTCCTGGTTTACATAGAGTTGCAGCTTCAGAAGTGGAGTCTCTAGTATCACTACTTTTTCTTAAATGATCCATGCAAAGAACTTCAACATCCATTGCACTTTGAGCGCACTGGCCAAGTACTTCTCCAGCCTGTTTTAAGGCGTCACTGCCTGTCTTTTTGTCATCATGAAGTTGTTCTTCTTCATGCATCAAACTGTCCCGATGAATGAAGTAAGCAATTAAAATATAAGAAACCAATAAGTTCTGAAGTTAATGTGAACCTACATTTTAGTTCCAGCGGCAGCAGATCCAGCACGAGCATATGTAAAATCAATGATCCGTAACAAAGAAATTAGATCGGTGATTACAAATTACATGTACAGAAATGAAGTATCAGGTTAAGAATGCACATAATAGTGGAGTCAGTCAGCCACTTGAGGGCAACTAAGCACTAACAATGATGCACCTTTTATTCTGACCTTGTTTTTGTACATATGTATTATTATAGAATACATGTAAATGAGAATGTATTTTCCATGTCGCATCTTATTTTCTATTTCTCATTTCACATGATTGTGTTTGTGCTCATAGGCAGATACATTATTTCCAAATTGACAAAAGATAGGCTTCATATTACATACCTCTCTGGAGTGCTTCAAATCTGCTTCATGATCTACTGAGTGAGCAGTTTTCAGGGGAAGTTTCTTCATAAGAACTGGTATTAGTACAAACAGAATTATTCAATTTGGTTATCAATGAGCAGCTATTTTCCACGGGCAGTGATTTCCTTTGCATATTAGACTCATCCATATCCTTTTTTCTTTTATTCCTTCGGCAGAAAGTAATCAATGGGGTGGTCAACTTGTTCCACACAAGCTGAATCACCACCTAATTTATCTAACTTATTTCTAGAGAATGAATCAGTGTCTTCTAAGTTTGATGTATTCAATCTTGGCGAGCTACTATCACATTCAGTGCTGCTTTTTCTATCAAATACTGCTGCTGCTGCTGCTGATTTTTGTCTTACAAAATCAGCAGTAATTATAGCGGAATTCATCACCAATTGAGAAACTAACCTCCCTCCAACATTATTATCATCAACCAAGGCTCCAGCATTAGCATTTGAAGATGAGCCTACTTTCTTGCCACTAGGCTTATTCTCATATGCATCCCTTTGGGAAGGAACCTCATCAAGACTTGTCGGAACGGTTTTAATTGGTATTTGTCCTGTGCCAGATACTTCAATGTGTTTCTTTTCCTTATGGGGCTTATCTAGGCATTGGAGATTATAGGACTGAAGGCATTTTCCACAGTGCTTCAGGTTACCCCCAACACAGCACACAAACCATACATGGCATACCTGCAAGAAAAAGAGGCAGGCGAGACAGAATATAGCAATGACCTTAAAAATAAATTATAGGTCTCAGACAACTAAGAGAAGATCTTCATAAAAACCTAAATTAAAGAACCAAATCTAAATGTTCATCTCAACTAGATACGCTTTCAAGGGTCGGTTGAATAGGGCACATTCTGGTGGTATCTGGTAATCCCTTGAAACCCTTTTCCTTTTCAGTATTTTTTTCAAGAACAAAATTATTAGAGGAAAAATAGGGAAGGATGGATTATTAAATTATCTACATAAAGATGATTGACATACAACATATATCTTTATGAAACAAACTAAAAAATTTGAACAGGTTCCAGCATTCTAAAATCTCACTGCAGAATTTCTGTTGTAATGTTCTGATGAACGCTTATCAATCAAATGAACTTGCAAGTCTGGTGGTTTGTGTAAAGAAGTATCATCGGGAGCAACAAAAAGTGAATTACGGCACTCATGTCCCTGTACAGGATCTGTTCTTGATTGCCGCTTTCGCTTATACGTCAGGAACACTTTGCTTCCTGACATTTAAGCTTTCAAAAAGAAATCTTGCTGCAATTCCAAACACTTGGACCTCATTTTTCAAATGAAATTTGTATTTATTCCACTATGTTCAGTCTCATTTCAACACAGAAAAACCTGCATATGTTAAGGAAGAATATCCAATTAACTAAACAGCAACTCATGACTCATATAGTTAATACAGTTATGAGTAGCAACACAGTGATAGCTGAAGGGCAAAAGACGGATTTCGACTACTCTGAAATAGTGAATCACTATTACGAGGAATGCGGCAAACAAAATGTGTACTAACATTCTCCCCCTAAAACACAGGCAGTGAGGTACAAGCATAAATGCCATTTGCATATTAAAGAATAAGCAAAGCAAGAGAAGCTAAACGCATGCCATTCACAGAAATGTTTAAACTTCAGAATCAATTTGAATTCAAGTAGCCTAACGCATGCCATTCACAGAATCTTGTTATTGGCAAGAGCATAGAAACTCCATGATAGGACAACTTCATCATTTCCTTCCACAGAAGACAGACACCAAGTCAGCAAATTTTGTATTTTTTTCTTCTGCGCCATGTCGTCAGTGCGAAGAGAGAAGAATATGAGGCGCGAAACAGGGAGAGGAATGGAATTAGATGAATTAAGAGTCTCATGATCGCTTCTTCTATGGACCTGACTTGTGCTTCACTGCTTCGGCTTCCCAATCTCAAATTTGCTGCTAAGTGTTTTCAATTTCGGGTTTCAGACTTTCAGTCAATCGCAGTGTTCGAAAAGTCGGGCTAGGCGGGCGGCTAGGCTGCTAGGCGGTGGCTAGCGGGCGCTAGGCGGTGACTAGGCGGGCGCTAGGCGGCTAGGTAGTAGCTAGGCGGGCGCCTAGGTGGGTTGGTTCCTTTTTGGGTGCCGAACCCGGAGGACGAAGCAGTGACTGCGAGAGAAAGTTCTCTTCTCTGCGAGTGCAATTCGAATACATTTAAAGAGTATAGCCGTGCGGCTGTACTATGTGATTAGAAAGTATAGCCGTGCGGCTGTACGTTTATAATTTCTATTTATACAGTCGAGCCTTTCGGCTATAATGGAAACGTATCATACAAAAGAAGACGTATCATACAAAGGAAACGTATCATACATGGTCATTTCAGAATCCTCATGGTGGTTTGGGACAATTAAGCATATCTTATTACATGGGCTTCTTCTTGTTCTGGCAATAGTATGCTGATAATATTGCAGAAGCCTCAGGAATATGATTTGATGTGGTAGAAATAGACCAGCTTGACCAAATGAGAATACAATATGCTGATTATTTGCTGATATGCTCTACGTTTTACTTGTTTGCCAGATTGGGGACTGAAGGTTGATGTTGTTTTTTGTTTTCTTGACCTTGCTTCAAATTATGAACCCCCAGATTCACTTGCGGAGTGGCTTGAAGCTGGTGAACAGCCTGTCTATATTGGGGAAACAATATCTTTATTGTAAGTTAGCTCGTCCAGAATTATCTCCACCACAGGAGTTCTGCACCAAATCCAAAAAAGTGCATGTATTTTCAACAAATAGAATATGGTACATGAGAGAGAGAGAGAGAGAGAGAGAGAGAGAAATAACTTTAACCCTCACCATCAGCTCTGGTAGTAGAACCTTGCATATCTGCACTCGTCTTGGACACATCACCACTATTAGAAACTCCTGCATGGCTATGCAGGTATGCTTTCCTACCTCAAGAAAAGAAATTGCAGCAGCAGTATCAAAATTTTCCGCTGGTTATTGTGGCGTAGGATTCTTTGAGCATATCAGTTAATCGGGGCATCCAGCATAGGTTTGATACAGTTTACACATAATGGTCAAAAGAAATCCTTCATCAAGCTGTAGTAGTTTACTTTTCTCGACACCTTCAAAAGGTAACTTAGAAATTAAAAATACACATTCGGGCAGGTATGGTTTTTTCACTACAAGAACCGAAACTAGAACCAAACTAAATCGGTCTGATCTGATTTTAGGTCAACCCAATTCACATGAAGAGAGTAGTATCTCCTTACCGGTAAGGAGGCAAGTAGTGTCCTTTGTTTTTTTGGACAGATTCGAGCTGACTTTTGTTGGGTTGGTTCTTCACAAACCAACACCAAGAACTCACTGCAAAGAGAGAATATGGAGAGCAGTGTCACCAAGTCCCTTATGCCATCTCTCTCACAATATTACCCCTTGGTGCAAGACATTGGTGAGAGAGGTTGCAGAGTTATTACCCGAGTCTCTATTGTCCATTTTTTATTTTTTATTCTGACGGAGTTATTACTTGTATAAAGAATTTAGCACTTTATGTTTAATACTCTATTCTACACGTATGTATGTATTTTTCAATAATACATCCATGTTCTGTACACGTCTTAAAAGCTCTTCAATATCTACTTTGAATATGTTGAAACTTACATTTTAATATCTATAAAGTATAAAATATTGCAACTAGGACGGTCCTTTTCTTTTAATTTTTTTTTATTAACTAATATAGCCGTGCGGCTATACCTAATGTATTTAACCACTAGTTTTTTTTAAAAAAAATAGTATAACCGCGCATCGATACTTATTTTTACACCTTTTTAAAATAAAAAAAAATAGTATAGCCTCGCGGCTATATTCAATTTTTTAAAAATGTTTTTAAAAAAATAGTATAGCCGAGAGGCGATACTTATCTTGACACATCGATACTTATTTTACTCCATTTTTTCTGATTTTATTTTTTTAAATTGTATAGCCGCTTGGCTATACGTTATTTGACACGTGGGAGCCTAATCGCAAGGCGAGTCCTTTCTTTAGATATATAAATATTATAGTCGCGTGGCTTTACTCTGTTTTTTTATGATTTTTTTTATTAAAAAAAATCATATAGCTGCACGACTGTACTTAATTTGATACGTGGGATCCTAATCGCAAGGCGGGTCTTTTTAGATATATAAATAGTATAGCCGCGGGGCGATATTATGTTTTTTTTCTTATTTTTTGAATATAAAAATAATATAGCCGCGCGACTATACGAATTTTGACAGGTAATCGATAGGTGGGTTTTTTAAAAAAATAAATAGTATAGTCTGGCGGCTATACTCAATTTTTTATGGTTTTTGTTATAAAAATAGTATAGCCCCATGGCTATACGTATTTTAAAACACGTGGGTAGTTCATCGATGGTGAAATTGGTACTTAGGTGACAAAGGGTAAAATTTATGACTCAAACAAGACGCAACAAACTTCACACACTTTAGACCTTGATCAAAAACACTTATGACTAGTCAACTGTTAGTCATGAACAACTACAATCAAGAATACACACAGAGCATGCCACAAAGTACCTGCAACCCTAGAAGATTACTAGTGACAACCTACGCACTCAGAAAGACCCGTCAATTTAGGCATCCCCTGTGCTAGCAACAACTATGGTGAAAGTATGTGAAATCATCATAGTCAAGCAAACACCAAACAACAGATAAAGATGACTAGTCAACCACCAAGAACACCAACCTAGAAAAATTACAGAGATGCAAAATAGAAATTGTTCACCCAGAAACCCACCATTGGGAAAAACTGGGGGTCATCAACTGACCAGGCAATCCACTAAGTAGAAAAAGATTCTTACAAAGGAACACAAGCAAGCTTAAGAAAACTTATATCTATTTAGGAAGATGAGCTATACCTCCTTTGTGCAATCTTCTTCTCCAACTTAGCAAAACTTGAAACTCAGTTCTTCATGGCAATGGCAGCTCCTTCTCCAGCTCTTTCATTCCAAGGCACTAGCTTGCAAGCTCTAACTCAGACAGAAACCAAAATTTGGATTCAAAGGAGAATGACCAATTTCTTCAAGAAACCATACTCTTGAAGAAATCAATCTTGAATATGACGTAGATATAAATGAGAGAGTGTTTTAAGTAGCTAGATGCAGATTAGTATTTCAAATGCAGTTTATCAAAAATAAATCGGTTTGGAAAAACTCATAGATGAAAATATGGTTCTCTCTTGAGGAAGAAGAAGGGAAAGATGGCAAGCAAAACTTTCCAAAATTTCCACACAAAAGAGACGGCTGCCAAAAGAGGAATTCTTTGGCCTATACACACAAAAATTCCCTTAGGTCAAAATGCCACATGGCAGCAGAGAGAGAAAGGAGAATATGACAAAAAAGTTGGTTATCCAGTTGGAAATCCTACAGAGCAAGGATGACTAGTCACATGAGAAACAGATGACTAGTCATCATTTTGTGAAAACAGTTTAATGCAATGTTATGCAATGCACAATTTACCTCTGTCAATATGCTTGAACCTCCATAGGATAGTTGTTAGCTAAGGATACCTAGAGAAGTTATTCTTAATCTAAACTTGAGCTTGATAAAAAACAATAAAAATCCTATTAAAAAGTTGTCAGGGAAGCCAAAAGAAAATTACAAAATCCATACATTTACAGATGGGGGTCTTTTTTTTTTTTAATAAATAGTATATCCACGCAGCAATACTCGGTTTTTATAATTTTTAAAATAGTATAGTCGCGCGCGCGGCTATACGTATTCTGACACTTGAGCAACTCATCGATAGGGTCTCTTTTTTTTAATTAAAAAATAGTATAGCCAATTGGATATACTCGGTTTTTTATTTTTTATTTTTAAAAAATAGTATAGCCGCCCGGCTATACTGAACCACCATCTTCTGATTGGGTGTGGGTGTGGGTGTGGGTGTGCTTTAGGAGAAAAACTTTCCTGGCATGGGAATGCCAACGTAAGCAATCCAGCTAAGTATCCCCTTCCAATTATCTCTAGACAGTTGTCACCCATTAAAATTGGAAAAGAAAAAAAAATTGGTTGCTCCTCATACCATGCGAACCCAGCAACTGAAATCCCCTCTCTCATATCTCCCTCTCCTTCCCTCTCTTTTTGCGCAGCCCCTCTCCCTCTCCCACAGTGCAACCCAAACCCCCTATCTCTCTCTGTTCTGACTTACTCTCCTTTCTCCCTATCTGTCTCTCACTTTGCGTCAGCCACATCAGAGGCCGCCAAGAAGAGATAGAAAGAGAGGGAGAGATTGGCCTCGAAATTTGATGTCAGTCACCTCAAGTTTGGAGTTTGGCAAGCTCACCGCCGCTGCCACTGTTGTTGGCATGAAGAGAGAGAATGAGAGGGAGAGATGAGACAGAAATGATAAGAGATAGATAACACCAACGATGGAGGAGGGGATGGGGACATACAGGATGGAGGATGGCAGTGTCGAATTTGACACCGGGACGAGAAGGGCTTGAATGTTGGCCTGAAGAAATTTTTTATTTTTTATTTTTTGGTTAAGTGTTAAAAGTAGAGTTGCAAGGTTCACATAGTATGAGGAGCAGAGGCAACCAAATTTATTTATTTTTTTTAATTTTAATGGATGACAGCTGTTGAAAAATCATTGGACTGGGATACTTAGCTGGATTGCTTACCTGGCATCCCTGTGCCAGGAAAGTTTTTCTCGTGCTTGTAGAGGGCTCGTAGTACTTCTAGACCATAGGCCATGGGGTTTTTGAGAAAAGAGCTCCTTCAGAAAACTTTGCTGAAGGGCTTCTGATGGGGCCTTACTTTGTGCTGCTTGAGCTTCTTCACTTCGCCTTTAGCTATGAACCTTATCCAGGGTTTTACAAAAGTGTGAATGCAAAGATTGATGCTGATATCGCAGAGTGGAAGGTGGCCAAGAACCAAAAGAAACTCTCTTAATTATCTGAGATGGATTGAGATGAATGTAATGGTTGTTTAGTATTAAAATTTTGTCAAATCTCTATGTAGTTTATGAACTTTGGTATTTTGTATGAAAATTTTGTAAAATTACTGTAGTTTCCTTCCTTTATGAACTTTATGAATGTACTGGCTTTCTACCGTCAGCTTCTTCTTTTAACCTTTCGGTTTGTTGACAACTAGATCAAATGCAACTTTGCATTTTTAATGGTCTTGCCAGTTGCTTTAGTTTCTTCTTTCTTGGGATGTTTGCTTTCTTTTCTAGATTATCTCTAATGATCTCGTCAGCTTGCTTTGCAAATTAATGCAACTTGCACAAAGGAATCTTGTGTTACTTGTTCAAGGTACTGACAATGCATTATTCTTATTTACTCTTACAATCCGGTCACTCATCTCCATGTCTTGAACCATGCCCATTTCATAGTCATCTACCCTTGAGCGTTTCCCCGTGGGAAGCAGTCCTTAGCTTGCTATGCATTGCTGTTTCATTCAGCTCAACAGAAGTCAACTCTTGCTGGAGTGAATCAAGTTTTGCCTGTGCAGCTTGTAGCTGAAGAGTCAGGGAGTCTACCCTATTGTTTGCATCTGCATGTGCTGCATGCTCACTGTCCAGAAGGCCTTGAAGGACGACAGTACTGGACTAGTTCTCTGCTCTGCTCATTATTTGATTTTAATAGTGATTCTGTTTCCTTCTCTCTTTCGTCAACTCTTGCCTCCAGAAGAGCAACTTTCGAATGAGCCCCCATCTCTGATACACGAATTCTCTCTAACTCATCATCTAAGTTTCTTTTTTCCCTAGGCAAACTTCCAACTCAGCCCTCTCAATTTGGGCCAATCTTTCCATTTTCCAATAACTTCTGCATCTCACTAGTTTCCTTTTGAGCAACATCCGCTCGAGCTCGTGCTTTATCTCGGCAAATATCAGTCGCTCTTGTGACTCGTTTTCAGCGATTTTACACCTTTCTTGGACTTGATCAAGTCTTTTTTTTTCTCTCTCAAATGAGTGGGCCTGTGCATTTGCAGCTTCTAATTTGTGACTTAAGTCCTTGATTTCAAGCTTCATCGATGATATTTCAGCATCATAACTATCTACTTTCAATTTGGCAGTCTGCAAAGAATGTGTAATAGTCAAGTACCACATCATTGATAGATACATATATTGAAAAGAAAAGCAAACATTTGCAAAATAAGGATTCTTCTTCATCCCTAAACATTTTCAATGATTTCCATAGGGTTCTATTTCCGATAACTGAGTTTTTACATAATGCCTATGAGCTTGTGGATAATCAGATATACATTTTTTTTTTTTTTTTTTTTTTTTTTTTTTTTTTTTTTTTTTTTTTTTTTTTTTTTTTTTTTTTTTTTTTTTTTTTTTTTTTTTTTTTTTTTTTTTTTTTTTTTTTTTTTTTTTTTTTTTTTTTTTTTTTTTTTTTTTTTTTTTTTTTTTTTTTTTTTTTTTTTTTTTTTTTTTTTTTTTTTTTTTTTTTTTTTTTTTTTTTTTTTTTTTTTTTTTTTTTTTTTTTTTTTTTTTTTTTTTTTTTTTTTTTTTTTTTTTTTTTTTTTTTTTTTTTTTTTTTTTTTTTTTTTTTTTTTTTTTTTTTTTTTTTTTTTTTTTTTTTTTTTTTTTTTTTTTTTTTTTTTTTTTTTTTTTTTTTTTTTTTTTTTTTTTTTTTTTTTTTTTTTTTGGGGCACGCCCAAGGCTATTCTATATAAATATTTTAGAATATTTTAACAGTATAGCCGGTCGGCTATACTATTAAGCCGAGCGGCTATAAGATATTTTTTTTTTTTTTTTTTTTCCAGAGGCAATCATAGATTCTACAAACATAGCCATGGGAAACGAAACTGCAACACGCTACTGTCAGTGAATGTTCAGAGATATCCACAATTTTTTCTCTGAAGATGTCCACTAACCGCGTGATCTGAAAATTAGAGCAGACAAACAAGATCTGGTACAAGGATGTACTAACACAATAAGATCACCTTAAACAGTGCTCATAACCGTCAAACTAGAAAAGAACTCTGTTTTGTCCCCAGAATTATCACATACAATACAACAATATAAGGTAACATGAGACCTTAACAAATTCTTACACATTACGAATGAAGCGTTAGAAATTAATATAACATGAGACCTTAACAAATTCAAAGAAATTGCTAATCATGCACCAAGTGCATATGAACCCAATTACACTGTCAAACTTTGAGAGAGTTATGAAACTTGTTCCGTGTGAAGTGGCCGACAACTGTGCCACAGATTATATAGGGATACAGAAATATGGCTGTAGAATTTCAAAGGTTGTATATTTCCATCATAAGTTCTTTACAATTGTACAGCAATATATAAGGAGATTGACTCCTTGATTTACGCCACAACTTGGTGGCTTAGGGAAGACAAATAACAGCTCCTTGAATTAAGGAGTTGACAACACAAAGATATACTAATCACAAGAGACCCGGACTCTTAACCACCTAGGGAACAAACAATACCCAGAAGGAACATAGATGAGTAGTTGACCTATCCCCTTATTGTCCAGTGTTACCGTAAGCCAACCTATCCCCATTAAAAACATGAACTAGGTATTGAAACGATAACACATTTCCTAAGGACTGCAACAAAAGAAGATCAAGTAAGACAAAAAAATATGGGGAAATTCACATTACCATTTTATTTCTTTTATTCCATCAAACAAAGATCATGAAAGAAGGTGATGAACATGTGGGATTTGCTTTGAAGTCTAAAACCCATATGATTGAATTGGTTTCTCCAAGTATTTTGGATAAAATTATACCATAAACGTTGCCCTTACGAACGATGATGTGGTATGATAACCCCATATAAGTTTAGGGCTTAAAAATCCTGTTCACATGATGACACACAACATAGGCAGAGGAAATTTTGCAACTATAACAGTCATTGAAACCATTAAATTAAGTAGCCTCGAGATCTGCAGAAAGGATAGGATTTCCATCAAGGTCTTCTGAGACAGAAATCATAAATGCCGCTACACGCATGTACCCTGTTTTACATCCCTCAAATCTCTCATAATCAAGGGAAATTGACTTGGATAATCACAAAAGATAAACCATAATCAAATATATTCACTTTATAAATTTCAATCAGAAATACTCACTTTGTAACATGAAAGTACCCAATTGCCCTCCATATAAATACATTTGTATTGACCCTTTATTCCATCAAAAATTCATTTTTCTGAAACCCAACTCCTCTCCACTCTCGCACTCCCCCAAATCTTGCTTAGCCATGACTTCATAGAAAACAGAGAGAGTAACGGCCATGGCGATGACGTCGATGGATTCTCCAAAGTCTGACCTGGACACCGACACTGAGCTCATTACCAATCCAAACCTTAACCCTAACCCTACTTCTTCAAACCCTCCCCGCCTCCTACAATGGCCTGTTGTCTGCCTTCTCAAGTTTGGCGGAGACTCCGCTGGTGGGGCATTCATGGGCTCCATTTTTCGCTACAGTCCTCTCTCCCCCTCCCTCTCCCTCTCCCTCTCTCTCTCTCTCTCTTCTCTCTCTCTCTCTCTCTCTCTCTCTCTCTCTCTCTCTCTCTCTCTCTCTCTCTCTCTCTCTCTCTCTCTCTCTCTATATATATATATATATATGTTTATATATGTATACATGCGTATGGAGTGTTATGCTTTAATTGCTTAATTGTGGTGTTTATATATGGGAATTTGAGTGGTGCTGATATAGGATTTTGAGTGTTTGACAAAATATGATTTTCGTTAATAGTGTTTTGGGCTTTGCGAAAGGGAGTTAATTTTCTCTTTCTGACTAACGAGCTGTTGGAGTTTTTGTTGAGGTTTGTTTAGTGTTGCTAATGGTTGAGGTATGCTAGTGTTTTGAGATGTGAAATTGTGGTTTTCTCTAATGGTTGAGGTATGATAGTCTTTTGTATTTTTCAGTTCGTATCATGTGGGTTTCTGTTGAGTATTGATATAGTGATTCTTAATATGCTTCCGGATATGTTTTCTGCTGAAATTCCTTATATGAAGTGTATGAATTTTGAATTCGAAATTGTTGCATTTGCCTTATCAAAACCTGATATGGATGCAAATAGGTCTTGTTGCTATTGATTTTATTATTTATCAGAACATGGGAAAGCTGAAAATAGGTATCTTCATGAGATCCTTGACCAAAATTTGAAGTATTGCAAGAGCATTAAGTAGACCTCCCCTGATATATACTGCTTCAGAAAATTTTGGTTGTTCTGTTCACTATTGCCTTCTTTAGGAAGCTTATAAATTACATGTGGAGCTTCTTGAGTCAAACAATTCCACATTACCCCATTATTGTTCTGTGTATTACTGTTATGGATGTTGTTTGGTTATATTGATTAAGTTCACCCTTTGAGGTGTTTTGATGTCTGGTTTTGTGCCTCTTATTTTGTTTGACAATTTCTTTGTGCTTTATGTGTTCCACTTTTTTGCGATTTTCTCTTGTTGGTGTTCTAGGTTCGGAAGCTCCTTGCCAATTTGTCTAGGAATTTTGTATGTAATAGGGCATGAATGTCTTGTGAGAAGAATTGTAATTTATGTAGGAAGCTTTGGTAATACAATAACAAATGTTAGAAACTAAATGATTCCAATTACAAATGTGAGAGAGTCACATACTTTAACTTAATGTTTATACTTGCACTTTTCTGAATCTTTAGTTTTGTTGTCATACTTTGGTGAATAAAAAGCAATTGGGAATGTTGCAGAAATGGGGAGTGGGGAACTACACATGCGAGAGAATATCACCTTCATAACACAGCTCATCACTTGAAGGTTCGAGATTGGACAAAAGCTACTGGTTTCTTCACAGTTAGAAGATGGCTTGAGAAATGAAGATGCGCCACCAGTTTTGTTTCACCACATAAACATTGTTGTAATAGGAGTGGAATTGGATATTAGTTGTGCTTTGATGTGATCAGCTATTCCTTATTTATTAGTTGTGGTTTCATGAATTAGTAACCATGAAACTAGAGTGGATAGAGAAACTGCATCTGTATATGTTTAGCTAATAAGTAGCCTCGCAATGTAAACTCAAGTTTATGTATTGCGCTTTCTTATTATGCCTCTATTGTTGTCTTAACTATTTTTTCACCTCTGTCTTGACAATTACAAAGCTAAAGTTGGACTAAGAGGTTTACGTATTGCCTTCTTAGCACTTTGTTTTTCACCTCTCTTTGCAATTATAGAGTTAAAATTGGACTTAGGTTTACATATTGCCTTCTTATTGCCCTTTTATTGTGTTCCTATTGCTCCTCTATTGTTGTCTTTGCAATTATAGAGTTGAAAGACTATCAAGTTTAAGTATTGCCTTCTTATTGCCCTTATATTGCTTTCCTATCGTACCTCTATTGTTGTCTTAACTCTTTTTTTCACCTCTCTCTTGACAATTATAGAGCTGAAGTTGGACTTCCAGGTTTACGTATTGCCTTCTTATTGCCCTTTTATTGTGTTCCTATTGCTCCTCTATTGTTGTTTTAGCACATTGTTTTTCACCTCTGTCTTTGCAATTACAAAGTTGAAAGACTATTAAGTTTAAGTATTGCCTTCTTATTGCCCTTATATTGCTTTCCTATTGTACCTATATTGCTGTTTTAACCCTTTTTTCACCTCTGTCTTGACAATTATAGAGCTAAAGTTGGACTTCCAGGTTTACGTATTGCCTTCTTATTGCCCTTTTATTGTGTTCCTATCGTTGCTCTATTGCAGTCTTAGCACTTTTTTTTTCCTTAATGTATGTCTTGGCAAACAAATTGTAGTTAGACTATGAATTCTTTGTATTGCCCCTTTATTCCACTGCCCTTGTATTGCACCCACAGTTCAATTTAAATTTCTAGCCACCTGCTTTACGTGTCTACACCAATCATGCACATAAACATCATACATACACATTCAATAAATGTTATAAATAGCTGCATCATGATCTATACAATTGGGTACCTATAAGGATACCTATTTCCAAAAACAAAAATAGCGACATGTTAGGAACACAAATTTTACATAAAGTTAGGTAGCAAATATCACCACTTAATGGAATAAGACATACAAACTAAACAATTGTAATATCTAAATGATCTGCTTCTTGTTAGTGACGGGAATAGCTTCTTTGCATGTACTTCGATAATGGCCCTTCACACCGCACCTTGAGCATTTTCTTTCTCGCGAGTCCTCTCCTTTAGAAGGTATTCTTTGCGTCTTACGACGGCCCGGCATAACCTTTGAAATAGGAGGGAGGAGATTTACATTTTGGACATTTTCGGGAATAACCCATGTCCCTTGAGGTGGTACAGGATAAATGGATTCAGCATATGCAGCTGCCCATGTAGCTCGAGTGTAATACGAAGAGGCAAATGAGTATGGGTTCAATTTCAAGTGCCGACATACCGCAATAGCATGCTTGCACGGGAGTTGCTCTAAGTCAAACTTCCTACACGTACAACTATAGTTTTGCAAGTGCACGAGACCGTTCATATCACCATCAAGCACATTATACTCCATATCATTGATTTTAACCACATTCATCCTCGAAGCAGCGTCTAATCTCTTCCTCAACTTCTTTTCACCTAAATCAGGGCACAACATAGATTTACATTTCATTGACAAATCTCGACGTTGACTAAACCAATTCTGAAGCATATTCCTAATTTCCTCGATCAAGTGTACCACCGGAAGCATCCTTGCAAAACGAAGAACTGAATTAATGGACTCTGCAATATTAGTTGTCATGACATTATATCGTCGTCCATCACAATGGGCTCGAGACCACTTATGGAGCCCTGCACGTACTAGATAAGTTTGCACTCGCTCGTTGTTTATCATGGAGAAATAACGATTGAACTCTGCTAGACGGTAAGACTTAGCCGCCCGCACAAAAAACCCCAATATCGGATCCCGCTTCTTCAACTTAAATGAGGCTTTCATATTGCCCTTTAAGTGATAAAAGCAAACACCATGTGCTGCCTCAGGAAAAACTCTTTTCAACCCATTTTCTATGCTAAGATTTCGATCAGATATGACAACAAGATTCGAGCAATCACCAATTGCACAATGTAGTTTTGTGAAAAACCACTCCCAAGCCGCATCCGTCTCTAAATCTCCAATCCCAAAGGCAAGAGGATATATATTACGATTTCCATCAAATGCGGTGGCAACAAACAAAACACCTTTGTACTTGCACTTCAAATGGGTAGCATCAACAGCAATCACAGGACGCATTGAGCACTTAAATCCTCTTATGCATGCACCAATTGACATAAAAAAATATAAAAAGTGGTTGGCTGCATCAGTCTCAATGTATGTCAAAGTTCCAGGATTTGTACGCTCCAATACATAACAATAGGAAGGGAGAAGAGCATATGATTCTTCTGCAGACCCTCTAATTATCTTTAAAGCTAACTCTCGGCTTCTCCAAGCTTTAGAGTAGCTTATGGTCACACCAAAATTTTGTCGCACATCTTTGATGATATCACCTGCAGTATAAATGGTGCGAGAATCCTTGAATCTGCGTTTCACAGAGTCAGACAACAATCTCGTACTAGCTTGAGGATGGTGACTACTAAGATACCTTAGATCACATTCATGAAATGGATCGTATTTAACAACCCTAAACTCATGTAATCCAACTTTATATGCCCGAAGTCGCCAAGGGCAAGGAAGTTGCCAACAACGAACACACAACCTACGTTTCCCAGATTGGACTGTTCTAAATCGAAAGTGGCCTCTGACTGCTGCTAAACATAAGGTTTTTATAAGGGCAATCTTATTTGGAAAAACTCGTCCAACCTTAAAATTTGCTTCCCAATTTATGCAAGAAAGACCTCCACCATAATCAATATCTTTCACACTCTTACCATGCACCAAATGAACCTGGCTTGTATGCATTTGAGTCCAACTTGATTGTTGCGGATTTTCATATTGCACTTGTGTAACCTGCACCATGGAGGCTTGGAAATTGCTTTCTCGATGAGAATGCACGTTTGGTGCAGAGTACGCTTCCTCTTCATTCCTAGGTACACAAAAATCTGCGACTATGTTTTCAACACATTCAAAATTAACATCTTCAACCCAATCTTTCCAATTAAAACCAGTTACACCATTTTCAGTTCCACTATCCCCAATTACCTCATTCCTATCTCTCACAACAACTGCAAGGGGAGCATTGCTATTCCCAATGCTTACAATGCCATTGCAGCCATGAATACCATGTCCTTCTATAACTTTGAGGGTTGCTAATAAAGGGGTTACTCTAGAGGTCATAACGTCTGTGCTGTACTTCAGAAAATATTGAACGTCATCATTGTCTTCAACCTTTAGGTGCTTATAGGCAGATGATGATAGAGGAACTGAATACTTCAGTGTGAGACTATATTTGTTGAGATCTGCATTCGTGATCTTATAAATGCGGTCAACAAGCTCAGAAAAGGTTACGTTCCGTGATACTATTATGCCTTTAGCCTCGCCACCTTCATAACTCTCAATGTTATCCTTGTGAACCCAGCTTCCGTTGTAGAATACCAATATGCCAACAGTCTCCATTTCTGCAAATAACATCAATAAATCAATCTATTTGCATCCCCATCATAAGGTATACTCATTTCTTTACATTACCAAATTAGAAATCAAAATAGAAAAATTAAGTTCTTAGCAAAACTAACCTAACCCAGAATGTCAGTCAAATCCAATTCAAAGACCTAAAATTTCACACTTAAGCATCTAAATTGAGGGAAAAACTAACCTCACTAACCTATTTCTAGGCTAGACAAACTTAAGATCTGATTTTTATGTTTCGTGTTATTTTGTGCAAAATGCTTTATGGGTATTGAAGAAGGGGACAAATATCTTAAAACTCAAAATTACAAACAAGGGTTGCATACCATCAAATTTATTGGCATATATACATATATATTGGCAATTACAAAACAAAGCCATGCATTGGTCTTGAAGCAGCCTATAAAATTCTTCATCACCCTTACTAGTGCACTCTCGGGAGTGTTCAAAAAGCCAAAAGCAATGAAACCAATGCAGAATTGGTGAACTTGTATGGTGTATAAAGTGAGCTATGAAACCTATTTCAAAATTCAAAATAGAATGAATTACATAAAAAACAGTCCTTTTACTCTCAAATTGCAAATTATTTGCTCGTGAAATTTTTTCCAAAAACTTATTTCCTTTCCTTTCAAACAAACAGGATTAGAAGCCAAACCCCTAAAAATCAAAATTGAAGCAAAAACTGACCTAACTTACCTATTTCTATGCTAAAGAAAATCAAGATTTGATTTTTATTTGTTGTGTTACTTTGCAAAATGATTCCTGGGTATTAAAGAAAGGGAAAATTAGCTTAGAACTCAAAGGGACAAAGGACCAGAAGAGAGCACCTGGTGGCAAACGGGTCTAGCGGGTTGCTGTTGTTGATGCGTCCTTTTCTATTCCTTATGTTTCTTCTTTGTGTAGGCTTTTGAGGGGTGGGCGTGGTCTCCTCTTGAATTAAGGTGCTGGTCTCAGATGCTCTACGTGCGGCAAGGAGAGAAGAGCTAGAGAGTTGGGTTCAGATCAGAAATAAATTTTTGAGAGGGTACAAAAGGTGAATATTGAAGTATTTATATGGAGGGTAATTTGGTACTTTCAAGTTAGAAAGTGAGTATTTGTGGTTAAGTTTTATAAAGTGATTATTTCTGATTAAGATTTATCTTTAGTGACTACGTAAGTCAATTTCCCTAGATTTTTCTCTGTAAATAGAAAATTTTCACGAGTATCGCGTATAGCCGCGCGGCTATACTTTGGAGATAGAAATTTTCAAGCGTATCGCCGCGCGGCTATACTCTGCAGATATAATTTTCAGAAGTATAGCTGACCGGCTATACTCTGTTAGAAAATTTCAACAGTAGCGCTGTCCGGCTATACTCAGTAGATATAAGGTATAGCCGAACGGCTATACACTGTAAGTAGAAATTTTCAAAAGTATAGCCGGTCGGCTATACTCTGTAAATAGAAATTTTCAATGGCCGGAGTATGTACAAGAGAACTTTTTGGATCTATGTATACGTAGGGTTTTTTATGGTGACCTGTTTCTTTATCTTTTTGGTCAAACTTTGGTCCAACCTGTCCATAGAATGAAGATCCCAAAACTCTTATGGATCTCATATATATATATGAACCAATTGAAAACTGGATAGACGATTGTCTACCTATTTTCATAATGCATGAGACTTGAAGGTACCTCAAACCCATATTTACCCTGCTATCTACCTCTCCCTCTCTCTCTCTCTCTCTCTCTCTCTCTCTCTCTCTCCTCTCTTGTTTTGTCTCTCCTCAACAACAGACACAAAAGGTTGCTTGCTTTTCTTTGTATGATCCAAACGCCACGTGTAATATGAGGGTTGTTTCTTTTTCTTTTTGGAACATTCCCAAAATCTCTGCTTTTCTATCTTGAGACCCTCCTAGATTGATCTCTGTTTCTCCATGAAAATCACAACAAAGAAGAATCATCAACCCATCCTATATACTTTTGGCCGCGCGGCTATACTTTGTAAAGTGTTGTTCTAAACGTATGGCCGTGCGGCTATACTTTTCCAGACGTATAGCTTGTAAATAGAATTTTTTCAAAAGTATCGCCGCGCGGCTATACTCTGCATACAGTAATTATCAAAAGTATAGCCGCGCGGCGGCACTCTGTAAATAGAACATTTCAACAGTATAGCCGAGCGGCTATACTCTGTAAATAGAAAAATTTTCAAAAGTATAGCCGTTCGCCTATATTCTGTAAATACCAAAAGGTATAGCCGCAGGGCTATACTCTGATGGAATCTTCAAACGTATAGCCGCGCGGCTATACTCTGTAAATATAAAATATTTTGGATCGAAGGGTCGTAGTAGCACAGTTTTTTGGTCGAAGTATTTTCAAAAAATTACTTTAACCACAAAGTCGGACTATTACGTAGTAACTTACATAGTACAACACAAACAATTTCATATTGATATTATTAGCGGCTTTTGTTGATCATATTAATATTGTTAGCTATAAAAGGAAGTTAAAACATTGAGCTATTTCAGTACGAAAATGAAGTATTTGATTTAGTAACGAGCAAAAGAAGAAATTATTACTTAATGAAATTGATCGAGTAATCCATATTTGTGTTTTTTTTTCAATCAAGGTGAAAACTTCATTAAAACTTTCGCAGAAGAGTCATATAATGAGAGAAAACTGGAAGCAAGAGGTGCATCAAGTGTTCCATCGTTCAAATCTTACAAAATCCGTTAAGAAAAAAGAATACCACGCACCACAATACAAAAACAAACTACTGGACCTCACTATCAGCCGGTAAGGAAAATCCACATTCTTAACAAATATAGAGCAATTATGAATGGTAAATAACACTTTTTTTATTTTTATTTTTAAGAATCCCACAAGATGCCTATATTTCGAATTAAACTTTTTTTTTAACAGGAGTAGGGGAATTTTTTTTTCATTTCATACAAATTGTAAGAACATTGGAAATGGAAAAATTCCAAAACCAGTCTTCAACTACAAGTTTGAATCCGGTCCTCCTTACTAAAGATTGATAACACTTTTCTGCCGAATTTTGTTGTAAATTATGTAATTCTTAGTAACTTGTTCTCTTTGGAAATCTCTTGTGGGATCGTAATTTATAAATAAAGACAAGAGATTTATGAAATGATTTGGTAGATTTTGGGAGCCACAATAACGATGAGCCCAACTGCGCAGTGAAAGTATTGAAAGTGAGGTCCATGATCGGATTGCCCAAGCTTATCCTATAGATTTGCATTATAGTTGGGGTCCATTGTCTTCCTGAAGAGCTAGCCCTTCACAAAATGCATATTGCTTAAGAAATTGCCTATAGAGAATTAATTCATCATGATCAAAACTCTAGATTCAATTCTTATATTATATGTATGGACGAAGGAATTGCATGAGCAATCTTTATCCAGTATTAATTTCACCTATAAAAGTTTATCCATACCATATCTATGTTGGTATATGTAGAACAACTCCATTAAAAAAATATTCAACATTCTCCTTTAAAAACCGGAGTATCGTAAAACAAACTAAACCAGTGAAAAACTAAAATTCATAGCCCACATTTTATATGTAGTGGGCATCATATATATAATATATGTACAGCATTAGTTAGAATTTAAAACTCCAAGCCTAAATTCTATGTCATTTTAATTTTATTAGCTGATCACATAATGGTGCATTGGGTGTTCGGATCATAAAACGGTTGAATTTCACTCTACGGTGGTGGCTGTGGAAAACTCAATAGTGGCGCTGTCGGTTCATAGGAATTAGGGTGGTACCGCCGATGATGGTAAGGATCTGTTGTTGCACTGTAGGAACCTGTTCCATTGAGATTATAATATCCATAATCATGATTGTTATAATAACCCTGCCCAAAACCATGTGCATTTCTGTAATGAGCAACAGGCTTTGCCCTGTAGAACTGATCCTTAATTATACCTTGGGTCAGCCAGATCTAGGAGGACATTTGAAAACCACAGAGGCCAGAAACAAACAAAAATTAAAAGACCACTAACAATAATCAAAGGACAAAAACAGAAGAAGAAGATGAGTAAGGGTTACTTGCGGTTTCCTCCTGGTAGAAGGTGATGGCTCTGTGGTAGCGCGTGAAGAGAGAAAGCGCGCTATAATTTTGGCTTCCCCGTTTAATTCCACAATAATTTTTATTTTATTTTTTGACAAAACTTGTAGGTAAAATAAATTTTAAAACGTCTAGAAAATTAATTTGCGGATATGATTTGAGGATTTGATTTAGGGTTTGTATTGAATTTGAGGATAAGATTTAAGGGTTTGTGTTTGAATTTGAGGATATGATTTGAAGGTTTAGAGTCAATCTAGGTTTGTCCTATATTAGATTTATTTTATTTTATTCCCACGTGAATAAGTTTGAAATTATTTTTTTGCCAATAAATTAGTAATTTTTAGACATTTCAAACTTGAACAAAATGTGAAATTAGGATATATATATATATATTTTTTTCAAAATACAAAATTAAATATTGAGGATAGTTATAGCAAAATAGGCAACTTGAAGTTAAAATTAAAATAGTAAACGCCCTTTTCTTTTAGGTTTGTCCTATATTAGATTTTTTTTTATTCCCACGTCAATAAGTTTGAAATTATTGTTTTTTTGCCAATAAATTCGTAATAGTAAACGCCAACTTGAAGTTAAAATAGTAAACGCCCTTTTCTTTTATAGTCTGAAAAAGATTTCATGCATTTTGATTGTTTTCAATTCTTATATTCAAATCAATTCTTTAGAGAAAATAAAACAAATTTGCTTCTATATTTTTTCTCGTTCGATTTCTTTCAATATAATAATGTATATATAAAGTAAAAGGTAGAGAATGATAAAACATTTATAAAAAAAATCAATAATACCTTTTAGGTTAGATCTGATCCGATCCCAATTCCCGACTTAAACCAGTGTTTGAATGTCAGAGATTGTGAAATCACCCACGGCTTTTGCACAGTGACGACGTCGGTTCTCGGTTAGTTTCGTTTTTAATTGTTGTTGTTGTTGTTTTTCTTGTTTGTGGCTTGGGTTTGATTTATTTGGGATTTGGGTGTATTGGATTTATTTAGGGTGATCGATGCTTGTTTCAATTGGAAAAATGGTATTTGTTGATTTGTACATCATTTTGAATTTGATTTGATATGGTTTTGCTCTATCCATACATAATCTGAGGATCGATCATGCAGTAGTGCATGTATATATGAGTTTTCTTGCCCTTCATCCATATCTGATCGATAATCGCATAATAAACTACTGCAAGCCAGATCAAACAAGACCAGCCAACACAAACTCTGGGATTTCCGATGGCTGCAAACATGAGAAATCGAAGAGCAAGAACTACGGTATGAATTTAACTGCCAGATTCAAAGACCCTATGAATTTTGACTCATGCAACGGTTAATCTTTTAGAAATATATTTTATTCAAAGACTGCTCAAATTTAAAAATTGTTGCAATGTCTAATTTTCTATTGAATAAGTTGGTCCTTTAATGCACGCATACCCCTTTATTTTGTTTAGAGTATTTTGTCGCTTCCTTCTCCTCTCTTCTTTTTCTCTCTTTGATGATCTCTCATTCTGTCACGATCAGGTGGACCGACTCCCCGCAGTTGACATCCTCGACCACCAAAGACAAGATATGGCTACTAATTTTAAGGAATTCTCAGAATCAGTTAAGGCGGAGCTCTCAATTGAACAAGTACGTGAATTCTTGGAAGCTAATGACCAAGATTTGTCTGGCTCTGATGATGCTCTTCTCCGAAGATGGTAAGCTGGTTTTTATTTTATTTTATTTTATTTATTTGGATCTTTTCAAAGTTGTTATTTGGGATTTGTACTCGAGTAACTAATTTTGTTTGTGGCAGCCAAGCGATGCTGTTTTATGGGCTATTGGAGAAATGCCCAGTTTGCCAAGGGAATAGTTTGGAGTTCACTGGATGTTATTGTGAGTGTGCCACTTGCATTTATCGCTCTAGGTATGCACCAAGGAAACGAGGGCCCATCAAGTACCCTATTAGCATCGTCAGGCAAATCAACCCTCGTTTCAACCCGGATTGGGACCCTCCTCATGTGGTGAATATAATTCAAATCTCATCCGCCCATCCCTTATTATGAGCTTCCTTTGTATCATCTAACTTTGTATGTGTTTTGGTGCGCAGGAAGGTGAAGGGTTCATCGCCCGTTTTTTGTCAGATGCTTTACGACCACACAATCCAAGGGTATAACGTCGCCTATTATTTGTATGTTGGTTTAGACAAAATAATGATAATAATAATTTGTATGTTGGTTCATCACAGGCGGCGGCCAGAGTGGAAATAACACTAAATATGTATCAAGATGGAATGGAGATCAATGGCCGGAGGATGAGCAAGAGAACTTTTTGGATCTATGTATACCTAGGGGTTTTTATGGCGACCTGTTTCTCTATCTTTATGGTCAAACTTTGGTCCAACCTGTCCGTAGAATGAAAGATCCCAAAACACTGCTGGGATTGAACATATAGACGCTCTTTTGTTGTTCCTGGATTGCTCCAATACTGGTTTCATTGATGTAAAGTCATCCATGCATCCTCACGCTAGCTAGCTCCCTCCCTCCTATCACTTCACTACACAAGTGGAATCTATTGACAATCTTTGTTCAAGTTCATCAAAATATTGTGGTCATGGATAGAATCTTTATTAAGGTGCATGACACTTCGTTTCCAATTTGTTTTGTTTTGTTTTGTTTTGCTCAGAAAAATAAAGTTACCCAATTCAACAAGAGATAGAAGATTGCTTGCTTTTCTTTGTCTGTTCCAAACGCCACGTGTAATATGAGGGTTGTTTCTTTTTCTTTCTGGAACATTCCCAAAATTTCTGCTTTTCTATCTCTGGACCCTCCTAGATTGTTCTCTGTTTCTCCATGAAAGTCACAAGAAAGAAGAAGAATCCAGACAGACATGCAGACATAAACCCTGAACTGAACCCATCAAATCCCATCCTATATAAATCCACCCTTGCACTTCCTCATTCCCCATGAGAAATAATTACAAACAAAACCACCCATTTCCCATCAAAGCAGCCTAGTCTCGATTAATTAGTTTAGTACCATCGGATCCCATTCCCCCTATTTATTTAATTTCCTTCCTCACCAAAACCATCACCATGCCTAGGAGGATAGTGATGAGGATGGTGGCCTTCTTAGGCCTCCTCCTCATGCTCATGGCCACCACCACCAAAACCCATGCCTTAATTCCATACCCAACAAGACCATCATCACTAAGTCTATGGGACATGACCGATGACCCCTTCAGAATTCTCGAACAAACCCCCTTCACCATCCCCAGAGACGTCTCCGCCGCCGCCCTCCAAGACACGCTCGCTTTGGCACGTGCCGACTGGAAGGAGACGGCCACTGCGCACGTGATCACATTGGACATTCCGGGGATGAAGAAGGAGGACGTGAAGATAGAGGTGGAGGAGAACAGGGTGCTCAGGATCAGCGGAGAAAGGAAGACGGAGAAACAAGGGGAGGGTGACAAGTGGCACAGAGCTGAGAGGACAAATGGCAAGTTCTGGAGGCAGTTCAGGCTGCCCGGGAATGCTGACGTGGATCAGATCAAGGCTCATCTTGAGGACGGGGTGCTCAGAATTACGGTGCCAAAGTTTGCTGCGGAGAAGAAAAGGCAGCCTAAGCTCATCGACATTGCTCAACACACTACTTCCTCTGATGATGCGGATATCAAGGCTGCCAAGGTCGCATGATTTCCAAGTTACCTATATATCAAATAAAGTATCTTTGTGTTGATGATGACTTTGGATGGGAGTGAATCAAATTAAGTTTTTGTAATGCGTGATCTGAGATCTAATAAAATTATATATTTTCTTTATCTTAGTTTGACCACTCTTTTTTGGGCAAATTTTAAATGGAAGTATCACCGATATAGAATTTCTAATGTTTTTCTCATGTAGGGGGTTTTGTAATGTAATAAGAAGTTATAACAATTTTTTAATTTATTACTATTTTTTATCTTTCAATTATTTTTTAAAAATTATCGACCTTTTTATTACTACTAAGAAAAAGGTGGACTATATTACTTAACGGATTTTGATAAGAACTTGAAAATTTTGTTTTCTCAAGAGATTCGTAATTCAAGAATTTTGTTTTCTCAAGAGATTCGTAGTTCAAGTATTTAAGAGCAAGTATTCTATTCGAAGAGTTGATTTTTGCACTTTTATTTTGTCCATTTACACTTTATTTTTTCAATACATTTTAATTATTTTGTTATTTTTTAATCAGCTGCCTACCTTATTTGAATTCCCCTTCATATATCACTTGCATTAAAATAATTTTTTTTACGAGGCATGTAATTTACCTCTGCACCTGTTCTTAGGTTCAATTTTACTCTCTTCTTGATATTACTTTTATAAAAATAAGAAAAGGTTGATTTTTCCACCTTTTTTTGTTTATTTATGTTCTCTTTTAATTTTTGATATTTTTAAATCAATTTCGTTAAAAAACAAAAAGAAGTGTAAATGAACAAAAGGAGAATGGGAACCCAAAAGGGAGCATATAGAAAGGGGAAAATTACCACCCAAAATAAATTTTTAAAAAAACTTCGAACAGTTTCTAGGCTCTTCATTTTTCATTTGTGCATAATTTTAATTTATGCGCTTTAAGCTTTTGTGGCGGTTTGAAAACTGGGTGAAGTTTTGCCGATTTTCACAGAAACTCCAGAGAGAGCATCCCTCCCAATAATACCAATAGGCAATATCCCCATCCCCGCGCATACAAGTAAAAAGCTTACAATTTGGTCTCAGTGGAAGAAATAAAGAAAAAAAGGAATACCAACGGAGTTCATGGAAGAAGAAACCCTAAACCCTCAATCAAAGACTCTTACTTCTGAAGATGACAAGAATGGAGACCAACCCATGGCTGACCTCCCTGACCAAGACCCTAGCTCCTCTGATTCCGACTCTGATTCTGGCTCAGAGGACGGAGACCAAGCCCAGAAAAACCTGCAGCTCCAAACCCTAGAAGCCGAGCTCTCCACCAACCCTGGCAACTACGATGCTCATGTCCAAGTATTTACCCTTGTGAATTTCCATTATCTGTTTTCTTTTTTCTTCTTTGGCTATGCATTGTTATATGATTACCCTCTGTTTGGTTGCCGAGTAAAAAACCTGAATTGGAATTCTTATTGTTACTGCTGTAGTACATAAAGATTCTAAGACAGATAGCTGACATTGAAAAGCTGAGGCAAGCAAGGGAAGCTATGAATGAGCTGTTTCCGTTAACCCCTTCTATGTGGCAGGATTGGGCTAAGGACGAAGCTTCTCTGTCCACTGGGTACTCTCTTTTCGTTATCAATGCACTTCTATTAGCCTTAGTGCTCTTCATATTAAAAACAACAACAATGGAAACAGAAAAGAAAAAGTAGTGCCTGTTTTGGTCGCTTATTTTTCTTTTTATATTATTGTTTGATTTGAGATCACTCTATTTTCTCCACTTTGCAGGTCTGATGCTTTTCCTGCTATTGAAAAGCTTTATGAACGAGGAGTCTTTGAGTATCTGGTTTGTCATGCTCCTGTCTTCCAGAACATATGCAATTTAAAAATTCTTATATCTTAATATGTCATGTCATATTTATATTACTTTTGGACAGTTTATGGGTGAAAAATGACAATGAGAAGCAAAAGAAACAATATTAACTATGAAATGAAATAGGATGCCATCCATTTCCTTCAATTAGAGCAGAATAATACCATACCAGCAATGTTTCTGTTTTGCTTGCATATAACTTGCCTCAATATCTCTGCAAAAGGTTTCTATTATCTGTGCTTTTTGTCACAATCAAATGTGTAATGCTTTGCAACTTTTTCCAAGACTGAAGCTTGATTATCGGATTACTTGTAGCTCATCTCTTTCTGTTGTTAATAATCAAAGAATTGCTTGTTTGGAGTATCGACAGTTAACTATATTACCTTCAATTGCAGTCCATCTCTCTTTGGCGTGACTACTTAGATTTTGTTCAAGAAAATGATCCCTCAGTAAGAGAATGTTCACCTGCTGGTATTTTGAAGGCAAGAGATCTATTTGAACGCGCTCTTACTGCAGCTGGTTTGCATGTTTCTGAAGGCAGTAAACTATGGGAAGCCTACAGGAAATTTGAGCAAGCTATATTTGATGCTACTGATGAGACTGATAATCAGGTTTGTAGTGGTAAATTGGACATCTTGGCTGTCTTTTCATGTATTACATCTTTTTTTTTTCACAGAAGTTTTTGTTTCCTAGTAAAAACGAGAGAGAGACTACAATCTGATCTGAACTCCATATTTGACTTTTTTTAGTCTCATTGTTCAACATTTCTATGTGATCTTTTCTTTTTTGCCAATATCTTTTTGCTTTGCTTCAAATTCACATGTTAATATTACGAGTAGGCTTGTGATATTTTAATGGTTAAGTCATACAGATGTAAATATGTGGATCGGTATCTAATTTTAGTTATGATTCAGATCTCTTCTTTTAATACCTGTTAGGGAACAACGAAAAGCCTATAGGTTGTTTGGAGTGAAAGAAAAGAAATAGTAGAAATCTTGAAGAATGTTGAAGAAAAATTCAGAATACTTTGGAGGAGAATAAGAATTTCCTGAAGCTTTTTTTTAATGCATGGGAAGAGTGTCGTTTAGCACTGTTTTTACTGTTCTTTGATGTGTTGTATTGTTTTCTTTAAAGCTAACTGGGTTATTCCAAAAGGATGCTTTGAGCTTATGAGTACTAAGTTTGGGGCTTTGGGAAGGGGCAAGAAGGCCAAACCATTATAGGGTTGTTTGTTGTTGGCAGTTTTCTGGAACATTTGGATGGAGCACAATAGAAGAATCTTTGAGGATTATAAGGGTGCGGGGGTAGATGAAGTTTGGGATAGAGTGAGGTTCTGGGCAACTCTATGGGCATCGGTTTCGGCTGATTTTAAGATTATGCTTATTCGTTTATTGAGCATGTTCTATTTTACATTTTTTTAATTGTACTTTCTTGTTAATTGTTCCTTCCCGGATTGTGGATTCCTTATTCACTCTTTGTAATTAGTTGCCCTACTTTAATAAAATTATGTTTCTTTTAGGGAAAAAAAAACCAGAGAAGTTATTTATGTTGTTCACCCCTTTAAGAATAAAGCATATAATTGTAATTCTGAACAGAGTTTTATGATAACTAAGTTATATTGTAGTTTCCTTAAACATTTATACAGCTTGGTTTTTTCAGTTAAAATTTGCATTTCTTAGAAACTAAAGATAAAGCAAGTCCCAACAACAAACAGAGATAAAAAAACCAAAAACAAAAAAAGAAAAGGACTCATAGTTCTGATTCACCTTGTTGAGTTGAGTAGAGGAAAGCAAAAAGTTGAAGCTGAGCCAGATAATGCCAAAACAGTGGGAGGGAACATAATTTTTTTGTGGTGGGTGGTTCTAATAGAGCGAGGGTACACAATTTTATCCTTGAGCAGACTATTGACAACTGTGCTTTCATAATTCAATGCGGTTTAGGTATTTGGTGTATTGCACTTCAGATTTAACCTTTAACCTTCTGCTTGAAATAAATAAATGATTGTTTTTAGTTATAAAAAAAAATTAGAAGGAAAGTTCAAATTCTACCTGCAAACTTAAAAATGATGCATCGCTGTCATATATGTGTTGATTTGAATGCCCCAACAAGTTTTATTGCTTTGATCGCTTACCAGTTATTTATTATTCATATGTTGTTATGGTTGTCTTTTGGATAATTATTGCTGCTTTTAGATACTTAAATAATTTTTGGAGATCTATAGATAAGAAATGCTTCTCACATCACAGGCAAGAGACAAGCAGATTCAGCGCATCCGTACTATATTCCACCGTCAGTTGTCAGTTCCCCATGTTAATATGAGGTCAACACTTTTGGATTACAAGGCATGGGAGGTGGACCAAGGGAACATTCTTAATGCTGGCTCAAGTGACCTGGATGGGATTTCATCCCATGTTGCCTCAGCATACAAAAAGGCGTTGGAAATGTATAATGCTCGTGTTCATCTTGAAGAACAGATTTGTAGGCAGGATATGTCTGACTCAGAAAAACTTCAAAATTTCATGGTATGTATCATTTCGAATTAGTACTTCCTAGAATTTTGGAATAAAGAAGTATTTATGTTAGAAATGGCATTGTATTTTTCCTTTTTATTGGCCATTTTGGCTTCTGATATCCTTGCATCCTTGTCTTGTTTGAACTTACTGTTAGTATTTTCTGCCTCTGGTTTTTTCCTTTCTTTTGTATAGGATTGTCATTGTGATTCCCCCAATATATTTATTTACTTCATGCGTGAAGTTTGCGGTTTATGGAAAGAATAATTTATTCTGTTCTGCAGAACTACTTGAAATTTGAACAGTCTTCTGGAGATCCAGCCCGGGTTCAGATGTTGTATGAACGCGCTATTACTGAATTTCCTATATCCAGCTATCTCTGGCTTGATTATACTTGCTATTTGGATAAAACATTAAAGGTTTTTTTCCTTGTTCATTTCTTATTATATATTTTCTGTTTTGAGGGCAACTCTCTGCTGGTTAAGTAATTAATGTTTTATGTTACCTTTTCAGGTTGGAAGTATTATAACCAATGTGTATTCCAGGGCTGTGAAGAATTGCCCCTGTGTTGGAGAGCTTTGGGTCCGATATTTGCTTTCCTTGGAGCGTGGGCATGCTTCTGAGAAAGAGATTGCTGCTGTACGTTTTAGATTTCAGTTTTGTTTGGCAAGAGCATTCTTTTATTGACTTATGTTTGATTGTTTCTAATTTGGTTGTTAATTACTTGTTGCAAACTTGTTTTTAAATTGGTTATTAAGTTGCATCAGACATGAATACATCTTTGAAGCTGTGGTCTCATCTACAAATCATGCATCACGTATTTAGCTGCCTAGTTGTTTTAAAAGAAAATGCCCAAGCAAAGGAAAGAACTAGCTCTGAACAGTTACTCAGAGTACGCCAACTTGCTTTTTTTTTTTTTTTTTTTTTTTTCCTTGTGTAAATTGGTAAACTTGGGCCACATTAACTTCTAGATATGTGAACCTTTATTGTCCATAATCAAGTCTGTCTTACCTATTTTTGCCCCCTGCATTTGGCCTTTTTGGTGTTCTCTACCATCCATCTTTTCATGTAAAAGCTCTAATTCAATGAGAAAATATGAAGGCAAAGTTTGTCCGATGGTATTTTCCTCAAAGCTTTAGAAAGGTATTCCTGATGTTGCTATTATGTTAATTTCCTTTTCTATCCAAAATTTCCATCTACACGATACATATTTAATTTCTTGTGATCACGATGTATTACGGTAAAGAAGGGCGGGGTTGATTTTGAGCTCTGATTACAGTGAGGGATGAATGACAGTCTTGGAATCTGATTGTGATGAATGGTAATTACAGAATTTGCTTCTCATCAGACTTAATCTCTATCAATATATTCTACAACGAGTACTTAAGTTCAACTTTCACTATGACTCCAGTGGGATGCCTTTACCAAACCAGAAGTGAAAAAACATAAAAAGAACCAATAAAAATTATGTTTTGAGAATTATACAGTGTCCAAAGTCCATTCTGATTTCTTGTGAAAAAGTGGTCTGCCAAATTATAAATTATTGCTCATTTTTCAGGTGTTTGAGAAGTCCCTGCAATGCATTCTAACCCTCGATGAGGTACATAAATTCCTATATTTGATTTGTCTGTCTGTCTTCGGAATTTATGTTCAATGTTTTTCTGAATATGTTCGTTTATTGAACTACGATTTTTTAGTTCCTGGATTTGTACCTCACCCGCATAGATGGCTTAAGAAGAAGGATCTCATGCCCTGTTGAAGGAGAGAGCGTCTTGGATTATTCATTAATAAGGGAAACCTTTCAGGTGTGTTACTATATTTTTCTTACGTAAACAAACACTTCATTTTGCTAATATTCAGCGTGAAGATTATAAGGAAAAGTAGTTAGGAATTAAACTCCACAATTACCAATTTGCAAATACATAGTATGTGTTGGTCTTTTGAATTAAATGGGATTGTGCAGGGCGGGATTTCAGTTGTGACCTTGTAATTTGAATATATATATATATAAAATTAGGTGTTATATATTTGTACAAATATATGTGTGACCACGCTCAAATCGATTGAAGTCCTATTAATATTCTTAGTTTGTTTCTATTATAAATAAAAACATTATCAGTATGTAATCTATTGAACGAAGGAAAGCGAAAAAAAGAAATCAAGGGAAGTCACATCTGAACTTGATATATGTGTACATTAATTAAGATAAACATACAGAAAATGCTATTCTACATGTACAATATATAATATATTACATATTCTATGACAATTCATGGTTTTGAGCTAGAACTACATCAGCTTTATTTTTTGTACTTTTTTTTCTTCTTCTTTCGGCTCATTTAGTAAGAATGTAACAGTGTCAAACGCGTATTATTAAAGGGTGAGCAATCACATTGATTGTGTCCAGGGAAAAAAATTCGGAGTCACATTTGTTGTCTGTCATGCTGGATGACAAAAGCATTCACTACTTAACCTTTGTGAAGCTTAATATCTTTCACTTAAATAAAGTATATGTGGAATTTCTTATCCTTCTAACTACCAAGGCGTAGTTTTATTAGTGATACTTTTTCTATAGAAGGGAATTACAAATGGAAAATTGTTTGTATTTTTCTTTAATTGTTGAGGTAACTTTTGAATTCATGTGAATTTGCTTCTCCGTGGCAAATTTGAAGGGAACTGTAATAGATTGTAAAGGAGAGAATGGTCTTGTAACTCTTCCCCTATGTGATAATACATTTGAAGATTCAAGGTAGTGTGTGATTCCCAGTTCTGTCACTTTGGGAATGGATATTAGATCCCTTTCCCATGTTTGGAAATTGATTGGGTTTGCCTTTTTGACGGGTATCGAAAACCCACAAATGGAGGTTTTGCATTCCTAAAAGAAGAGGTGGGTTTCTTATTCCCATTCCCTAGTTTTAACTTCATAATAAATCACAATGATAATTATACTCTAATGTTTATTCTTACAAAAAGTAAAATTCCATTGGTACCCTGATGAAATCATTTCCACTCCCAACATTCTTAAACACTAGAATGTGAATGATGGATTCCGGAGGTTTTTGAAATCTCATTTGAAGGATTGATGTGGGATTCCTGGAATCCAATTCTGCAAAACAAGTAAAAACGTTAGGCTTCCTGAGTTTCAGAAATAGGAGCATAAGAAAGAAAGAAAAGAAAAGAAAGAGGGTAAAATAGTTTTATTATATTAAATATATTACAATTTGGCCTTTTTATGTGTGTATATAAAACTACATAATACATACATCAGAGTATCTTGTTTGTGTAATGGCCTAATTGTTGGTTATTGAACTCTTTTTTTATTAGTCTTTTATGTTGGCTACAAATGTTCCTATGCATATTCAGCTTTTCTGAGCCCACAAATCTAACTATGTCAATCTTGTTCACGTAATGACCTAATTGTTGATTATTGAACTTATTTTTTGTTGTGTGGAATCTAGGCTCTATGACAAAATCACTAGTTGTTCTTTATTCTGGCTACAAATATTCCTACGTATATTCAGCCTATTTGAGCCCACAATTCTGATTATGTCAATTTCAAGTAGATGACCTAAAAAATTCAAAGTGATCTTCTGGTCGTTTATTGCTATGTAATTTAGGAGTCCTGAAGGTGTGGTCCTGAACAATACAATCTATATGCTGTTAGGATTCTGCTAAGGACTTTGAAGGCTTTTTGCATTTTAGAGAAAGAAAGTATTGTTCGCACTCATGGAAATTCTAACAATTTATACTTTCAGAATGCATCAGAATACTTTTCACAATACCTGAAGAACACGGATGGTTTGTTACGTTTGCATGCTTATTGGGCCCGTCTAGAGCTAAATCTGCATAAGGACTTACAGGCAGCTCGTGGAGTGTGGGAAAGTTTACTTAAGATATGGTCTGGCCATTCTGCCATTCCTAAATCTGGATTGTTACCTTGGCATGATTGTAGTGTTTTTTTTTTTTTTTTTTTTTTTTTTTCTTTTTTTTTTATTCTTAATTTTTTTTTGTTCTGTTTGTGGTTCAATGCTGGAAGCCTGGCAAGGTTATATAACAATGGAAGCTGAATTGGGCCATGTGAGTGAAGCCCGGTCTCTATATAGGAGATGCTACAGTAAAAGATTTCCAGGAACTGGTTCAGGAAGGTTAAGGTCTTCTTTCCTCGTCTATATCTTCCAATCAAACCTAGTTTACTCAGCTTAATAGTTCTTTTTTCTTGGGCTAGTTTTTGGGTTCTGATCTGTGTGCATTGTAGTTTGAGTATGATACACTCTGTTCCTCTTCCATATCCTATTCAAATATTTAGCAGAGAAATCAAATATAATATCTTGGTTGTTTTGTAGCAGGCAATGAGATTAGACTAGATGGGTATCAGTTTCCAAATTTGTTCAACCTATGGTGTATCAAATTTTCAACATTCTCCCCTCTTTCCCAGCCACAATGTGTGGTGTAGAATTTGACTGTAAGCCTTTTGGGGTTTAAAGCCCTCAAGTGTATTTGGATCATATGGCTTCAACTTTACATTTACATCAGCATTCATCGGCCAATTATTTTTATTTATTTATGTTAATAAACACAAAGTTTTATTAAAAGAAAACAAAAGGAATTACAAGATGCATGGATAAGTAGTCCATGAAACACCTAAGACAACAGAAAAAACACAAAAGCCGAAAGAGAAAACCTAGACCAACAAACAGAACACCATCCCAGAGCCTTCAATACGAAGAAAGCCAGTTCTTTCAACTTAAAGTATGTTCTAGAATTTTCAGAACCAGGTTCTACAATCAATGATTTTTTCAAACTAGAGAAGTCTTTTCTCTTGATAGGTACATGTGATGAGAATACAATTTCTTCCATGTTGAACACTAGATAATGTATTTCATTCCCATGTTTTAAAAATTTGCTTCTAGTTTGAGTCAATGCAAGAAATCTGGTGTTTATAACTTTTTAGTACACAACGTATCCGAGTAAAATTATCTTACTGCACCTGAAATTCAGCGCCAAAAAAGACAAAACAACATAAAATAAAGTTTCTGGAAAAGGTAACAAAAGCACTCATTAATTGAAAATTTTGGAACTTATATTTGAATTATGTTATTAAGTGATTCGGTGGAATGTCTAGTAAATTATATCAGTCTTGCATACCTGCTTCCTTCTAAAAGGCCTTGTCTTTTGATAGTAGTTGTTCGCATTCTGTGTGCATTTATACCGACTCATATAGTTGACATGTAGTTTCATTACAAAATCTAACTACCTTGAGACATTGCTTGTTTAATATATGATGTGGAAGTAATGTTGTTTTAAGGTTCTATTAGATGTTGTCTGTTTGTGTTTTTTAATTATATAGAAGTTTGTTCACTTGCTACATAATACATGTGGAATTAGATGATGCCTTCCCTCCCTAAAAAACAGAATAATTCAGGACATCTGCTACTCATGGTTACGATTTGAGAGGGAGTTTGGTTCGTTGGATGATTTTGACCGTGCAGTACAGAAGGTACATTTTCTCTCTTTTGCGCATACGAATTGAATGTTGTATGGAAATTTAAATCATTTAGTCTATGTGAATGTGAAGGTAATTTTTCTACTTTATGTTCCCTTTATTATGGGTCACAGAACACTTAACGATAAAATAAAGTTGGAAAGGTTGTCAAAAGAACTGTACTATGAAAATCATGCTGAGGGTTGTGCTTCATAAGGTTTTTGCGATGTTCTCAACTTAGGTACTCTTAATGGAGATTTATCACCCAATCAATAACAAACTATTCATCATATTAAAATGATGGAATGGATGTTTCCTCTATCAAAACTGAGTATACCAGTACTAGTGCTTCTATATCTTGGTTCAATTTGAGTAAGTATGCATATGTTTTGCCTTGTTAATTGAATAGATATACTTGACTTCTGCTCCTCTTTTTAGGTCACTCCTCGCCTGGAAGAGCTTCAATTATTTAGGTCACAGCAAGAGTCCAAATTGACAGAAGAGGGGGAGAATTCTTCCAAGAAGAATGTTCGTGACAAGAGAAAGCAAGTTTCAGAGATACCTGATGAACATTATCCAGCAAAGAGGCAGAAAGATGCATCTCAAAAGCCAAAGAAAGCACATGGGAAGGATTCTGATGTTCTGAACCCAGGTGAACGAACAGTGGAAAAGATCAAACCCAAGGGTGACAAACCGGACATACAAAATGAGCAACAGATGAAAGAGCGTGTTCCAGAGAAAACAAAAGTATATGCTGACCAGTGCACTGCATTTGTATCAAATATTAACCTTAAGGCAAGTATACGCCCCCAGTATCCCTTATCATTCTCTTCTTTTTAACGCACATGTGTGATCTTAGAAAACTGTTGGTATTTTGCAGGCAAATGATGAACATCTGCGTCAATTCTTCAGTGATGTTGGGGGAGTGGTTGCTATTAGATTACTGCATGACAAGTTCAGTGGAAAGTCAAGGGTCTCTCTCTCTCTCCCCTGTCAGTTTAATTTTTTTTTCCTATCTGTGTGTTGTGCTTTGGGTTGAGTATTTGTACTGGATGTACTATAATTAGCACTTTGCTACAAATGTCATGCTATCATGCATTAACAAGAGTCTTAAAACACATACACAGATATAAAAGTTATGCTGACACTAGGGTAGTAACTTGGCTAACATGTATAATGTTAGTGTGCTGCCGTCAAAAAAGCACGGGACCATCTTTTCTTTATAGTTGCATGCAAATCCATTTTAATTTTCAGTATCTCTAAAAGGCTGGTTGATAAGAATAGTTGACCTAGGACAATTTAGGCATCTTTTACTATCATACGCGGGATGCTAGAAGTGGCTAATGTCAAGAATTTAATGATTTGGTGGTGAGGAGTGGTCTGAAGGTTCATAGATAGGTTGGGGCCTTGAATGGTTTAATGGTTTGGAGGCATAAGAGGATTGATATTGAAGCTGAAGTTGACAACAACTATCTCTGATCATTTAGGGCTATTTGGGAAGACACTTTAGAGTCATAACTTTATATATATAGAGAATGACTGACAATGAAATAATCCTGACATATAACTACGTTCTGGATCTGAAGTAATTTTGTCTTCCTTTTAGTAATGATGGACTAATTTGATACTAGGAATAAAAAGATCTAATTATGGTTTTTTGTGCTGTGGTAGTGGCTTTGATCTAATTCCAATGTTACAACTAGTAGAAAAGTGTATAGGCCTGTTTTATCATTCTCTCAACCAAAACCTGTTCTCTGAAAACCCCACAACTTTACCTGTAAAGCCATAGACTCATCCTTTTCCTGATGCCACTAGCCCCGGATTGTAGTCCTTGAAACTTAAAAAAGCCATGGTGCCATGGCAGCAGCAAGTGGCCTCTGCAGCAAAGGCATGCCCCTTTGATTGAGGAAGAGAGGGTGGGGACTGAATTCTTTTTTATTTTAATTTAAGGGGCACTGTTGTGACTCAGATTACAAGATTTACAAAAAAAAGTAAAAATGTGAGATTTGGGGCGGTTGGCTGGGGCTAGTGTTAATAGCTTATAAAGAAGGCTGGTGTAATATTCTGTTTCATTTGATTGTATGCCTGGTATTCATCTGGTATGCAGGGTTCAAGCTTCCTATTCAATTTAGTAAGGAAGCATTCCTGTTGTATGATGCACATGAGTGTTCTTTAGTAATTATGTCTGTGACACCTTTGTGAAAGGAATCGGGCCTGATTTTTTGGGGAACAATCCTCTGGGGTTGTCGTACATATCTTTCATACATGAACTTTATTTGATCTATCTATCAGAATATGGGATTATTGGACATGGTGCATGAATCAGAAGTGAAAAGTGCATTGTCAATATGGTCGCATTTATTTTAGAATTGATTAAATTGACAGAATCAAGTGTATGAGGATTATCATTCTGTGCCTTTCACTTTTTGATTAAAATTACCATACTTATCGTGGCAAGCACAGAATAAAGTCTGTTTTTTACATAAAAAATTTGACTTCATTGTACTTTGCTTTCTTTTTATCTGTGTCTAGAAGGTTCTGAATTTATATTTTCCTTGAACTTGTGAAGGGACTGGCATACGTGGATTTCTCAGATGATGCACACCTCGTTGCAGCTGTAGCAAAAAATAAGCAGATGCTTCTTGGGAAGAAGCTGAGCATTGCACGATCAGATCCAAAGCATGGGAAAAAAGAACATGGTAGGCCAAATGGATTGTTTTCTACATAACTCTGTGTGCACACATGCAGAATCTAAATCAAATTGATGCATTTATAAAAATTACATGAGGTTGAATTCGAGTATTTATATGGAATAGACTCTGTAATGCATACTTAATTTTATCATACATTTTATATTGTGTACCTGATGAATGGAATAAAATAGTTATTCATCAAATTTTGCTCGGTTTGAATGTCGCAAATCTCGAACTAGTTGAGTTGAACTGAATTGTTAATATTCATAAAATCTTCAATTCTTAGGGACGGATTCCCAATTCTCTGGTATGAAACTCAGACTTGAAAAAAGGTCTCATGTATGATACACGTGGTGTTAACATTTAAGCTAATTTGCACCTTTGGAATGGATTCAATACGTTGTTTAGGGGTTTGATTATATTTAATGCTTGCTCATTTACACTAAAACCTTGTTCACAAAGGAGAGCATCTGTCTTTGCTGGTTTGCAAGTGGCTTTCAATTTTTTTTCTTTTGTGGATAATTATTATAATTTTTTCAAAAGTGGGCGAAAGCTGAAACCCAGTACACAGGATATCATGAAAAAATTGAAGTCTAAAACCTAACTGGATATAATAGTCTTCAAGCCTTGCTTTATACTTGAGGAAAAAAGGAAAACTTAGAGACAATATCCACTTTTGTTGAGAACGAATATAATAAAACTTTCTGCATTTCCAAAGGTGGCTGCCTAAATTTTCTGTATGTGAATATTTCAAGCTGTCCTATATGTTGTGCTTACATTGTTCCATTGTTTTCAAAATTCTTGATCTGATGAGAGAAATCTATTTGAACTTCCTTTCTGCATGTGGTCATAATGCTTGCTTGTTTTGTTGAATACTTTTTTCACTTATGAAGTTAAACTGGTGCAGCCAGGGGATCTGAGTCTAGAGAATCTGCTGAGACCTCCAATGGACCTAGGGCACATCAGGCACTGCAGTCTAGTCATAACCGCGGAAGCGACAATGTGCAACTGAGGGGTAGGAACACATTTGCAATTCCCAGGAATGTCCTTGCACTTGGTCAGACTGCAAATAAACCAAAAACTGAAGAACAAGGTGAAGAAAAACCAAAATCCAATGATGAGTTCAGAAATATGTTCCTCAAAGGCTAGAGCTTTGTTATTGGGTTCAATCGTGGCAACTCTCTTTTTCAAATGCTTTTTGGACACAAATATGACAAAGGAAACGCGTCTTCATAATCAAGAAAATATCAAGGGATAGAATGACTGGGATCTAAATGAATTTGATCCAATACATGCAGAAAAGAAATATATTGGGTTGAGAGCCGTATTTTGGTTATTGTAGGTATAAATGAATTGGATCATCTGTTACCGGTTACAGAATGTATATGAGGTCTAATTTTCCTTCCAAATGTGTACACTAGATGGTTGCTTACTGTAGCCATAATGCAGGTCCTTCCTCTGCATTTACTTTGATTGTAATTGTAGCATGATCCTTATAAAGTCCTGTCCTTGGGCTTTTACCTCAAATTCTGGATGACCAAACAGTTTGTAACATCTGAACATATCTTCTGGAAGAATTTTGTTTTGTACCAGCACAATTCACAGTTGCCCCTTATATGTGATTATGATTGCATAATGTAATTTAAACTCTTTGTGTACCTTATGCCTTGGATCATAAGGTGCCGCTGCCATTTAATGCATTATAATCAAAGTAGTGAAGGGCTTGAGAGCAAAATGGTGACACAGCAGAATGGTAAGTCGTTTCTTTTAATGAAGTGAGTGATCTAAGATACAGTAGGTGGTTATATCAAGTTTGATGTTGGCTAGTTTTATAGGTTGTGCAAACAAAATGAGGTTTTTTTATATTTATTTATCAGTTCACTTCAAGGGTCTGAAAACATGAAAATATTAAATATCAATGATCGTACATATTTTTTTTATTGAGGAAAATAAAAAATGTTTTTCAAATCCCCCTTTACACGAGGGGCAGAGTTGATAATGGGTACCTCAGCACTTTACCTCTCATTAAACAAGATCAAGATGTTAGTCAAGCTACATTTGGGTAGTACATTATAGTCGACAATCCACTTTGTTAGAGATTAGAGATGTGATTTACAATATGAGACGTATGTTCGCACTTTATTAGAGATTAGAGATGTGATTTACAATATGATGTCGACATATGTTCGGCTACAAATAGTTTATGGACCCAGTTCTCAAGTCAATAAAAGTTAAAGCTTACAAATAAAAGAAAAGGAGGTGATTATCTTTCAACATTGGTTCAACAATTACTACACAAGGTCATGAGGTGTTGCTGTGCAGTGTGACTATTTTAAATTGAGGAGCCGACTCTTCCCCTGCTTGTGTGAGAAGACAGTGGGGGAAAGTCACTGTATCCAGCAAACACGAACATTTTCCTGAAAATTGCAGATATATAACTCATTGGTGTTTTCTTACACGCCACTTCATCTTATTGTTTTACTCAGAGTCACACAAGTCATGTACGCAATTGCTCGTGTTGTATACCTCAAAGTCAAATAATAAAGTTAATAATAAATGGTAGGTGTCCGAGTGTTATTAATTTCTTGAATCTGCACCTGTAGAGTGAAGACGTAATGTACATGCACCATGCATGATGCATCATCAGCCATATGAGACTGGGGAGAGGTACTTTCTGCGTGCAAACTGCCATGCATGGTCCGATGCTTTTCTCCCCCTCTTCCCCCCCTTATCACATTCTCTCAATCATACATTAGAAGGTGGTGGGGTTGGGAACTTGGGAAGGAAGCAGGCGGATACTAACGGGCTTTGTAAAAGGGAAGGTACCGTATAATAGTGTTTTGTCAGTTAGATTGCTTTGAATCTTATGCCTTACCCCCAAGACATAGCTTTAATTTGGTCCCTTCATACATACGTGGCCTCTGGGTCTTAAGTCCAGACAAAACTTATAAAGTGGTGGGAATGTTCCCAACGGCTAGCTAGATAGTCTTTTCCTTTTATATGTCAAAGCGCAGATTAAAACAAAGTAAATGTGCTGTTGATTCTACGATCGATAAGGGTAGGGCCCTGAAAAAACAGAAAGCACTACTGCCTACCCACTGTTCAAATCAAACCACCGAATATAAATTAATTTAACCACAGAAAGCACACACACATGCTTAAAGCTTGGAATGGAAATTAATCAACTTTTCAGATGCTTACCAAAGTATGGAAATCTGCCTACAATTTTATGTCACGCCTCTGATCCCCCCAAGCTCCCAAAGACAACTAAAAGAAAAGAAGAAAAGAAAAGGAAGGGAATGATTATGATTACCCATACATATCTCTCTTCCATATGTTGTTGCTGAAAGCAACCTACAAAGATGCCATTATATGTATATGTAGGCGGACAACTAAGCCACTCTCAAGTGCAGATCTAGACAGACAGCCTATACACAACTGAACTCAGGCTTCAATTCAAACTGGAAACACATGCGCCAGTTATTTAATCGCCACAATTTTAAGCAACTGTGGACTCTGGTAAGACACTCCAATTAAGGATTATATTACATTTTTGCTCCCCTGGAAAACACGTATGCCATGATGATTTTTTTGGATTGCCAATAACAGCTCCCTTTTGTAATTAGCTTTTTCATATCTTTGATTGAGTGACATTGTGTTGAGAGTTTATCCCACATTAAAAATGCGAAGGCTTACATAATTCTTTAAAAGGTCTCCAGCCTCTCGATCCATATATTGCCAATTGTTCATATATAGGTGGAGGGCCTAATTTCTACCAGACTATTTTCGAAAACAGTGCAAATGCAATAGAAGAATTGAAATTATTGTGGAAGAACTAGCTGACTTTGAAGCAAAAGCTATAATATTAGAATGAATTGTGTGTTTGAGTAGTTGTCAATGCCTTTATGTGCATCACATGTCGTTTAGGGTAGAAGTGAATCAAGGCATGAAAACAATAAATGCGGTTGGTCTAAGAAATGTGAGTAGATCAGAAAAAGAAAAAATTGGGAAAATTTGGTCATAAACAGCATGAGTAGGAAATGAGATATGTATATATAGAATGATGGCCTGCCTGCCTGTTTCGGATCCTGACAGTAAAAGAAAAGAAATCGCTATTTCTGCCCCGAAGGGAACCAAACACATTAAAGCCGGAGCTGCTATATGCTTTACAAGAATGAAAATGATAACATCCTTACAAAGAAGAAAGGAAGGGAAAGAAGCAAGAACAAAAAAAGAAGATGTGTGTGTGCATGAGTATTTATGAAGTTAGCAAGAATGATACCATTATATACTGGTGGTGGTCACCTTTGCACTCTTACCATTCAATCTATTACTAGGGCAGACATAACATGTATATAGCTACCCTTGGGTTTTCAAAAATATAGCTAATTGAAAACCCAAAAAAAGCCTAAACAATATGAAGAACTTAAATCGAGGGATAATTGATAATTGAGGAATAATACATGTTATATATATATATGGCTCAATTCACCTGAATGAATGATTGTTTACAGCACTTGTGTCAAATATAACCGTTATATGCATTGTCTCCTACTTGTTTCTCAATTTAAGTCTTTAATATTGATAAAGAGAAATATCATTAGACTAATAGATAGTTGGTTCATATATCTTTAGAGCCTCAGTCGACAATCATGTATGTAATGTAAGCCACCTTTGTTGAATTTGCAATTGAATTGATCAGATTATTTGGCAACTGATATTATATATATATATATATAAGTGAAAGGAAAAGACCCAAAAAAAAAGAAGAAAAAGAAAATATCAATGGTATGCTTTAATAAATTAATGGATAAAGCAAAGCAAGTTTGTTGTAAGCGGAGAACCGAAAGGGAGAGAGGAAAAAGGAAGGAAGCAAAACTAGGCAATTTGATTCGTAAAATGAATATGATTGCCTCTTAAAGGAAGATTTGGTTTCCTAAGACAAGGGCCAAGGCAGGCTCTGCACCTTTGGAAAGAGGAGTAGGTGAGATGAGATTATTAGAACAAAGCTTTAAAGCTGGTATCTCTCTATCTTATTATGATATATATGAATATAACATCCAATCTAGTTGACCAAGAATATAATTTACTTTTACTAGACCAAAAAGTTTTAGTCTTCATTTGACAAAATAAATAAAGTGAATATTATTAGAATAAATCCTTAAAAATGATTTATCTTTTGTTTCTTTATATGAAAAGCCAAAAAAGAAAAAAGAAAAAAAGAATGTAAATGGCATGGAATCACATGCTCCATCCAACTACCCTATCTACAGTTTTATTTTAATTGGGTTTCAAAAATGGCAGAAAATAAAGTACATATAAGTAGACACGCAAAAAAGAGAATTAGGGCAGCAGTGACTGACTGATGGAGATGGATGGAATCAAATTTTGTTTTTTCCCGATTAAAAAGAAAAAGAGAATTTTTGGGCTCTGAGAGGCATCTTGAAAATTGTGATCTAGCTGCATCATGTGTCATCAATACCATTTATTTTTGTGGCCCATTCTCCCGGCAAGTACATAATTAATCCTTCCTTTTTTTTTTTTTTCTCTCTCTCTCTCTCTCTCTCACACACACACACTCTCTCTCACATTCAATTCCCACAGAACAGAATGAAAAAGTCAATTTTATATGATTATCAGCAACTAGGGTTTAAAATAATATACTAAAAGTCCCATTTTATAATTGAAAATGCTATGCAAAATTAGCTCGCTATAGGCTACTTTGTGTTTGTGTATCTAATTAAGAATGTATGATATATATTGTTCTTCTGTTTGTTTGTTTTTTCCCTTTTGGACTGAACCAAACATGTAGTTCAAGTCATGCGGGTTAAAGTTGTGTGAGAGAGAGAGAGAGAAAGAGAGAGAGAGAGAGAGGAGTATGCAATTCGAAGACTGAACGAAGAGCAACAAAGAATTACTAGAAAAAGAGACAAACAAACATAAAAACAAAAAGCTAAAGATAGATAAAGGACTTAAATGTGGTGTCGATATTGGAATAAAGGAGAGATAATAAAAGAATAAAGTGATTTGAATAAAGTTTAAATTTTTTAAATATAAAAGATATATAATTTCTCCCTGCAGTGCAGAATGTGTAAAGAAAAACTTTACCGGACAACAACATTGTGGTAATTTCCAGCACTCTCTCAACTCTCAACCATGTAAATGTAACAACTGTTTTGAGTTACTACGAAATCTAAAACATGTTTTTGTGGTTCTTAAGGTGCAGAAAGATATGGGCTATTTGCTGAGGGCAATCTAGGAAAACTATACCAGACATTGGCTATTCCATGCATTATAAATATATATATATATATATATTACTTTTACTTGGATTCATTAATATCAAACTCTAAAGTAATAATACTGCTAAGATTCGTGGTATACATGACTGTTGGATTAGATAGTTGAACTATTCTCTCTCTCTCATATTTCATGTGATTGTGATGAATCTGTATGAATTGATTTGGCATTGTCATGATCTCTGTTTTCCAAGGGGACATCATTGCCGTATTGAGTAATCCCTTATTTGATGCATGATACAACAACACTTGTGATCATGAATATACCCACATTAAAGTTTAGCAAGAAATGTTGTTATTAAATTAGTTTTTGTCTACGTGGTTTAAATTCAGGGTGTGATAATAAACATACTACACAAGTTTGATAAGTGAATATTACATTCTACAAAATTAGAATTAGGTGGCGTTCTCTATTTAGCCTAAAGCGTGGATCAAAATATTGTATAAATTGCGAGCATCTCAGCATTAGCACTTGAAAAAAACTAATATTTTGAAACAAATTGTTATCATTACCTTGTAACCTCTTTTTATAGAAGACTTCAACCTAACTTGAGCACGAATCCTTTTGCTTAGCGATTAGGCTTGCTTAAAGCACAATTCTTTGCTATCTACTCGGCCTCATTCGTGACAAATTCAGATATTCAAACAAATGAATGTATAAGAAGCTTAAGAATACGTATCTACTGTGAGAAAACTTCATTTTAGTTTTTGCTAGCTAGTTAAGGAATACGAAACAAAGTAAGGCTCTCCAAACATTTCTCTAATTCAGATAATTTGATAATAAATGGTTCACATGAGTAGCATGATACTTTCTTTTAACTCACAAGGATGAATGAGGACACTAGATTTTTATTTATTTTTTATTTTTTATTTTTTATTTTTTATTTTTATTTGTAAGTAGCCAAATTGTTGCATGCAGCCGAACCCAACAGTGGGGGGCAGTAGCAGTTGTATGCATGATTTTGTACACTTATATATATATATTAATATTATGCAGCTTCATTAATCCTCAAAGATGTCATGCCATGTCATTAATTAATCATGCTATATATACTCAAAGTAATAATTATTGGATCTTGATTAGGAGCTGCATTTGAGAGTGTGAAGACTGAAGACCAAAGGCAGGAAAAGAATGTTCAAGCGGTTTGTTAATTCAAGTCCAGCATACTCATAATATAAAAATACAACTATACAATATCAAGAGGAAGATTTTTGCTAATTTTCCCTTGGGCATGCAACATTACTTTTCATAATTCCTTTTGGTTCTCTCTCTCTTTCTCTCTTCTCTCTCCTTGGCATTGTATTCTGGCTTCCTTTGTCCTCCTCTCCACTCTCTGACACACACTGCTCTCTAGGTGGCGTAAACTTGCCTGATAGTGCAAGCAATGCTTTAAGCAAGCACCCCACTTTTTTCTTTTCTTCTTTTGGTTTTGGGGTGCCGTTTGAACTCGCTTCTCCAAAAACTCACTGTGTATTCCTCTTTGTCTGTAAAAAAAGCACTGCTCTCTCTCTCTCTCTCTCTCTCTCTCTCTCTCTCTCTCTCTCTCTCTCTCTCTCTCTCTCTCTTATTTGGGGCCCCTCATCACTAGTCACTGTAGCTGTGTGTAAGCTGATATTAATATTTAGTGCTTCACTAGCTAAAACCCACCTCCAAAACTAGGTTCTAGCACTCTAGCTAGCTAAGCCATTAGCTATCTATTCTCTTTCTCTCTATCCCTCTGACTATCTCCTCTTCCTCTTCTCATATTCCTCTCTCTTCTCTTCACCACTCACTAACTCAGCTCCCTAAATTAATCAATCAGTTTACTCTTTTTTCTTTTGTCCACTAGTAATTCATGATTTGTTTCTCTCCCCCATTTTTAGCCAAAGACTGTCTCCTCTTTCTTACATCCTCTTCGTTTGGCTTTAATCTGCTATGGAAACGGAAGGTGCTGTTTGCTACTGTTTAAGCTCATGAACAAGATTCTCAAAGGGAAGTTGGCGTGTTCATCCTGCTGCTGTTTCCTTCTTTCTTTCTCGATTTCTATTTCTAGTGGGATCCAAAAGGAAGAAAGAAAAAATAGGTTTACTTCTCTACTAGCTTTGTCTCATCTTCTAATTAATTTTCCAACCATCATTTTCCTTCTTGGGAAGTCTTTGAGTGGTGACCCCCCTTCACTCCCTCCCTCCTCCCCCCCTATGTGTATCTCTTTCAAATGATAGAGATATGTTGAGTCTATAGAGAAAAGGTGGTTTGATTTGCTTAGATTGGTTTCCAACTTTCTGGGTGCAGTACACTAGTATTTGCTTGTTCTTTCTCTTTCCTTCTAAGTTGAGATCAGCTGATGATATATGTATATATATGTGGACATGTATATTCAAAGTTGAGGTGGCTGATGACCTTTTAATTGACACTTTGTTCTTTGATCAAAAGGATTTAATATTAGCCCTAGGAGGAGGCCCCATATCCCAGAGTTCAAACTTTCTTTCCCCTCTTCTCTCCCCTCTCCATTTTGTTTGCTTCACTAAAAGCTAGAGAGCATAATTGTCAAAAAATTAAACTCCTAGGTATTTGAGGAGCCAAAAACTAACCACTTTTTAGTTCTAATCATTCAAGTTCAAGCCCAGCCTCCTAATTCTCTCTCTTGTTCCTTCTCTTTTGGTCTCCAATTACCAAACAAACAAGACCCAAATCATTAAAATAATACCTAGAGGAAAAAGAGAAAGATCTAGCTAGGACTGATTATATAATGGAACTTTCAAGTCAAGAAGCCGGGGAGATCCCAATCCCAATAAATAGTTCCTATGGTGGTGGGCATGGGCATGGGCACATGATCCATCATAATCATCATCATCATGACCCTGCAGCAGCAGCAGCAACAGTAGTGCCCCACAACCATTCCAATTTGATTCCCTCCTCAGCAGTGCCCCAAAATCAAAACCCCTCCAACACTAATGGCTCTTCCATGCCCACAAGCCTAGATCATCATCACCATCACCCCCATTCTCATCCTCATCACGAGGAGGAGGAGCATGTGAACATTGTGCCCTACAGCTGTAAGAAAGTCGGGGTGAGGTACAAAGAGTGCCTCAAGAACCATGCAGCAGCCATGGGAGGGACTGCAACTGATGGGTGTGGTGAATTCATGCCCAGTGGAGAAGAAGGCACCATTGAAGCTCTCAACTGCTCAGCCTGCAACTGTCACAGAAACTTCCACAGAAAAGAAGTAGAAGGTGAGCAGCAGCCCTCCCCCTCCTCTTGGGATCATAACTTTCATCATACTATCAACAGGGTTGGGGTTGGAAGCAGGAAGTTCCTATTAGGCCCTGGCCATCACAAGAATTTACTAGCAGCCCCCCCAGAGGGCTTAGGGTACCATACAATGCCCTCATCAAGAACAGCAGCACCCCACCAGATGATAATGTCTTACAACATGGGAATGGGAATGGGAATGGGAATGGGGATGGGGATGGGGGCCATCCCTTCAGAGTCTGATGAACAGGAGGAGCATGATGGTGGTGGGGCTGTGGGCAGGCCAGCAGCAGCACAGCTAGCAAAGAAAAGGTTCAGGACAAAGTTTACACAGGAGCAGAAGGAAAAAATGTTCAACTTTGCAGAGAAAGTTGGGTGGAAGATTCAGAAGCAAGAAGACTCTGTGGTACAAAACTTCTGCCAAGAGATTGGGGTCAAGAGAAGAGTTCTCAAGGTTTGGATGCACAACAACAAACACAATCTTGCCAAGAAGAATCCCCTACCACCCCCACCCCCACCCCCACCTGCTTAATATCAATTAAAAAATTAATTACCATCTCTCTCATCATCCTCTTTCAGTTTGTGCTTAACTCTACCTGTAGTTAGCTTATAGTACTGATTATCATATTTAATTTACCCTGTCTTTTTCTCTTTTATTTTATAATTTTGTCCTCTTTGATATTTTTCGTAATT